TGAGGCACCTTACTACTAAAGGGGTGTACCAATGAAGACAGCTTCGCACTAATTCCCTGGCAGCAGTGAGCACTAGAAGTCATAGCCGGAACTTTGACCTGATTTCCAAAGGTCGAGTCCTAATTGACCGCCAACTTCCGACGAGGACGTATCACTTTTAGGGCCCATCATCATATCAGCCGAAAGGAAGCCGCTGCTGTGTGGCACCTAGAGCTAGGTACACCGTCGAATCAGCTCAAGACTTCCATCCCCTCTTCTCTATCCCTCTGGCTCGTATTCACCAGTTCATACTATATATGAGACTGAATATGATTGGTATCTTAGTGATGTTATGAATTGATGTAAAAAGACATCTCCCTTGTAAATTTCATCAGTCACCAAGCAGAACTTCAGCTGAGAAAAACAAAGAGCATAATCCACAAACACAGTGTCTCGAAATACCACCCCAAATCCCTCGGCCGGAAAAAACTCCCAACCCATTTGGTTATTATAGGTTGGAGAAGAAAGTATAGTAGCAAGAACTATTCTCACCGGCCGAGTGATCTGCGCGTCGTGTCCAGTAGTATAAAATCCGCCCCGTCGCGTCGTGTAAAGCTTCTACTGGCACGGCCATCAGAGCATCCAAGACCTGGTTTATCATGGGCTTTTCTCTTTGCCTGTCTTTAGCAAGCTTTTTGCGAGATGAATGTGTTGAGGGTAGACACAAGAAGTATATTTTCAACCTTCATCAACCACATCGCCAGTAAACTATCTTCCCCGTTGCCCTTCTATTCACCCCTGAATATAAAACCGAATGGAGACAAAATATAGTAAGCCTATTTTTTATTCCTTTATTAAAGACCCGTGGAAAGCCACTGCGGGAACATGTGTCTTGCCTTTGTTCAGATCGCCCAATGGTCTCACTACTGAGGAATGCCCTGATTACTCGTCGTGAGAACGCTACTCGACCCGGAAGGTCACACTTGCGGTGCAGAAAAGTTGAGTTACCTCACGATCGGAGGATTTACATGTCGAAGCAAAAGTCAACCCGGGGACCCGAAGACATGCAAGGTCTCGCAAAGGGCAGAGACAGAATTTCATCTGCTATTTCCTAGGCGGCATGATACAGCTACGGATCATATCTCGAATTTGGAAGACCAAACATTTGGAAAGCTTTCACGATGGCTATGCTGTACTTAATGAGATACCTGACACTCCGCATGGTTCTGCATTGCCGCAGGTTCTGAGCTCGACTTTACCTGGGGCGAACAAGATCATAATATAAACTCCACGGAGGTTCATCTCGTCATTCTCAACCAATCATTATGAAAATAGCACCTCTTGCAGATACCATATGGTTCAAAGTGTGATATCCCTTCAATATTGATCATGGTATAATAAACGAAAACGCTTCACCATCCACTACCCCCTCATCCATGTCGATGCCCATCTGTCGAGCTTCCACCAGCCCTCTCAGTACACACCAAACAAACCCCGACATTACTCATAAATTTCCCTCCAAGGTATTCCCATCCCTCCCATCTACACCTAACTCGTCTCCCCAAGAGCCTGAGCATCTCAAAACACACACACGAACATTGAAACTCTCCTGACCCATCATATCCCATCCCCCCATCCCATCATCATCATCTCTAGTTCCCCTTCTCGGGAATCTGACTCGGCGCATTCTCGTTCGTAACGCCACTATACGCCGGCCTCGACTCTGGTCCCGGCGCAGGTGCCTCCGCAGCCATAGCCTCATCGTAACTGGGCGGCGCCTCATCAAAGTTGGCTGCCCCTGGAGTGCCCATCTGCGGCGGATACAGCGGATCATACTGCGGCGCCGCCATCGCAGGGTGCTGCTGCTGCTGCGGTGGTCTCTGTTGTTGACCGTGAGGTCTCCCCTGCGTCGCCGTCACGGGGGCAGACTGCGCCGTGCGAGGTGGTAACCTAGGCGGCATGCTCATCGTCGCCGCGCCGGGCCTGTTAGCCTGCGCCGCGAGCGCCTCCAGCAGCTGCGGCGGCGGCGCGATGCCCGAGTAGATTTGAATCTTGGAGAAGTGAAGCGGGAGGTAGATTGTCTGCGCCGCGGGGTTTTCCTTTGTCGAGTTGAGGAAGCCGCCGCGCGTGGGCGGTTTGCCCCAGCAGAGGCCCAGCTGGATGTCGAGCTCGTAGAATCGCTGGAGGTTACACGCCACAAAGGAGGGCGCGACGGTGTTGGGTAGCGAGATGGAGCGCCACAGGTCGTCCGGGATGACGCTCTCGAGGTTCAGGTCTTCCGAGATCGGGTCCGTGAGGAGCGGGATGCTGAGGCCGGACTGCGTGACGACGACCCATTTGCTGACTTCCGTGTTGAAGAGGTCGTGGCATCGTACGCGGGTATTGCCCACGAGTTCGATCTGGATGGAGGTGAGGTATACCTGCTCGTGCGACGGGACGAGCTTCTTTGCGATGAGCCGCAGCGGTAAAGGTTGGTTGCACGTCAGGATCGGGGGGTGTGGCAGGCGCGCAGAGAGCTCGATGGACGGTGGCACGGCGTTGGCGTCCCCGGTGCCGTCGTCCCTGCTGGAGCCGAACATGGTTGACTTCTTCGTCTGTAAGCTCTGGGGCCGCGGCTTAAAGGTGAATGGTCGACGGGCAAAGGCTTCCTGTGAGGTCTTTGGTGGCCGGGGTGGCTCGATGGGCATGAACTTGAAGCCGATCTGGTACCGCCAATTCTCCTTCAAGAAGCCCGGGCGCTGGATGGTGACCTTGAGGTAGTACCGCACCTCGGCCTGCCGGGGGAACCCGGTGAAGGACGGCGGCAAGGTTTTGGTGACGTGCTGCAGGAAGAGCTGCTTGCTCCCGTCCATGACACGGGCGCCGCCGAGTCCAAAGGGTCCGATGCCGGCGCCGAAGCCTCCCATGCCGCCGATGCCACCAATCTTGGACATGGAGACGGGATCGCTGCAGGCATTGTTGATGGGCAGCTTGAAGTTGAAGGGGAACTCATGTTGGCCTCCCTGGATGACGTAGCTCTGGGAGAAACTCGAGCCGCCGCCGCCGAGGTCCTCCTCGTACGTTGGGAAAACCTGTGCGACCCGGTAGAGGATTTTGTGGTTCTCACTCGCGATGCTCCCGGGCCCGCCTCCGGGCCGGGTGTTACGCTCGTGGTAGCTGTCCTGCGGTAGGCCGAGGGCGGTCTTGGACTCACCCTCGAGCTTGACGACGATGCCGCCAATCTGCTCTGGCCGGCTCAGGTGGAGCACGACGCGGCCTTTGACGTTGTCTAGATTGGTGTAGAATTCGGGCGCATTGTCGAGCGCTATTCTGATCGACATGGTTGTGAGTTTCTGGTACTCGCTCAGTCCGCGCTTTCCTTGTCTAAGAGGATATCCTGTGGTGGTAGTATGGGAGGTGTCGTCGGTTGATGGTGTGTGGTTCAGGTACCCAGTGCGCTTCGTGTAATATGCTGACACGACTTGGGTTCTCTGCGATGGTGGTTTTGCTGGTCGGAGGTGGGATGAGGCACAGATAAACAGGCGCACCAGACGTCGCAAAACAGCTCCTCGACCTCAATTAAGTGAACGTATTGCACCGTGCGAGCTCCGAATTGGAATGAGGGGCAATTTAGTCCAAGCAACCTAGGTGGGGTGGTGTCTATTTTTTCCCGGTCTTGGTCTTTCTTCTCTTGGCTGCGCGCAATGCTTTGCGTTAGAAGTGAAATGTATGGAATAGTATGGCGAGGTAGCCAAGAACGATGGCGGAAGAGAAGTGAGAAGAATGTTTGCTTCAGTTCATCAGAAACCTTCAAGAAATCGAGAGGGAGCTTTCGTCGGAAGTCGTGGAAAGAGGCTGAAGCTACAGTCGGCGCAGTCGGCGTCGTTGGTATCGTTTGCGTCGCCACGGGATGCAATAAAGGTCAAAAAGGTTAGACAACTCGCTACCTCGGCTTTCCTGGTAACAGGCGATGATTAATTCGATGTTATCCGTATGGATAGAACAGAGCGTGATGTTGACAAGGAGGCGACGTAGACGCTTGTGGCTGAGCCCTCTTCCAAGCCTCGTCGTCTGAGCTGAGCGACAATTGACTTGGAGAGTTGGAGTACCCCCAGGTGTGCGGAGCCGAGACCGAAGGCGTAGGCTCAAAAGCTCCAGCTGTCTCTCAAAGCAACGAAAAGGAAAGGACGGTGCCTATTGCAAATGCTCACCAGGAAGCACAAAAGCAAAGCAAAGCAAAGCAAAGCAAGGTGAGGTGAGGTAATAGTTCACAGTCGTCAAGTCAAGTTTATTCCCGCAATAAGTATGGATAAGACGCCGCGTTGAGTCGGGTCGATTCGACACAGATACCGCGCATGTGTCAGGTTGAGTTCAGCTATGGCAGGTGGAAGGAAAGGTAGGGTTGATGTCATTGGGCGTTTGACCCAATCACCAGCGCTGTCACTCCCTTGCTGCCAGTCGTCTTACCTCGAGCCTTGAGGTACTTTAGTCCTCACCTTGCCGACACTGCCGACCGTGGGTTGTACCTTAAATAAACACCATGTCAACCTAAGAGGCTAACCACCCTCTTTTGGATTTGAGATGACTGGCAAACGTGGATCCATGGCCGAGCTCACTTTGAGCATAATACTCAAGCTTGAGTCGCGTCCAAAGTACACCTTCTGCAGGAATAAACTCGTCACACAGCTATAACATGACAAGCTGGTTGGTATTAAAATGCTGTATGTATTCGTACACATGCTTTGAAAGCTACATAACTACAGCTTCCAGGACCTATCGCTATTGTCGTTTAAAGCCGATGGCTAAGATCATTTTGTCTCTCCTAATCCCCTCATAAACGAGCAGGATTGCAATGCCTTGATGTAGGGTATCCCACCCTATCGCGAATTCCCCAAACGCCCAGATGTTGCAGATGGTATCATTTCGGCATCCCAATGCCCGCGCAAAGCAAAATAAAAAAAGAAGCAATTTTTCCCCAGAGCAAGAAAGGGAACGTATTCGACGTCCCTTCTCATACGTCCAAAGCTTCAGCCTCCTTGCAATTAGTCCAGCTCAATGATCTCTGGCTCCGGTATTGACGGCCGTGTCTTGGCCCGTTTGGCTGGCGGCTGCCCGTTTTCTGCATTCTCTTCCTCCTCCTCGTCATCAGCCTCCTCTTCCTTGGCTTTCCACATTCCGTCAGCCCTAACATAAATGGTCTTCGTATGAAGTTTGCCCTCAGCCTCGAGGCTCTTGCGAACGTCTTCCATAAACTTATCAACTCGAAGACTATACGGGCGAGCATCTCCGTCGCAAAGAGGACACTTCCACTTGTCAACCAAAGAAGGCTCAGGTCTCGCTTCGGTACCGCGATTGCAAACGCGGCATGCATCGCCAGCCCCGTGCGCGGTGCACCTAGGCTTGACCGGTCGGGTTTGTAGCCAGTTGATCAGATCAAAGCACTCCATGTGCGTGCAGCCAACACCGCGCGCTGGAATTTTGAATATCGTGGCGCTGAAAGGGTCGGCTAAATCAATGCTGAGATCGCTGCCAACCACAACCAACTCATCGTCCCCATTGGAAGACGCTGGTTCCAGACGGCTCCGGATAACTTGCTTTGTCGTGTCCGCCGAGATTGTGCCCTGGCTCAAAACCATGTTGACAATGTTGTCATGACTCAGCGTCTCAACCACCTCAACAGCCATGAAGTACATCATGTTTGGCTTTTGAGCCGCGGGCATGGGGCTGATGCTGACAGTTATTGAATTTGTGCCAGCTTGTATGTATGGAGTGAGTTCCACAGGCAGATGCTGCCCGTTATGCTGCTTTCGGCGGACCGCAACGACGTTTTCATTGACCATGATGGCAATATGTTCAGGCCAGTAGGATTGTGCTACTGCCCAGACAGATTCTGAGATGTTTGCCGGTTCGGCCGGGTTGATTGGCAACTCGCAGAGACGAAGACGGTATCGAAGAGACCCTTCAAAGTACTCCGAGACTGGAACACAGTCGCCTACCAAATTGCTCGTCGGGCAGAGCTTGTTGCAGTGCTCGTCGGGCACCACAAAGGCGAGACGGTGCACACAGTTCGTGGCTGGTGTTGCGATCGGGCCTAGAGCAAGCTCTTTGGTGGACTGATAAAACCTCACTGGTTGTGACTGGTCTTCCGACCTGGGTAACTCTCGCGGCACTCTTCTCGGACTCCGAAGTTGGACTTGGTGAAGTGCGATTCCCACAGCCTTTGGTTCCCATGGTGTATGAGGTATACGATCTAGCGGAATCGACACGTTCGGTGGTCGGAAAAGGTTGCCTACGAGCCGTCCTGCTGCGTCACGAGTGGGCCTAGAGCTAGCCGAAGGAGGCCTCGTCATTTGCGTACTCGGGGCTCCCTGAGTGATTCCTAAACCTCTTGGGCTCGCATGCGAAACAGAAGCGACGGGTTGAGGCGAAGGCAGCTGCTGCATTACTGATGTCCGCACAGCCGCTCCACGTGACGGCCCCTGCTGCATTCCTTGAGGCCGCGGAGAGGAGTGATGGTGTTGGTGGTGGTGATGGAGTTGAATTCTAGGGGGGACCACGTTCGTAGCTTGCAGCTGCGTCATAGCCTGGGCTTGGTTCTGGGCAGTATCCAGTTGCCGGGACCTGGTATGCCTTTGTTCTGCATCGCGGGCTTGCTGGAGGAGCTGATAACCTAGATTATGGGGTTGAGTCTGATAATGTGAGGGATCACGAAACAACCCAGGCGGATGAAGTGGGGGGGCTCTAGGGGCAACAGCCTGCGTAGGCGATGTCAGGCCTGGCATAGACATTGATAGCCCCCCTGGTGGTGCTTGGAGAACTGGAGATATCTGCCCTGGAGCCTGTGCCACATGTGGCAACTGCATGCTGGGGTAGTGAGGCGAACCTGTTGGGGTCAGGGGCTGATTCGCCAGGGATTGACTGAGAAGCCTCAACTGTGACGGTACTGGCCCGGCGCGTTGGTCGAAGGAATTTGGCATCCCGGTCATATTTTCAGCCCCTTGAGTTGGAGAATTTTGTATCGGTGTTGGCGCTCTGGCTTGTGCCGGGGAGAAGTTGGTAGACATCCTTCTAAGATTGCCGATTGCGGTTTGCTGTTGTGCTATGGCGGCTGCTCTGGCGAAGTCCTGTTGCTGTTGAAGGTGAGCTTGCTGGTGTTGATGCGACTGTTGCTGATGGTGCTGTTGTTGAGGGTGCTGCTGCTGCTGCTGATGTGCTACTCGCCGTTGTTGTTGTTGCTGCTGCTGTTGACTTTGACTGACCAAGATCTTGTATCGCGAGATCAGCGAGTGTTGGAACACCCTTTGCTCCTCTTCGGACATCTGTGTTTGGTCGTTCTGAGAATCTTGTCGGAATAGCGCATTCATCTGATCGGCGATGAGCCCGTCTGGGACACCAGTATGTCTCCTAGTGACAGTGAAGAAAATAGTCTCTAGAATCGGAGACCGAAGTTTGAGCTGATAGCGTAATTCATCTGCCAAGATAGGATAGCCTCGACCTGAGTGAGGTCGCATGGCAGGAACCAAAATTCTGTTCCACTGTTCGTGGAGATTGTTTAGGAATCTGGAAATGTCCCTAGTGTGGTTGCGGTAGGCTTCAGTATGCCAAAGTCCAGAGGCACTACTAGCTGGAAAGTTTGCGAAGAAGAAAATCGTGTCATGGCCCATGTTTTCGTTCTTTCGAAGGACATTTTGCATAATGCCGAGTGCGCCGTCCGTCACGTCAGGAGGAAGACCAAGGAGCTCCTGTGCGGCTTTTTTCTCAAGCGTCCATAAACAAAGGATCTGGTGAAGCACTATGTAGAAGTAATCAGCCTTCTCAATAGCGTCTTTGAGAAGCCGTACTCTGGGTGCCGTAGTGCCATCTTCTGGAAGTTTGGCCATGCCGCCGCGATCGGATATGTAGCTGTCGAGGTTCTTGGCCATGACTACTTGAACGAAGCTATCTAGCGAGTCCCGGCTAGTTCCTGCGGGCTGTACTGCATGGGAATAAGCATCTTGCCTTTCGCCAGGAGGCTGTGGCGTGTGGTCACCAGCAACAAGCGGACTTGAAATCGCTGGCGGTCTAGAGTTCTGGCCAGATGATAGTCGAGATGATATATTGAGCGTAGGGCTAGGCGCGGCTTGAGAGTCGGGAACCAGAGGGAGTGACACCGAGACTGAGCTTGGTGGGTTTCCAGAGAGCGTGATTGACGGTGTCAACAGCGCTGGGTGCTCACTGGGTTCGAAGGAGGTGAATCTTGAGGTGGAGTGAAGATTTGTTGATAAAGGAGTCGGCTTGCTCAGATCTGGAACAGCGTTCCCAGAGCCAGCTCCCGAGAAATTTTGCGCGAGTACATTGGCTGGTGTTTCCTGGGCGCGGGTCTCGCTAGTCCAAGCCGTCGTTGCGTTTGAGTTGTTGGCTGCGAAATCGAGCCCGAGTTCTGGACTTTGAAGGAAAGTCTCCCGGATCTGATGCGAGGTCTGGTTTGATGTGACTGTGGGAGGACTAGGTTGGTCAGTTGGGGCCGGAGAGGGAAGAGCGGCTGCGCAGTCACTGCCGAAGGAAAACGTTAGAGACGGTTGTGGCGTTTTGGGCGAGGGGAAAGACTGCGGGATTCCAGAAGATGAAATAGGATAGGGGAAGTACGTTATGAGTTGGTTGGATTCAAGCGCAGCCGTCGACTTGTCTTGTAGGTTTTCATGCGGTCGAAGTCGGAAAGCAGACGGCGCGACAGTTCCTGGCACAGAGGGTGGATTCGAGGCGTTTGTCGAGGACTCTTTCCGGGGCGCTTGAGTCGGGACTATCGGGACACCATGAACACCCTGTCGATTCCTTGACGTCGGTCTCTTATTCGTATGGGGGCTGCGAGATGCTTGTTCGTTTTGCGAGATCATCCATGCTGGACGACGATTTCCCAGCAGAAAGTTGACAGTCTCATTCGAGCGGGCGACCTGCACTCCTGAGAGGGGCCCCCCGACTACGTCTTGCTGGGCCCTGTGAGGTGACATTTTGTTTTTGGGCGGTCGTTTACGGGGTTTGCGGCGGGAGCGCGGCGGGAGCGAAGGGGAATCTTGAGCGAGACTGGAGTCGGCCATTTTGGTTAACGAGGCTGTGGTTTATCAAGAGAAAGGAAACGTAATAGTGTGCGCGTACCATGAGGCCGGAGTCTCAGCTAGCTCTGAAGTGACAGGTCACCAGCCAACAAAAGTCAGAGTCGAAGTCGGAGGCAGGTTCTGTGTCGACACTTAGAGGAAAGAGCAACCGTCTCAAGTGAGGGAGGAGGCAGTCGCAGGGTGGTGGTTGAAATAAGAGGGAGAGTACGGTTCGACCCCTCTTGCCTTCAGGAACTGTTGCACTTTGAGGTCTTGTCCCGTTTTGGTGGACAGCAATATTCGACACAATGGCAGGCGCGACGGCGCAGGTCTCGGGAAGGCGCGCCTCAGATATCTCGTAGGGCGAAGTTCCTCAGCGGGCGGTTTCGTCGTGATCCGAGGCCAAGGTAAGGCGAGTAGATGTGTATAGCAAAGCAACGAGCTCGAATAGGTGTGTCGCAGACGTCCGGCGTGGCGTATTGTTTTCTCCGGTATGCGGCCGAGGAGACCCTCGTCAAGTGGAAGCTGTGTATAGCGATGCGATGCTGGGAAGACTATCGGTGAAACTCGAGAGTGTATCCAAACAAGGTAGCAGTGTAGAAGAGATCTACTTCAGTTGGGTTGCTCTTTCCACAACTGAAGTGACGATCCGACATTCGGGACGGGGAAAACTTCGGCGACGGTGGTGAAAGTTCCGGGTTGGGCCAAATGAGAGAAGGTCGATTCTTGCAGGGGACGTGCGCCAAAGATTGGGGATAACGGCCAGAGTTAATGAAAAGGACCGCCCAAAAGGATGCTGGAAGATTGGAGCAATGGAAGAGCATACTGGAACACATTGGGGTGGGACGACGGGGGAGGTGTTTGCTAGTTGCCAGGCTAAGGCCGGAGCCGAGATGGTAGTGACTGGGGTGGCCCTGACGATTGGTGGGATGGGGATGCGTTAGTCCGAATATGGCTTGGTGCTTGGCTAGTAGCCATTCGACACGATACCCGTCTCGTTCTAGGTCCACTTGCAATGGCTTGGATGGCACCGGTGACAAGTGTTAAGTGGAGTCAAAATTGAAGCATTCATTCATCACAACTATTCGTCGCGCACCTTGAGAAGTTAAGAGTCGTGTCCCCTTTCGTATCCGGACCGCATGCAGAAGATTTCATGAACTCACGAGACCGTATTGTGCATGGCGTGTGTATGTGTGCGCATTCACCACAGACATGGATATATCAACCCAACAGGGAGAGACGCAACGAATAGAAGCCTACACTCTTTTCCTTACAATGCTGTTTCCTAGCAAACATCCAAAGTCTGAATATGAACTTAGCGCAAGACTCACAGATGGGAGGCAAAATTGGGGTGTAGATAGATGGCATGTTGAAGTCATGAAACCAGAGGAAGCTGGGTCCTGCGGCAGAGTCACCTTGCTTCCTTGGATTCAAAGAGCAAACCTACAAGGGCCCCCCCACGGTTTCTTCCGGATTCAATGAAGTAAACAACTCATAGTAGCTTGAGAGTCAGTTATATATGAAAGTTCATATCCACGTGCAAATAGACCACCTATGGTTGAAAGGCGTACGGGTTATATCTATTGATGTTTCTGTTTGCGTCCTGGAAAACTCCCTTCACACGCTCAAAGGTAGGTATGCAACTTGACGCCGGACCTCATGGCACACACCCCTTGCTTCCACATCGTTGATGTCTTGTCTCCCACCGTTGATAGTGGCTCAGGGGCGATGGGTATGACAAGAAGCGGTAGTTCTTTGTCTGCTTTGTCATTGTTGCTTCTTCCTGGTTTCCAGAAGACAAACTCTGTGTAACCAGTCTCGTCACAGCTATCGGGGTTTCTGAGGTATATAAGCCACCGATGCCTATGTGTAACGTTGCGATTATTCTCGTCACCAGCCGAGGGGCATCGACATGTCCATACTCGGGCTCCAGAGCCCTATCAGAAGGTTGCGCCATGATGAAAGCCGATACGAGCAGAACAAACTTGCAGGTCTGTATCCAAGCCATTCCCTCACATACGGTCAAGCTCATATTTACTTATTAGACAGGAACAGCCAGTGTCTGGGCGAAAAATACAGAAGGCAATTTCAGAATGGACACCTAGAACAACTGAAGAAGTGTCGTTACTTTGTACGCTTGTATCTGATGGCGGCCAGGCCGGGGGCGGCATCGCATGCGTAGTGTACGGATACTTGTCAACTTGTGGGAACAACTCCGACAGTCCATCTCGCTAGCTTCGATTATCGAATTGCTTATTCTGGGGGAATGAAAGCGCAGGCCTGGTATGCAGGTAGATTATGTAATGCAGAATCTTTCGTCCTGTTTCTTTGAACTTTGATTCCCCCAATTTCTCCCAGCCTGGATAGATAGCGGTGGGACATGTCCAGATGGGAAATGGTCGGCACTACTTACTTTTGTGCCGCCCCAGCTTGCCCTGGCTTGTCAATTTTGCCAGTTAGCCGTGATTCGAGGTGGACGCGCCCGAATGTTCAAAAGCAAGCAGATTAACTGCATTGGCGAAGCGGGCATCACCTTGCCACTACCACCACGACCGACACAGATAGCCAATGTGATTGGCGTGTCTGGGGCCAGCGGCTTGCACGCGGCTCCGGGTCATCCTTGCTGTGCCGGGGGGGAACCAGCCGCTGCACACTCGCTGCAAGATGCCCCTCCCGGTCCCCTCCCACCCCCAATCGTCTTGCTGGTGTCCACGAGGAAACGGGGAACGGGAATGCCCTGGTTGCTCCGGGCCTCGTGGCGCGTGTAAAGTCTGGTCTTTTGACGCATGGTGAAATGGCGAAACTTGGTGACGGGCACCGGACGGACCGCCGGTGTGCTGTTCCTTCGGGGTGGGTACCAAAAGATAGGGATGCGTGATCACAGCCGTGACTGTCCGTTCGGTTGGCCAGGTACGCAATGGGCGAGCTTGGAGCCAAGCATGTCCTAGCGACGGAAGAAACGGGAAACTCGTCAGCATGGCACGGCGACGGGCTATACTGGTCGGTGGTAGGTCGCATCACAGTGTTCTGGGCTGCATTTGCACATCGCAAAGGTGTCGAATGTGTTGTGGATTGCGGAGGTATGCGAGAGGAGACGAAAGGCAAAGGAAGCCAATGGAGCCGGAAGCCGAAACGAAACAAGACCCATCCGCTTTCCCGCTGTTGGTGGTTGGAATCTCATAGTGTATTCTGATGATGTGGCCGAGACAGGAATTCGGGATGGTGTCAGATCGTGAAGAACGTGTTCTTCGTGTCGGTGACTTCATTCGCCATCTGCTACTCGCAGCAGTGAACTCTAATCACGTTTCCCACGGGTCCGGATGGTAGGTAAGGTAGGTAGTAAAGATGGTACGGATAGTGTGTACTGTGTATGATGCGTGTCCATCTGCATTGCAAGATCCAATATCGCGTTTCTTAAGGGACCTGCCCTACTAGGATAGATCTACCTTAGTACCTAGGTCCCGTCTGGTTGAGGTGAGATTTGCCATTGTGGGAAGAGCGGATAGGTGGGAAAGAGGGAAAGAGGGAAGGAGGGAAGGAGCCCCCGGCCTGGGCCTGCCTTTCCATTCCAATTCTTTGCCCTCCATATTGATCACTCGCAGCATTCGCATCATTCGCGCCGTTCAGCGGCAATCATCTTTTGCCTTCTGTCAGGTATTTTTTCGCACTTTACTTTTTTTTTAGCTTCTCAAGGAAGGCACTCGCTAGATGCACTTTGAAGACGGGAGAGATCAACTGGGAGTTCTTCTGTGCCTCCTCATAGGTACTTTAGCTTGAAGTCGCCTCTCTCTTCCCGGCCTTTGTGTGTTTCGCTGTAGACCGAGAAGCAGTTCTTTATCCTCCATTACCCGTCCCTTTTGAACTGCGCCTCATTGAGCAAAGATATCTGGCCCTTCTCCAGCCTTAGCTACTACCTACCTGACCTACGAATGCAAAACTCTTGTATAATCAAATTCTTCGCTCCTGATTGACTTCTGCATTGGACCACCTTACCTAGATCGTCACCGTCCATCATCCATTGCTTTTCGTATTGTTTTCCGGTGTAGAGAGCAGCAGCAGCAGCAGCAGCGGGTCCTAAATCAAATCCCGCCCGGCCGGATCCAACGAGTACGCAACTACCTTACCTTGGGCGCGCTCTGAGCCTTGGTCTGATCATCATCTCCAAGGTGCCGCACCTTGCCTTGAGCACAGAAAGCCACGGCACGGCGACATCAACCAACAGGAACAGGAACGGGTTCACGGACGCTGCCGTCCCTTGCATTGGGCGTTCCGCATCGTCAGCTTCGCTTTCGTCACACGGTCCCCGTATCAGCAAGCCCCCTTCCTTATTTGGGCTTTCTTCCATTCCTTCCAACTACTTGACCTCACCTTATTGCCAGGTCTCCTAGGACACAGGTCTCACGGCTTCAGCTCCAGCCAGTAATCGCCTGCTGTCACCTTCACCTCACCTCACCTCACCTCACTCATCCGGGCACTCATCCCATCCATCCCATCAGTTGCACCTCGACCAGACCACCACCATCTGGCGGTCCCTTCCTTCCGTCCCAACTCGAAACCCGAGCTTGCGACCCCTTCCTGCCACCTTCTAGTTCCGTGCACCTTCACGGTTCACCTTTGCTTCTTCTCTTTTTTTTTTTTCTTGTTGTTCATCCCTGCGGATCGCACACTGCTCGACTCTGCCTCAGGAAGAAACAACACCAAGACAGGTCTCTCGTTGCCTCGTACTGCGTATTTGCTCGACTGACGACGACGACAATTCGACGTCAATTGGATTAGACATTAGACTTTCGGCCTTCACATTACGGACTTCTCCTCCTCTCCCCCTTACAACCACATCAAACACCCGTCAGCAACTTACCACCAGCCCATGACTGCCCAGTCGGCCTCACATCGACCAAACCCACCAAACTAACCTCGAGGTCTGCATCTCATTAGGTAGCTTCTCGGGCCAGACCACAATCCAGCTACTGCGAAGAGGTCTGCGCATACCGACACAGCGTAGCGCAGGTGCAGGTGCAGCGGTACAGCGGACGGCAGAAGGCAGAAGGCAGAAGGCTTCCAGTTGGGATCGCCTCACCACCACCGACTCCAGCTTCGTCTGACCCGTCCTACTCCATCATCCGTCCACTAAAGTCCCCAGCGTCGTCTATGCGCCCTACCTCTACGTCGCAATGACCCAATAGCGGCCCTTTACGCCAATTCTGTGTCCCCCAATCACATCCCACAACAACGCCTTGAGCAACTCCAACCTCGCACCTCAGCTTCCGTTGCTTCCCCCGAACCAGCAACGACCCTTTTTCAATAACTCGCCACTTTTTTTTTTTTTTTTTTTTTTCATACGCTGTCGGCAGTCAGCTCTTCAGCCCGACGACACCAGTAACCACACCGAGTGGCCGGCCCAGGAGAGTCCGACACGGGAACGACTAGGAGACCTCATCCTGCTGGGAAAGAAACGTCAACCACAACTTTCTGCCCTCGACACATTGACAGGAAAAACAACCTTTTGGGGGCCATCGTCAACACGTCCAACTTTTGCTCCTTCCTGTCTTTCCACCCCGGTCCGCAATCATCTCCCATTCACCACCCTCGCCCTACTCTCCTCCAATCCGACTTCTCCTCACCATCTTATCCGCCCACCGCGGTCACCACCTAATACCTACCTGGTCCCAGCTGCCGAACAACTGACAATCCCTGGCTACTGCCACTCTTTTTTTCGCTTCGCCAGCAGCACGTCTCCACCCCCCTTGTCATCGTCGCACCCAAGTCAAGCCCAGCCCAGACCAGGCTGCCCAGCCAGCGAACTCATCTCCTATGTATTGATCCCGTTACAACTCATTCTCTTCAGCAAACGCCACCCGCATCTGTCGCGGCGCCTGGCATCGTCGACATCATGGCTCTCCAGAAGCCAGAAGTTGGCGATACCCTCTTGGTCATACGTAAGTCCATTCCACTCATCCGCTAACAACGCCTGAGCCCACCCGCCCGCCTTGTCCCGCTGCTCGTCACTCGTATTCGCTCGCGTCATGCAGCATCTTCGTCTCCCCGCCCTTGACAGTACCGGGCCGGGTCTCTCCGCTGTGGAAATCCATCTGACCTCTTTCTCTTCTTGCAGATGACTTCATTGCTCGTAGCTCCGACGAATTGAGCCTAACCAAGGGCGACCGAGTTGAGTTAATAGAACGAGATGACGAGTTTGGAGATGGATGGTTTCTGGGCAAGCACCTTGTGAACGGAAACAGCGGCTTATTTCCCGAAGGTTCGTCTATATGGCACTCAACCTTTGCACATAACAAGAAGCTCATCATCCATGGTTCAGTCTACACCAGGCCAGCTCCGAAGATAGCACCCGCGAATAACTTCTCGAAACCACTAGCAACGTTACCCGAGGTGGTGAACGAATCCAAACAAACAAACCCTCCCGACCCGACCGACGACAAGATTACCACCCCCGCCGCTCCACCCACTCCCACGCCACCGCCCGAGTCTCCGGCTCCCGTTACGCTGCCTCTCAACAACATCAAGCAAGAGACCGCTGCAATCGAGAATGCGCCGCCAGCCGTGAGTGCGCCGCCCTCGGCGGCTCTCGGCCGTATCAACACGAACCAGGATCATGTACTCAGCGAAACCCTCAACGTTATCGATGAGCATATTACCGATTTGCGCTCTACACCTAGCACCGGCGCAATGCGTGCTCCTCCCACCGACTCCGGCAGCGAATACAGTGCCCAGCTCGATCATCGAATGTCTTACATTCATGGCGAAGAAACGGACGAAGAAGAGGAGGGCATGCATAGTCGATCCGAGGTGGAGGCATGGACGCCGGACCAAGTTGCCGAGTACCTTTTCACAGTCGGCGTTGAGAAATCGCACTGCGAAGTATTCCGTGACCAAGAGATTACCGGTGAAGTATTGCTGGGCATGGACCAGAGTTCCCTCTTCATCAAGGCATTCGAATTGGGTTCTGTTGGTAGGAGACTCAAGACGTGGCAGAAGATCAAGTCTCTGCAAGACGAGTGTAACAACCTAGGTATCGCGACAAGAAGGACGACGCAGACATACGGCAGTGACGTGGGCTCGGAAGATGCGAAGCGGTCTAGAAGCCGGGCCGACACCTTGACCAGCTCAATGCCCAGGATGACACCGGTTGACGACAGAGCTATGTCGTTTTCAAGCAAGCGCCTTTCATTTTCGCAAACGCCAAAGTTGGATACAGCATCAATTGTGTCGCCAGTCTCCCCGATTGTCGACAGTCCCACCCGTCCATCTCACATGAAACGGCCTTCGGCTGCGTCCGTCAGAGATTTGCACCACTCTCGCAGACACTCGTCGTCCACCGACTTCCGTTTGACGGGACAACCCATGGCCAGCACCGTGACACCGAAACTGGCCACGAGTGGAACGTTTCCCCAGACCGATGGCGCTCATAAGAAGCAACCATCATTCGACAGGAACTGGACCCTTGGCAGCGCTTCAAGCCGACCACTTTCTTCTACTGGGCTCCAAGACGTCATGCAACAGTCTGGTCTACACGCTCCAGAGTCCGCCATCGATACCGACCGTGGTTACTTTAGCGGCACTGAAGTCGACGGCCGACGCCGCAACGTGCTTAGGAAGCGCGATAGCACCGCCAGCCACGGCCGAAAGAATAGTTACGCCGAGGAGCAACGGGTGCGCAGTGCTACCGCCATTTCGAGGCACTCAAGATTCGGAAGCGTCGACTCAAACCGTGACAGCGTGGCCTCTCCTGCCGCGCAAAAATACTACGGCATGCAGTCCACCGCCCACAGAAGAACTGCCTCAACAAGTACCACTCAGTCTGCGCGGCCCGTGCCTCCCGTCAAGGACGTTGGAGCACCCAGCGTCACGAAGCTCGAAGGCAAGACTCGTGCCTCTCCGGTGCCCGAGTCTCCTGCGGCCCGCCAGGGAATCCACGCTGAGTGGCTTTCTGCTGTTGTTAAGCCCTCGATGAAGGTGGCCGGCTTGCGCGCAATTTCGGATTCAGTCTCGAGCGATCGCAACAAGGTGGCTTCGCCAATCGACCCATCTTTGAAGGACTCGCCTTTGCCCTCGCCCGCTAGAACCGGATCGAGTACTCCCTCTGCCGGGCCCAGCTTCGAGCTCGATTCTCCTGATACCGCAAAGAGCCCTAGTACTGCCACCACCGTGGCGAGTAAGGGCAGTAGGAAGAAGGGCAAGAAGGAGACGAGTGCTTACCAACGGGGACTTCTGAAGATCAGCCCCGCTGAAGCCGTCAAAGATGCCGACTACAGCGGGTGGATGAGAAAGAAGAGCTCCAACCTCATGACGACATGGAAGCCCCGATTGTTTGTGCTCAAAGGACGCCGACTTTCATACTACTATTCGGAGAATGACGATCAAGAAAAGGGACTCATTGATATTTCCTTCCACCGTGTTCTTCCAGCCGACAATGAACAGCTGACCGGACTTCACGCCAAGCTTACTGGCGCAGGTGCTACCACCGGACACGACGCCAACACTGGAGAAAAGGGGGATGATACCATGTTTATCTTTAAGCTTGTTCCACCACGCGCAGGCCTGTCCCGCGCCGTGAACTTCACCAAGCCGACTGTTCACTACTTTGCAGTCCCCAATCTCAAGTCAGGAAGATTGTGGATGGCAGCCCTCATGAAGGCCACCATTGACCGAGATGATACCCAGGCGATAACAACGACGTATCAACAAAAGACCATTTCCCTTGCCAAGGCAAGACAGCAGCGACACCGCCCTCCTGCGTTGATGAACCTCGAAGAAGCTCAAGAAGATGAGAGAAGACGAGCACTCGAGGCGAAGAAGAACGCAGACTCCCTCGGCATTACCTTTGGTGAGACCGACAGCGGGGTATCCGGCATGGAGAAGCCAAACTTCCCCAAGGTGGAGAGTGCCGACCCTCGGAAGTTGGCTTTTGAATCGGAGAACAATGGTACGGCCGGAGCACCGCCACAGAGTGCTTAGAGGTGGAACCCTTTTGAGCGTGTTTGTGGCACCTAATAAGTTCCCCTTTCTTCCTTCCTTTCTTGTACGATGGGACCTTTCTATATATACCTTTGTCATGTATGAGGGACACGAATTCCGCATAGGGGCGGCGTATCTGGGATTGCTTGAGGAGAGCCAGAAGATCCAGCAAGGAAGGGCGATGGACCTGGACATACGAGCGAATAATTTTCACAAGAGTGATTCCCTTTGTTTCCTTTTTCACCTTTTTTACTCTCTTTCTTCCTCTGGCTGTCGAGTCGCCTTGTAGAGAGGGCATAGACTCAGTTGGCAGCACAGCAACCGATGCTGTACATACACAGGAGAAGAAGGAGGTCCTTTAACGCGCACTAGAGGCTACGTTGATGAATGGAGTTGGCACAATGGCTTTTCTCCCCCGACAGGGGTTGATGTGCCATGGATAGGGGATGATACCTAATCAAAACAATTTTCTGATCTGATGCTTCCATGTTTGTGTGTATATGTCTACGGGATGTCTGTCTGACAGTATCAACGGAAGAGCGCGATTCGTCGCCGTAGGCTGCTTGCACTGAAGTTGGAATAGGAGACAATTTTGGGCCTGATTTGGTATCTCGGGGATTGCTGGAAGAATGAGGACGGACGGGTGGACATAACGAGCCACAAAGACAGAGGAAGGAGGGAATGAAGCAAGAATATGAGGACCTGGCAGAAGAAAAGGGCCTGCAGAAAGGAAGGAAGCAGGGCGGGAAACTTTGAGTGGAAGGTCTTTGGGTATCGGTAGCCTGACATACGGGAAAGGAAGGTTCTACCGGATCTATCGCAGCAAATCAATACAATTAATCGTAGTCATAGGTTCATTGCCAGTCATACGTCACGCGAGGAAGGAAATGAGCTACGAGCTCCAGTGATTCGATCCAAATTTGGTCGATTCTGTTGACTATCTACTTTGGTCGGCTTGGCTCAAACCTCTGACTCAAGAGGGGACCGGTCAAGAATGAAAGTGTTCACGAGAATATCTTTCCCCGTTTCCTACCATGTTCCCATCCTGTCCGATTCCTCCTTTCCTCAAACTCATCTCGCCACGGCCGTGTGCCCTGAAAAATCCAGGGTATTCTCAAACATGCAAAAAGACTGTTGCGAGATGCGAACTGCCAATTGCAAAAAAAGGGGGGTTTGACTTTGGGGGGTTATGCTTTTCTCAGGGAAGAGGAAAGGATATTTCCTAGAGTCAGATTCTGAACAAGAACGAGTGAAAGTTGTGTGTAAAATCATGGAAGGAGTTCAGAGCAAGCCAACTTCTTCTGTCAAAAGCAAGAGAAAATTTTGCCTGTCTTGATCTCTTTTTCCCAAATAGTACCTCCTCACTCGGGGGGAAGAATGGAAAGTCGAAGAAACGAGAATCCAGTTCCTGTAATTCAACACGTCGTTTTTTCTCTGGGGTTTGTTTGATTTTGTAACTTTTTTGGGTGCTTGTGTACTGAAGCTATGCCGCGACGAGGAATCTAGGCGGGTTGATCTCAAGAACAGTTCTAAGAGAACGAAACGCCGAGAGATACTGTGCCAAGTTTTCGTTCCACGACGATGCCCCCATGATGGGTACTCTGAGCATATTGTCTTTTTTGGGTTTTTTTTCGTATTGTTTTCTCAGCTTTTCATAATTATCGCAAGCAAAACAAATTAAACCATTCCGCAAGGCAGCAAAGAATAAGACGTCTCGGACCATTTCGTAAATCGTTCATCCGTGCGTCTCTTCGTATCGGCATGCTTCGTTATCATTCATTCGTTCAGAACCAGTCAGCATCATAGCCGGGAGCAGGACTGTCGGGAGCAGGCGCGGGGGGCGCGGTAGCGGCGCGACGGAAGCGACGAGGGGTACGGAGGCTCTCAACGGTAGCAGAAGCCTGAGCCTGAACCTGTGTATAGGTCCGAGCAGGAGCAAAAGCGTCGCTGTAGCCGTCGTGAATGCTAGAGACGCTACTTTCTCCTCCGCCAATGCTGCCAGCCGGAGTGACCTCGCCGGGAACAGATGGAGCAGGGCGGGAGGGGCAGGGGGGAGAGACGGTGCCAGGCTCGGGGCCGGGAGGGTTGGGGTAGCCGGCGGGAGGAGCAGGGTAGTCTTCCTCAGCCATGCCGTAGTGCCCGAGAACCTCACGGCGCTGGCCGCGGGTGAGAGGGACGGGGTCCATATCGTCGGGAAGATTGTTGTAGCCCGTCTTCTTGAAGGCGTAGCCGTGAGAAAGGGCCTCCTCGTGGTAGTTGGGATCGTTCCAGGGCTCGTCCTTGTTCTGGTTCTCCTCCTCCTTCTGGTTCTTCTGGCCAGTGGAGGCGGTGGAGTTGTAGCTCGAGGCATAGCTGGAGCCCGCGGCGGCAAGGCCGGAGGTGGTGTAATGGTTGTCATTTTCCTCCGCGAGGAAGTCATCTATATCTGCCATCTGCTGGGACGTGGTCGCGGGAACAACAGAGGTCGCAGGCGTGGGCGGGAGGGCCGTGGCGCCGGCGAGGCGGACAGCAGGACGCTGCTGGAACAGGTTGACGGTCACGGTCTGACGGGTGATGTTGTCCGAGGCAGCAGCGGGCGCCGGGGAAGTCAGGGCGCGGCTGGAGGACGAGGACGCAGAGGGGACACCGCTGAGAATGGCAAGAGCCGTCTCGAGATCGCGCGCCTTCTTCTTGGGAGACTGCTGAACGAAACGGTTGTATTCGTCCTGGATGACGGTCTTGATTTCCTCTACCGTGTAGCTTCGGGGGTCGCCAGTCTCTTCGTCGACCGGGGGCTTGGGGAGCGGGGCCATCTTGCGAGTGAAGCTGGTAAGGCAATCGGTGTTGTTCAGAAGGTTCGTAGGGGAGCTACTGCCGCCAGACGTGGTGGTCTGAGTTTGAGCTGGAGTTTTGTCCGACTTCTTCTTCTTGGTGGCCTCCTCATCATCACTGTCGACGAAGTCGTATTTGCTGTTCTTCGGTCTCTTAGGCCAGCTGAAGTTGCGAGCGCTACCGCTACTTCTCGGACCGCCGCTCTGAGTAGAAGAGCTACTGGTGGTTCTGTTCAGGAACGGGTTGTTGCCGTTGTAGGCCTGGATGAAGGAGGTGGACTCTCCAGCAACCATGCGGTACCTGCTGGAGGTCGACGAGCGTGAAGTATCGGAGATGGTAGGCGTCTTGCTTTGGGCCTGAGATACATCCATGGCGCTGACCTTGTCGTTGTCGACGGTAGGCTGCTTGGCGCGAGAGGGAATGCGAAGAGGAGCGGGCTTCATGGTGTGAGACGCAATTGAGCGGTCCGCGTAGGCCTCCTCGTCGAAGGCGGCAGGTGCCTGCTTGTTCTTGCCCTTTCCGAAACCGGGGACAATGTCCTTCTTCTCGATATCAGTCGAGAAAGTGTCGCGGATGGACTTTGTGTTTTCGAGATGAACAATCTCACCACGAGCATGAGCGGCGTTGACGCGCTCGTACGCACGACGGTTGATCTCGTCTCGCTCCCGCTGAGCAGCGGAGACCTTGGCGGCCTTGACGTCGTCGGTATCGGACAGTTCATCGTCGGAAACGTGAAGTGAGGTTCGTACGTTGCTCTAGAACGCATGCACTTCCTTCGGGTCTCTCTGGATGAAGGTGTAAGACTCGTCGCTCTCCGCAGTCTTCTGAGAGCGGTTATCCGTGGCAGTCGGCTTGGCGGCGATGGTCTTTCCTCCGGACTGGGTCCAGAAAGGGGGAGGGGCAGGCCCGTAGACGGGCTTGTCGGTAGCTTGAGCTTGAGCTTGAGCTTGAGCCTCGTCGAAGGCCTTGAGATAATCCTGGGCCTTGGCCTGGTACTCCGGCGTGAGATACTTGTTCAAGTGGAACGGGTCGCCGTTGGACGAGCCAGTGCTCGAGTCATCATCGTTGGAAGAAGAATCGTCGGTAGAGGCCTCCTTCATCTGGCTTTTGCTCTCCGCAGCTTGACCACAGGCGGTGGGCGTCTGGGTCTCTTGGGCCACGCGCTGAGAAGGAGCTGCAAGAAGCGAGTCGTCGTCAGAGTGGGCGTCGTCGGTGTACTCGCTACCAGAATCGGGAGGATCGAGAAGGTCGGCGGGCTTCTTGGCACCACCAAGAGCGCGCCAGTAGTCGATCTTTGCGTAGATCTCTGGATACTTCTCGCGAAGCGAAGCCTCCTTGGTGGTGTGCTCCTCGAGGGTCGGCGAAGTGACAGCCTGAGGGGCAGTAGCGACGGGGACCTCACCATTGCGAGCCTTTTGGACTTTCTTTTTGGCTTTCTTCTGGGCCTTTTGCTCGGCTCTGCGCTCGGCACGAGTGGTCTTCTTGGCCTCTTCCTTGAGAGCGCCCTGCTTGGATGACTCTCCGAAAAGTTCATCGAGACGAGCGTTGGTCGCAGCGAAAGCAGCTTCCTGAGCGAGACGCTCTTCCTTGGCGGACGGGTGGCGCTTCTCGAAGGCTTCGTTGAGCGAAGCCAACTTGTTCCACAATTCAATCTTGGCAGCCTTCACCATGGAGACGCCCTCGTCTTCCTCAAGAGGAAGAACCTTGACCTTGGTATGGATATGCTTCGGAGCAACATAATTGTCGAGAGAGCGCGCCAGGGACTCGTCATTGAAGTAATCCTCCATCTTGAGAAGCTCCAGGTCGGCAATGTCTCGAGCGGATTTTTCCTTCTCGGGCTGAGAAGCATCGCCAGCCGCGACAGAAGCAGCGATGGTATCAGTAGACTCATCAAACGACGCCTTGCTCTTGCCCTTGTCAGCAACGGGCGATGAGGAGGGGGTGAGATCGAAATCTCCGTGGTCAGACATCTTGTCGGATTTCTTGGGTGTAGCAGTTGCTCCTTCGAATTTCGCGACCATCGCCTTGACCGAAGACGCGACGGATGTTTGACGATCGCGAGTAGTCGATGGAGAAGGTAAGCCAGGTAAAATGTCTCGTTTTCGATGGATGATGCTTTGGCTTTCGGGAAGGGGAGGAGGGGATGACGAGGACTTTTGGTCGAATCCAAGAGCAAAATCGTCTTGACGAAAGAAGGAGGAAGCCTTGCGACCGAGATTGGCAGAAAAGCTGTCTGGGAATCGAGCCACTGGCCTCTTCCGGTCGAGCACACTGGGCTCAAGGGGCCCTCTAGGCTTCTGAGGGCCTGCCTCTCTTAGTTCAAGCGGGTCAAAGTGATCCATCGTGAGATGAGCGGCAAGACGAGACGGGCAGGTCAGGTGATTCTAGTCCGGACGGAGTGATGTGCTTCAAATTTCAGTCGAAGGAGAGGCGAAAGGCGAGATGGAAGCGAAATTTGACGTGAGCGGTTCGGAAGAACAAGCCGTTAAGCAGAACAAGGAGAAAATCGTCGTCAACAAAAGGGGCCAGTACGACGTAAAGGAGGGTCATCGGAGCCAAGCTGTATACCAAGCCCACAAGCTGGAAAATCAGGGGCGGAGTGAAGATGACTTCCATGAAAGAGGAGTTGGTGAGTGACTGGGGATTTGACATGTGTGATACTTGTGTGAATGCCGAGAGTGATGAGCTGTGATGAGAGAAGATGCGTGGAATTGGGTATAGCAGTTGTCCAATAATTGAAGGAAGGAGCACCTGCGCCTAGGTGGCAGGAAGCGAGAGATTGAACGCCACTCTGCCACGGTTGTCTTTGGTATATTCATCTTCATATTCCAGACGATATTCCAGATGAACTTTGACCCATCTTTCAGGCTGGACACTTGACTTGGTAAGAGAGCACCCCCTTTATAGATGCAATGGCAACTCTCAGAGCATGTCTTGTGGCCTCGAATCATTGAGAGGTATGTAATATGCGTAGAGGAGTACATCCAGAGTCCCTCAGAAAACATTTCGATGGTGTGTGATATGTTCTATGCTCATAGAATCAAAGCTAGTAGTCACTAAGACTGACTGTGGTCTCTTTCGGAAGACTTTTCTCGTATATTTCCCCCACAGCCTTCACTAGAAGCTGATTGTCCTATTTGCCTCGTTATATGCTCGAAGTTGCTGCTTTCCGTAGCCTATGCTAGAGATAATGATATGTAAGACTCACTACCACAAGCGTTATGGAGATTGTTGATTGGCGTTAAGGAAATACAACCGCAATAAGATAAAGCTAGAAATTGTATGCATTGGGAATTTACGGCCACTTGGCTGAAGGTGTTGTGTTTTGAGCGTTACCTTGCGTTGTCAGACAGCCGACATGAATGCCAGTGGGAGAGACGTTCAACTTGAAATACCTTATCTCAGGGACACCATATTTTAGACTGTGCAAGATGCGACAGCCTCATTTATCTCTCCATACTACACGTATCATGGGTTTCATAGTCCTACACCAATATTTCGTGTCCTTAGAAGGTGGGCTGTTGGATAATGATCAAAAGTCAAGCCTAGACGGTGGTGCTGTTGGTCGTCCACGGTGCACAGACCACCCGGCAAATCCACCTTCCCGGCCACGGCTTCCTCCGTGTCTTCTCAGGGTTCCACGTTGCTTGAAAGGCCCCCACATCAGTTAAGTGGTCAAGGGGAACACATCGCAGCTGCCCGTCATTTGGCATCAATCATCAACGACAACCTCCCTCCGAACGAACGAAACCGCCAAAATGGACCCCTACTCTGCCGAAGGCGAATTGATCAACATCCACAACTATTTCCACCAGGGCCAGTACCAGGAGGTCATTGATTACGATACCTCTGCCCTTTCCTCCGAGAATGAGCTTCCCGCCCGCGTCCTAGTCCTGCGAGCCCGCATCGCCCTTGGTCATGCCGAAGATGTTATCGCCGACGTACAGGGAGAGAAGGAATCCGAACTGGTCGCCCTTGGAGCGCTCGCTGAGAGCGCACTTGGCAAGACGGATTCTGCCGTGAAGACGATTGAGAAGCTCGCCGCATCCGAGGGGGAAAACGCTACAGTTCAGATTGTTGGAGGCACAGTCCTGCAGGCGGCGGGCAAGCCAGAGGAGGCTCTTGCCTTACTTTCACAGCACCAGGGAAGCTGTACGTTTGACTCCCATGAGTAGTTGAAGGAATTGGCGCTGACCCGGGACTCCCAGTGGACGCTGTTGCCCTGATTGTTCAGATCCATCTCCAACAGAACCGCAACGACCTCGCTCTCAAGGAGGTCACCGCCGCGAGACGATGGGCACAGGACAGCTTGTTGGTCAACTTGGCCGAGTCATGGGTTGGTCTGAGACAGGTACGATAACTACACCACGAATGAAAGAACGAGACTAAGAAAGAACAGGGCGGAGACAAGTATCAGCAGGCTTTCTACGTGTTCGAGGAGCTTGCGCAGGCGCCAGCAACGTCGTCAATTGCAACTCTCGTCTCTCAGGCCGTTGCTGAGCTGCACCTTGGACGTACAGAGGAGGCACAGGCCGCGCTGGACCAGGCTCTGGCCAAGGACGCAGGCTATGCTGAAGCCATTGCTAACCTTCTGGTGTTGACGGTGATTTCGGGCCAAGATCCCAAGGAGTTCACGGAGTAAGTTCCGATGCCTTGGTTGTAGAGGCGTCGAGTCGACATGCTGACCACGTGGACACAGTAAATTGAAGGCGGCGGACCCCCAGCATCAGTTCTTGGTGGACCTGGAGGAGAAGAGTGCGCTATTCGACAAGGCGGCGACAAAGTACAGCCCCAAGGTGTCTGCATAAGGTAGACAGCGGGGCGGTGTGTACTGCTGATGAGGCATAATGTTAGGCGTACGGTTTAGAGGAACTCAAATGGAGATACAACGGCTCGGAAAGGCGCAACGAGACCACTCGAATTACTACTTTCCGCTTGAAGATACCCATCCGCTCGCCCTCGCTTGATCCGAAAGTCGGTTCTTTCTTTGCCAAATGCGCGCGACCCGCCAGTGATCGGCAGGGCTCGAAGGGTCTATGGTTTCGCCGAGACCGTCTGGCCAGCTGTTCATTTCGGGCATGCATGAGTAAACCCCCGGGCCATGGTAAGACGGGACTGGACAGCCGGAACTGAGAGGACCGGTTGACCGAAGCCGCCCGAGGTGACGGATCGGTGGCTTTTCACATCGGCAGATTGACATCATGGCTTCCGATTCTTGATTAGCACCAAGCGCCAACTAGACGGCCGGGGCCCCCTTGCGCCTGACTCAGGGCTTTTTCCCAACTTTCTCAAGTCAAAGAAGTAGGAGAATCACAGGCAAGCAGTTCTTGTTAGGGCTTACTGCCGGGACAGGCCAATCGAACTTGCGCTCTGAACAGTTTTGGCTGACGGAGCAGACTTTCCGGCAAGGATTGAGTTTGGGCAATGATGGACAGGACATCCGAAGTACAGAAAATGTTGCCACTATCTTTCGCATCGCACAGCATCGAATTTTGTCTCGCTTGTCTCGCCGGTCTAGCATTGTGGATCGAGCCCGGACGTGGAGGGGTAAATTGAGCACTCAGGGTCTTGCACGGACGCGCGGGGCTCAGAGAAAGTCGAGATTACAGATTGCGCGATGCATATGCTCAGTCACTACATCTCACTTCATTCGCAGGCACATGCAAAGATCGCCTTCAACGTCATCGGTTGCTGTAGGTTGACGATATCAGCAGTGCCCTACCGATAAAGGTCTGCTACCTTATGACGGCTTGCAAGGGGTTTGGCGCCATGAAAGTTGTCGATAAGGACTCTTTGTGAAGGATTGCAGGTTTCTGCTGGTCTGGCTCAACTTGATACGTATACGTACAGCGCAGGCCTCGTTGTGTTCACCGCCAAAACGGACATGGGTCCTGATCGGCTAGAAAATGCTCCTCGCACAACTGCATGGCGAGGACTCGTCGAGACCTCAGTCAGCCGGGGACCAGACGAATGAGAAGACCGGGCCGCTACAGATGGGATGGAATCATTGGAGGACAGCGAAAATGGAGGGCACGTCTAGGCTCGAGCATGGAGACTGGAGAAGGATGGAGGCTCCGCTCATTTGCCCCAGCATCCCCGACCTCGATTGTTTCGATCTCGTCCTCAAGGCTCAAGGCTCAAGCCCCTTTCACAATGCATATGCACGTCTCCACGGGCCTTGGGCTAGACGAGCTGGAGTGTAGCAGCGAGTTAGCAACGACTCTGGGGCCAAACGACCAAGGCACGTACACCGTGGCCAAGCCTGCCCGCATCGCGTTGCATCGCGTTACGACAAAAGTCACTTGGCTAGCGCACCTTGTTGAAGGTTAAGCGCAGTTAAACTGCATGTTGGACGCGGACCAGGACATATTAGAGCCTTTTTGGTGCTCTTCTCAGCAACTACGGAGCAGAGTACTCATTTACGCCTCAAGCAACACGATAAAGAGCCCCACTGAGGGACGGAATGACATCACCGCGCAGGTAGCTCGAATTTGGCCATTTTCCCATCAATTCCTCCATGTTTTCCCCATCCGCCAACCAAATGCCACATGCCTCTGGTGTTGGCAAAGGAACAACAACTGTGGGCTTGTCACCCTTTATCCTTGCACGCATCATGGAAGGACGCAAGGCCGTCTACCGCACCCTCAATGCAGCACATTCATCCCCTCTGGCATCAGGTCTTCACGTCCCGACTTTCCTTACGTTTTCTGCTTTGCTTGGATCAGCTCGGCGCAGTGAATGTGGGGACGGGCTTCAGACTCCGCTCTCGGTGGCATATTTCCCATTTCCCCCATGTCGATGTACCGATGCGGCCAGGCTTTTGACTGTGGTCCTTGGGGGCTGGAATGTTCTGTTTGGTGGCACCTTTCTCTGTTTATTTTATTTTTTTCACATACGCAGTACTCTCTCGCTCTTCGGACGGATGTATCATGTCGCCTCCCGACCCTTCCCCCCTGCTCAAGTGAACCGATGGGGCACGCTGACCGAAGCATCGGATTCTGCAGCCATCATCGGCCATTGTGGTGGCTGTCTCGAACAGTCGGAAACGGTTTTATCTGTCCACTTTGTTTCTAACCTTTTCGAATGCCGGCTTTGGGAGGGCTGAATGCCAACAAGTTACGAACCAAGGACTGCCATTCCACTGGACTCGTTCCGGGTTCGTTGGAGAAATCTTTCTCCTGGCGATCACTAGAGGCTCTGCTAGACTCTGAGACCTGGTCGGAGCCTCCAAGTGGCTGTCTGCCACATCGCTCACAGCCATTTGTCAGATTGCACAGCCCGCCGCCTTCCGTCTCTCGTGTGAGGGTGTGGGAGCGTGGCAATACAGCCAGCCCATCCCGCAACTCTGAAAAAAGCTCGAGAGTCGGAGAGAGAGGGGGGTAAAGGAAACAACCAGTCATACTCCGTACACTGGTCGAATCTGGCCCTGCCCCTCGTTCGCGCTAGAACATCCCAAGTGGGCATGGTTCGGAAAAGCCAAATGCCTTTGCCCTTTGGGGCCCTGTGAGACGCCGTCATCGTATGTGGTGTCCATTGGCGACTGGCAGTCTGCGGTGCGCCCGTTGACGCCGTCCGAGTCGGCGTCTCGGCCGCTTGCCATTGTGCAGTAGCATCCCGGAAGCGGCTTTGAGAATCCCCAACGAGAGCGGAGTCCTTCTCGCTCAAAGGCTGGCTGGCCTTGGCTAGGGTTCTTCTTGTTCGGCCATGATCCATGACCCCCTCGTTTTGGTATGGTTTCTCTTCCATGTAAGCCCTTTGCTCATGCAGGTTGGCGCGCCCTGACGCCCCGTATTTGGCGGAGGACTCGGGAGAGGGACGGGGGTGGCGGGGAGGGGTGTGAAGAAAAAGCTAACTACCTTTCGGAATTCAGGCCGTCATCGTGAAGAGGATGCTTTGGCTGGCCGGCTGGCTTTGCGCCTTTTTTCTTTTCTTTGCCGTTACCGGTTCGGTCAAGAGTTCGGCAGTATCGCATGTGGGCATTGACTTCTATTAAAGCTGGACACCTCCCCGGTGAAACTTAGGCGTGACAACTTTAATTCCTAAATATCTAACCTTTGTTTGTGTATCTGTTCGAGTCTACAAATACGTCTCCTAGTGCCAGTGTATCCCCATATCTTGACACAACCAAAGCATACACAATCCTCCAACCGTCACGATGCCCATCGCCATCTCTCCCTCAACAGTCAAGGCTGCCGCCGAGTCTGGCCTGCCTGCTTCGCAGAACAAGAAGCGCAAGATCATCTGCTTCTCAGGTAAGATCACCTCTATTCACCCCTGAATCTCACAACTTGCTAACACCGAGTCCTCCAGACTTTGACGGAACGATCTTCATGCAGGACACCGGCCACATCCTCTTTGACGCCCACGGCTGCGGCTCGCAGCAGCGCGAGATCCTCGACGAGCAAATCAAGTCCGGCGAGCGCTCCTTCCGCGACGTATCCGAGGAGATGTGGGGCTCCCTCAACGTCCCCTTTGACGACGGCTTTGAGGTGATGGAGAAGAAGCTCGAGATCGACCCGGCCTTCCAGGAGTTCCACAAGTACTGCATCGCCAACGAGATTCCCTTCAACGTCATCTCCGCCGGCCTCAAGCCCATCCTCCGCCGCGTCCTCGACACCTTCCTCGGCGAGGACGCCTCCGCGCACATTGACATCGTTGCCAACGAGGCCGAGATCACCGACGACGGGTCCGCGTGGAAGCCCATCTGGCGCCACGACAACGAGCTCGGCCACGACAAGGCCCTCTCCATGGGTGAGGCCCGCGAGCAGGCCGAGATGGCGTGCGAGGACGGCACCATTCCCCTCATCGTCTTCATCGGCGACGGTGTGTCCGACCTGCCCGCCGCGCGCCAGGCCGACGTGCTCTTTGCGCGCCGCGGCCTGCGTCTGGAGGAGTACTGCGTCGAGAACTCGATTGGTTACATCCCCTTTGATACCTTTGCCGACATCCAGACCGAGATCCAGCGCATCCGCGACGAGGACGACAAGAAGACGGGTGGAAAGGGTATGCCTGCCGCCTTCAACCCGCGCGCCAACATGTGGAGACGCATGTCGAGCAAGACGGCGATCCCCAAGCTCGTTGCCATCACGCCTGCCGAAGAGAAGATGTTTTTGTGGCCCGAGGTGTTCAGCGTTGCTACGCCCAGTATCGAGAAGGCCAACATTGCTCCCGTCTTCGCTTAGGCGTCATGCCAAGGGGTAATCCTCTTCTCATTTGTTTATCGTCAAGTCGTTTCTGTGTTTGAAGACGACTGCTGCATAGCGTGCGAATTTGCTTTCAGAGAATAATGGTTCGGATACTCTGGCGTTGGCTTCGGTTACAAGGTTTGGCTTGGATTAGAGATTCAATGGTGTAAAGAGAAGTTGATAAACTATCTTCCACATCATTAGATATAGATACAGTCACAGATCAAGAATACAATGTCTTGCCATTTTAAATGATTGCTTCCGTTGCGAGTAACTGCTTTGACACTTGATGTGGCCGGTCCCAGATAGCGTCTTACGACCAGTTGGTATACTTCAGCCGTTATCAAAGCTATCTGACAACACAGAGCATTCGTCTTTGAGAGGAACGCCGACAGACAACTTTCCATACACAGGGAGACAGAATTACAGATCAACATGGCGACACGGCCCAATTGTGTTCCAGAACTTCTTTTAATTCAACTCAAGTCTCATCCAGAGGCTTTCTTCTGTATATTCTCGAGTCCCTGGTTTCCCTGACCAGCCAAAGCAAAACACTAGGGTATAAACGTACTACAATAACCGTTCCCCTACGATTGTCCAATCCAGTCCCGTACCTGTCCCATCCATCCATTTGGTCGAGATAATGATATCAGTCGTCACCCGTTTCGTTTCCCATCTCTATACATCAACCCTGTTCTCCATTTCCACCATAAAAACAATAATACACACACTGACTTCCCTAATTAACACCATTACAATGCCTTTCCTAGATGCAGAACTTTTTTTCGAAACAAGAAAACAGCAAGAGCACTCGTGAACCCAACTCATGACAAGGGGTACTGTAGAGCCCGAAAGAGAAATATGTACAGCTGAACGGGAAATGAATAAAACAATGTGCAGACAAACGTAACCGAAGCAAGGAAGCAAATCAAGAATCAAGCATACCCCTTGGCAGGATCCAAGACGCTCACACCCTGGCTCGAAAACGTAGCATGCCCAAACGTAGTCTCGGGATCCTGGTCAACGACACCCCACGCGACGTTGCTATACGCGGCGCCGACGTCGCTCGGCGGGCGGTGACACCGCGAGGTAATCACGGCGGAACACCCGCCGCCCTGCAGCACGAGCGGGTTCCCCGCCTTCTCCCCGTCGACGCTCGTGGGCGACGGGTCCGCGCGCCGGAGACCCAAGCCCAGCACCAGCGCCGCGACGACGACGAGGAGCGCCAGGAACGCGAGCAGGCCCACGCCGCTGAAGCCGACGCCGTTGATGGGCATGGGGAACTTGTCGTCGCGCGTGGCGGGCCGCATGTCGACGGAAACCATGGGCACGGCGTTGCTCAGGACGAGGCTGAGCGCCGCGAAAAGGGCGAGGAGGAGCCAGGATAGGGGGCGGGGGAGGGTGAGGTAGAGACTTGTTGTCTGGGTGCCGCGGGGCCGGCCGGAGCTGACGCGGAGGGGGAGGGAGATGCCCGGGAGGGCGTACTGGCTTAGCTCGTGGGAGAGGTAGTAGGAGGAGAGGAGGGCGTTTGTGGAGAGGTAGAGGGCGGCGAGGAGGAGGTGAGGGAGGGCGGCGACGATGGCTACTCCGGCGCGGGCGCCGCCGTTAGGAAGGGGGTAGAGCTCGTGGGGGAGGGCGCTGCCGAAGGCGCCGAGGGAGGAGGACGAGTCTTTTCCGAGGGAGATGGCGAGCGCGGCGGCGGCGAGCGCCGCTGGCGTGGCCCAGGTGATGAGCCAAAAGGTCCAGAGGGTCAGGCCGGGGGTCTGGAACCAGAAGTGGTCGCGCGAGGTCCAGTATTTTGCCTCGCGGTAGCCCCAGCGGCCCTGTTTGACGTCCGTCTTGTCGAGGAGGCAGATGCCGCGGGTGGTGTGGTCGGGCTGGGAGATGAAGGAGGCCAGGGCGTCGCCGAGGGTGACGAGGGGCTCGAAGCCGGTGAAGAAGTAGACGGCGCCTATGGCGGAGACGGAGACGAGGTTGAGGATGGCGATGACGCCGAGGAGGGAGCCGTTGAGGACGACAGTGCAGGGGTTGCGGTCCTCGGGGCGGGCGAGGCAGTAGTCGACCGAGGAGCTGTTGATCTTGATCTTTGTTGGGTTGGACGGGTTAACGATGAAGGGGGCGAGGGAGGACCCAGACTTTTGGGTCTGGACGAGGGCGTTGCTGGGAGCGATGACGTCCGTCACCAGGACGACGGCGGTGAAGTCGCTTTGGTAGACGCCGCTAAATTCCCTTGCGCACTCGGCGTTTGTGAAGTTGGTAAGCTGGTTCCGGGACGCCCGGTCTTGGAGGTCGAGGATGTCGCCTCTGGAGAGACCGCCGGCGTTCGTTTCTGAGGCGTTGCTGAACTGGCCCGAGGCGAGAAACTCTTGTGTGACGAAAACCACCTGGTGCGCGTAGCCAGGTTGCGTTGAAAAGATTACAGCATTATAACTAGTGAAAAAGTCAACGCCTGTCAGATCTGGTGAAGGGAATCATGCTCTCAGCAACAACAGCAGCAGCGCGCGCATACATTACTTGGGTACTGACGGCCGCCAGCATAATGATGGCCGTCATGACAACCCGCGGTTTCGATACGAAACACAGGTTTCTAAAAGAAGGGATCCCGAGGTCGAGCCACCGCCTCCCGTCGTGCGCCATCTCAATCTCGATGCGCGTGGGACTGCTCAGGACCTGGAAGACGTAATTGGCCGCCGACAGCAGCACAATGGTGATGACGTTGATGGCGACAAAGAGGCCAATCTTGAGCTGTTCGGCCGTCGCGCAGGAGCCTTTGAAGATTATGCTCTCGCCCCTGATCATGCCGACGACGACGAGCGCGAGGACGAGACACACGATGGCGACGATGAGAATGGCGAAGCCGATGATGATGTTCAACGCGATGCCGGCCCTCCAGCCCGACTTCATCCTGCTAAAGGTACCTCCGCCTCCGCGCTTCTCGTCCGGCGGCGGCAGCATCCGCTCGAGATCCCCAATCTCGTTCTCGCCCGTCGACGGTCGATCCGTGGTCGCCTCATCGTAAAATCCTTGCGCGGCCGCGTGATTCGCCGCGGCGGCCTGTGCCTCCAACGTGTCTGGGCTCTCCGTCTGCCTCTTGCGTTCCTCTCTCCGCTGCGCCATGGTCTCGGGCGTCTCTCCCCTGATGTAGTTGATGATGTAGTCCGGGACGATATTTTCCAGAATCGTGGCCGTCGAGTTGCGCTTCCCCGGCGCCCACGTCGCTCTTCGAGTCGGTTCTTTTGGTTCTTTTGGTGGAAAACTTTGCGGGTCCGGGTAGCTCCCCGTGAAGCCAGTAAAAGGCCTCGACGAGGCGACATCGGAAGCGGAGCTCTGGTGACGGAGAAAAGGCCATTGCACCGTTTGCCTGCTCACTGTACTGTCTCTCTGTTCATTGTTTTCTTGGAAGCGAACTCTGAGGTGAGAGAGTTGCGTTAGTTGACCGTACAAACTTAACTCTCAAGATTCTGTAAAGAGGGTGTGCTGGAATGGTCCAACCTTTCTATCCTCTCGACCTGTCCTTCGTCGTCCCATACATATCTGTAGGACGGCCCATGATCTCTGGGTGGAATTACAACTTCCATGACCTCGTGGAGGACAGCAGCGCAGATTCGTTCGCGCGGCACATGGACATGAAGAGATTAATGAAGAAGAAAAAGAAGAAGAAGAAGAATATTGAAGGAATTGCCAATATGGATAAGGTGTAGTATGGTATAGTTAGTAGAAGCCGGTCAGTGCGGGATGAGGCAGAGGCGTCAGCAGCAGCAGAAGGAAGACCGAAGGAGTGTAGGCCTGGTTCTTTTGCAGCAGATTCTTTTTCGTCTCGTCTAGAACAGTAAAGACAAAACAGAATAGAGTTTTAGAGTGACGTGCAACTGACACGTTTGGTGAAGGGGGCGGAAGGAGGAAGGGAAAAAGGCATCCATGGCAGAGCGCCAGGGCTTGCGATCGTCTTGTATATGTCAGAGGACTCTCTTAGCCTCTCTGTACTCTCCTTCTCTTGCCCGTCCGACCTCTCAGACTCGGACGGCGGGCCTCTTGCGGGAGAGGCGGCCCTAACAAGCAAGGGCACAGAAGCGTAGGTGGAGGAAGCAGGGTGACCGATTATTGGACTAAGGGCATGGGCAGATCATGAGCAGGGGAGGGACCCTGTTTCCCTTCGGCGTAGGAAGGGATTTGAGACTTCTCAGGCCTCTATTCTGATGCGGAAGGATGAGCCACAGCGCAAATCGAGGACGACTAGCGGGATGGGTCACGGTGTGTGGATGGAGGAGGAGGGGGAGACTTGAGGGAGATGTGACATGGGGCTGTATAATGCCCGAAGATGGAGGGGTGACGACGTCGGAGCATGACGAGAGCAACCAGGGATGTTGGATGCAGATGCTTTGAGATGCAAGATGAGATGGCAGCCCTCGCGCGTGGTGAGCGACTCAGCCATATTCCCTCTTCTGCGGACAGTTCGTGGATTAGATGACAAGAGAGGGAAAAGCAGAGAAAGCAAAGCCCGCAGAGCCATATCGTTGACCGTGCTGGGTAATTGGCAATAGGGGTGGCTGAGCTTTGATGAGCTCACGGGTCATAGTGTGAGTCGAGGGCAAAGCTAGAGGATCCGATAATCTGGGACCAAGAGGAGAGTGGGTAGAACAGACGAAGAAGGGACAGAGAAGAAAGCATTGATATCTTTGACGTGTCTTGTCTAGTGCCGGCCGTGTCTGACAATGTCTTTGTTTCTCGACGTTTGAGGGACGTGGAAAATCCGAATCTCGGTCAATGCTGGCTTGGCCTGCCAAACGATTGCAACTCATCGACGGGACTTTGACGAATACGCCTGAGTATGTTTCTTCCCCTCGGAAAGGGAAATCAAGAGGCGTCGGCGGCGGCAGCGAACTAAGACTTGCAGCCCATGGAAGAGAGAGGGACGATGTACGTCGATCCGGGAGCTACGGCGGCGGCGGCGGCGGCGTTGGTGAGAGTATCCGCAAGATGTAATTAGGTGGAATTAGTTCAGGCCGAGTTGGGACGGACACGATTGGATGCCAACAGTTCCCATTGCCGTTTCAGACGTAAAGCCCTCGTGACTACTGTCATGAAGGGCATAGAAGCACATCCAACTACCGGCATGTCTCTTGGAGGAAACGGCGGCCGAGAAGGGGGCGGACAAGGGGGGGAAGGACGGTTTCTGCGCATGTTCGCCAGGGCTGCATACCTTACAGTCAAACTCAACACTAAAGGTGCAGGGGGGAGGAAGACTTGAAGCACCTCAAAATCCACAATAAAAAGGAACCAGGAAGGGGGGAAGCATTGCCGGTGGACGGCTGGTCTTGTTACAGACGAGACCAATCAGAGGCCGCCATGGCACTCTGCATTTTCCATCTTCAGAAATCGGCTTGTTCTCTTCTGGCTTTGGCTTTGGCTTTGGCTCTGGCTCTTCTAGACACCTGCAAACCGATGGGCTTTCGACCACGGCACGCGTGGCTGGAACTCTCTTATCTATGCCTCTCACGGATGAGTCTTTTGCGGATTATTGCCCTAAGATTGAAACATTTTCAAAAGGGACTGGCATCCCTTCATGAAGCATCCTCCAGTCCATCACGGCGTCACCAAGCTGCGATTGTCTCGATCCCTTATGCAGAGGAGCCCTCACTCAACCCACAGGAAAAGAACCATTCAAGGCCTGGAACGGTCAACCCGGGCTTCTCATCCACCCAAGATCCAACCATCCCTACCGCGTATCCCCCTCGCCCCCATCCTATCTGGTCCTCTCCATTCAACCCAAAGTCCCAAAAGACCCATCGAGGCCGTGAAATGTGAAGGCGAGCCAGGCACCACTCACACTTTCATGCGTCCGACGTAGCCCCATGCCACCGCATCTGGGGTCTGCCTGTTTCAACAACGTCCCTCTCTCAAGGGGGCTGAGAACTCGAGAAGCATTAAGTGTGCAGCGCTAGAAAAAGTCTGGCGAAAAATGCCCGTCGAACCATATGTCGGGCACCTATAAGTTACAAGCCAACAGCTTTTCTTCCTCTTCAACACAAGTTGCCTCATCCTGGCCCTCATCCCAGGAGTAGTAGGCTTTTGCCCATTCCTCCTCCCCACCCTCACCTCGTGCTTCCCTCACAGCCTCACTCTGCGCATTGAGTCCACGAGCAGAGGTCATTAAAGTCGATTAAAGATGAACCCCCTTCCCCCCTTCACTTTCGATCGGAAAGGTTGGGATGCTGGGAGACTCCCATTCGTACCGTTCGGGCTTGCTTCAGCTCCAACTAGGGCCCCAGATTCAATTAAACGCCAAGTGCGCGTGCGACTTTTGCGCGACGCCCCAATGTCGTAATGGCATAGACTCGGCCGGCTTTCCTTTCAACCCTCAAATCTCCTACTGTCTCCGCCGCCCACTGCGGCCGTCGCCATCACTGCCCCCCGAACGTTTGGCTCCTCTCCGAGTCTCCCCTTCAAAGCGACCCCAGTTGGAAAGGAGAGTGATGAATGAACGAATCAGTGAATCTAGAACGAAACGTCTCTGATCATTGGGAATCATTGCAAATGGAACGTTGGCATTCGCTATGCTTGCGCATGTTTGGGGCAACTGCTTGCGAGTTTGCGACCGAAGCTAACCAACACCACCACACTCACAGACTCTGGGCTTTTGTCTACCCCAGGTTCGTCTGTGGACGGACGGTGAGCCGGAAGTAAATCCTTCCCCTCCGCTGACGACTCACCGACGCAATCTCGCAATAAGATGGTCGAGTTATACACAACCACCACATCCAAAAGTAGAGATAGAAAGACCATCTTCCCCGAATGAGGTGTGAGATGGCGCCCAGCCATCATCTTTTGAAACGACGGAAGTGCGCCATCGTTGGCGCCCCGCGGGATCTGTTAGGCTGTTAAGCTATGACATTTCATATTATATCTACCAACGATCGCCTCGGCAGACCTGAGGATTGCGGTGACAAGTGAGGCTAACTCTGTGACGGCGCTGCTAGGAAAGGTAACCACTGACGGGCGGCTGCTTAACTTTGACAAGTAAGTGCTAGCAGAGAGCTGTGCGTAAATTGCATCTTGTTGTTGTATGTCATCAAAGATGTCTATCTGTCAAGAGCGCACGTACCCAGCGTTGTAGGACAATGCGAGGGCATCGCACAATGGCAGTGCAGCACCGACAAAAAAAAAAACGCTCATTCGGGCGAATAATAGCAAAATAATGTCAAGTTGACAACATGAAGATGAAAAATAAGTCAAGATCACGCTCAACAACAACATAGTACGTGAAAATGGCAAAAGAATTCCGAAACCGAGAATCGAACTCGGGGCTATGCCTAACCTCTCACTGAGATGAGAGGGCATCATGTTGGCCACTACACCATATCGGATGTTCATGTCTTTCCTGGCCTAAACTCAAAATAAGTAGGGCAAGATTCACCCCACCAAGCTAAGTAGTCACCAGAGCAGGTATTCGCACCACAACTGGCAGACGAACTTCTTCCTCGAAACTGGTCAATTGTTCAGCCATCTCAAACAAATGACATTCGTCGCCCTCCCCAAAGCTTCTGCATCAAACAAACAATTTTGCGAGCCAGCGGGTGGACTCGAAGTTTTCTTCTCGACCAGTCATGCAGCTCGCCTTACCACTACAACAGTCAGCCTGTCTGGCACATTACAAATGTCCACATGCTGACCATTCTGCGATTCCACACAGAATGGCGTGCCGCGTTCTGCCCTTTTGTGATTTACAATCAACGTTTCAGCCAACACGAAGCTGGTCAGCATTTCTCAGCCGCCAGAGCCCAGAGGAATGAGAGAGAGAGTGTGTGCATCTAGAGCCATCGGAAAACCCACACCTCACCAAGGTACCTCACCCATGTCGCATCCTCAGTCCCGGCTCCTCAGACTGGGACGAACGTCGTCCCATCCGGAGAGGGTGCAGACGTAGTGTAAACACGCGGGAAATAATTGCCGGAAGTACGGACATACGGTACATCTTACAGTTTCGAATGTTCCGCGTACCGAGAGCCACAAGACAGAAGAAGATGGTTTCCGGCAGCTCCAATCGGCACAGCAGGAGGAGTTACAGCTTGCCTAGCTGGAGCTTGGTCGTGTGAGTACCGCACCGCTGGAGCGTTAAGGTTTTGAAGAAGGCCTGCAGTGCAGGCTGCTGGTCAGTCTCGCTGTCGCGGGGCAGCAGCAGCAGAAGCTTCGGACCCCCACGGTTCGGAACGTGGAGCTCCAGCCAGTGAGGCCGGGCGGGTTTCTCTGTCCTTCACGAAACCTACACACGACTGTTGGTCCTTGGATACCTACTTCCAAAGTAGGCATACCGGTCCACAATCAGGCAGCCTTGGAGCTCACCTGCCGCAACCTTCACGTAGCTTCTCGCGCGGTGCCAGGCTAGGAAAGCCCAAAGACCAATCCTGAGACCTCAAACTTGGCAGATGGTTGCTTCCTTTGGGCATCCCGTCGGGAAAGGAAGTCGGAGCAGAAGTCGGGAGGAGCTCCGACCCGAAGCGGCCGATCCACAGTGCTATTGCCTGCCTCTCTTGGGCCTGATGGAGTACCTAGCATGGCAGCAGAGGGCATATTGCCCGTAGTAATGTACCGTACGGTAAACGGATAGTTAGCCAAGTCCCGGCAACCACTTCGGGATCTCTTGCCTCTGCCCTGCGAGGGTCGGTTCGGCCACGGGTGGACCGTTATTGACCGTGGATCGTGTTTTGCAAACTTGGAGCTGCCTTGGTCGTGAACCCCGGCCAATCATGAAAGATCCTGGCATACTGCGTAGGTATCCGTACCTGTTGTGGGTTGTGGCTGGTGTCACTCTTGCTTGCTCATTCCCCATCTCTAGCACGCAAGCAGTGACGTATCTTGGTAAGAGTCAAAGGAATCTGCCCCTCTCCCCGTCGTCACTCTTGCTAGATTATCATCTTGAAGCAAAATGTCGTCGTGTCTCTTGCGAGGGCCGAAATGGCAATGCCCCAAAGTGAGCAGTTTGACAATGGACAGGACCTCACTCTGGCGAGATCCCAACGCTCTGCAATATCCATCAACAGCTAACAAACAGATCATTATCCCACACATGCTCCGTACTTCGTACCCAACGGCGACTACGTACCAAATCCACGCCAAAAGGATCAGCAACGGCATCCAGCCATATCCAGTCACACTTTCTTTCCGTTGGCAAGCTCTTCTGGATCTAGATGGAGGGGCCTTTCAAAGTTCAAGGGCCAGGCCGACGAACCAGATGATGCGCCGTGGCTAAAAATGGTCAGCCCAGCCTACCTTACGGGATACATGTCTACTGTGTATGTATGTACTTCGTCCGTCCACAGGGACCCGTCCGCCCTTTCAGGTTCCGGACCACCAACGCCCACCCGTCCGTATGATGATTTAGCACAGCCACAGGCCTCGAATCGTACGTTTTCACTCCCACCTTCCTCCCGTCAGATTGCACCAGATTCACCCGTCTGCTTACTTTGTCTCGGCGTCCATTGGTCAGAAGCCATCAATCTCACTCTTCTGGGCTCTTGATTGGTGAATCTCGACTGTGGCGGCTATCCTCTTGGGCAGTGGGGGTTGAAGGTGCTGCCAGCCTGCGTTGCCTGCTCATCCCACCAGGGAGGGGTGTGAAGGGAGCTCGCCGGGCCTTGTTAGTGGGCGGTTCCCTCTGCGCAACGAGTCACACTCAATCTCCTCATGCCCGCCCTCGTCCGTTTTCTGCCTCTTTTGACGCCAAATCGCATGTTTCGTGCCCCCCCGTCCGCCGATTTGGGTCCAAGTTGACAGGTGGGAGCGCGCGCGCCGTGAGGACACATCACAAATGTACGCAGTACCTACCTGTGGCATTCGTACAATTCATCCTACTGTGGTACAAGTCAGAAAGAGAAAGTGGAGGAAAGTGAGAAGCGAAAAAAGGGTCCCCCTCTCCTGGTGCCTGGTCTGGTGCCACGCCCACGCCTACCGCGCAGTTCATCTCTTTGCCCACGACTTCCAGCCCAAATATAATGCAGCCCGTCTGCTCCCCCTCATAACTTGCCTTCTATCATCTTGTTTCCCATTCTCCCTTTCAAGGATTCTAATAATAACCGACCAAGCCCTATTACCACCATCCTGCTCTTTCCCTCTGCCACCAGAGCCGCGTGTCGATAACTCCACATCCAACTTGACCTCAGCCTCACTCAACCTCTTATACAAAGCACGCGACCACCACCCTGCAACTATCTGAGACTTCTTCCGTCTCTTCATAACCTACAACTTACAAATAAGTCTTCTCACACGACAACCACACACACCCACTCCAAAATGTCGCCCACATACACCATGTCCGCACACCTGTGCAAGTCCATCTACGCCTCATGGCGCGAAACCCGCCGTTCGCCTTCCGATCTGCCCTCCCCCGGCGTCCAGGCTCCTAGCATGACCTCCTACTTCCCTCGCAGCCCTTCTCCAGAGAAGCGCTCCATGGACAGCGACCGCAGCGAGACCACCGTGCCCATGTCTCGATCGCCCTCGGCCTCGTCGTGGCGTGGACCCAAATAGGGGAGCGACTGTATGCATCTCGGTCAGCTCTTATACCCTTGAGCTTGAAGCTTTGAGCTTCAGCTTGGGGTGTTGAAAGAGCTCTCCACAACCACTCTTACCCAGTTGGACCAAGCAACACATCATCGGAACTTGGGACACTGGGCTACCTGCATGTACGCATTTACGATAGTCACGGAAACCGGAAAGGCGTCAAGGACATTGGAATTCAAAAACAGCAACATCAATCTTTCGAAGCTAGACTTGCAGCACGCGAGCTCAAGGGCCCCCCACTACGCCGACGTTACCTCCAAGCTCTGCTCCAGCCGGCGCTGACTCGGTCGCTTTCGCGTTCGGGTGTCTTATCAACGGCAGGACTTTTACAGGAGAACCACAGCCAAACGCTCAATCCTTTCTTCGTTCGATTGAGGGTTTTCCGGATTTACAGTATCGGGGAGTTTACGGCGCATACAACACAATCAATCAGACATTCACATCACATTCCGGCAGTCTTTGGTGGGGTGTCAGGGAAAGGACGTAAATCCGAAAAGGTTTCCTCGTCACGCCATCAGGGTCGGGCATCACATCAAGCCCACTTTTCTTGTCTCTTTTGTACTCCGTACTTTGTACCCTTTCCTCTTTGCAAGTTGCTGCTCGTACCATCAGCAGGCAGGGGAAGGAGTCAAGAGCACCCCTCCACGATTGTATCGCCGGCGGGGCACGCGGAGGAAGGTGGGATGTGAAGGGGAAGGGGGAAGAATATCGTTCGACAGACATGCAAAGCTACGACATTCGTCTCCATCTTTGCTTTCCTACCCCTTCCACCCCTCCTACTTCTCGGCCTGCTTCTGCTTGCCTTGCATTTCGCATTTTGCATTCTGCATCTTTTTTTTCTTGTTCTTCATTAGCAGAGCCTCCAACACTGGCTCCCGTGTATGGAATAGATACCCCCAAATAAATTGTTCACATCAACTTCTTCTATGCCGCTGCAGCAATTCTTGGCAACTGTGATTGAAACATTGTAATCTACAACTTGACCAACAGAGTCGATTCAGTGTCATCATAACCTGTCTGCAATGCCCCGTCTAAAGCCGAATGACCCTCTTCACGTGCCAAGTTGCCTCCTAGCCAACTTCAGTCTCCCCTTCCATGGACCATACTCCATACATACACGTGTAGGTCCACATCCGACTTCCGACACCGACTCTTCTCGAGCCCCCCTCCCCCCCTTCCGAACCGGCACTTCTCTGTTATCAATCAGTGATCGTCGGGCGGAGCCCCCTCCCCTTCCCCTTACTGCCTGCGTACATTATTATCGCGTACCATCAGTACGGAGTATGTATGTGGCTATGAGCGATTTGGGGGGGGATAACCTACCCCACATGAGCCACAAACTGAGTGCATCTCCAACCATTGGCAAACCTTCTCAAGAGTCCAGAGTCCGGACTCCGAAACCAGGAACAATCGTTAGGTCAAGAGTTGTACCCGTAGACCGCTGTTGACCGGACCCCACCATGACGCAAAAGAGGGGTGGAAAACTTGGGAAGAGCTCACGGGAAATTCCATCACCCTAGTTCACGCAAGACCAACGCCAGAATGAAGGACTGGGTGAGAAGAAGAGTCAAGAGAGAGACTGAGAGAGACGGGAGCCCACTTTGGGTACCTTGGTGGAGGACCGGACCTGCATTGGAATTGAGACTGAACATCAGACACCAGGGGGCAACTCGGGAGAGGGGCCTCCACTGATGAGCATGATGATGATTGATGTCCGTCTCTGCTTGACTTGCCTCACAGTACACCACGTACCGCGTCGTGCGCGTCAAGCTGTTCACCGTGGTCTTGCCGGAGGACGTTCGTCATAATGAAACGGGCGTTTCCTCTCTCTCGGTTTAACAATCATCCAGCATCCTGCTTTCCCTCCTTTCGTTCCTACGGCCGTCACCGTCGCCGTTCCCGATGGGGTAGTGCTCCGTAGACGGGGTCCTCGCGTCCGACTCGGTTCATCCGTGACCTCGCCATCGCTCTGTCCGGTCCGGGGGGGCCAGCCGTCAATCATGTACCGATGGATGGCCAATTTTAAAAGTCTTTGGTCATCGTCCAGTGTCCAAAGCAAACCAAAGTCTCACCGTACATCAACACCATTGGGGCACATCCTCCACTTCTTTCTCCCAAGGACGTTCTTACCACACTCTTATCCTGTCTATCTTCTCACATGCGCATATTTGCGAGACTTCATCTCTCAAGATAGAGATCATACATAAAAGTTGGGAAAACCCCGCGCTCACGAGATTTTGGGAATTGCCCCTTCTCTTGATCATTCTGCAATCCTCCTCCTCGACCATCATTGAAGAGGAGAACCGTTCCAGTGGCATCGCACCCTCTCTCAAAGCCCCTACAGAGTTACGCAAAAGATGAATGAAAAGAAGGGAAAGAATGAGGCTAGAAAGTCGAATTAACCCGAATGGGCTTGAGTTTCCCTCAAGGTCATGAACAAGTTTCCTCATCAAATGAAAAAGTAAACCGCCATAAAACCGTCGACGATGCTGCTCTGCTGCTCCCCACCCTCCGACTCAGTCCCTCCTCCACCTGCACCACACTCCCGTCCCCTCCTCACCGACTCACTCACTCGGTGGTGCCCCACCCTCTCACGTCATTTCTCCCAGCTTCATCAACATCCTCACTTCTACCGTTACGACCTCATTCCCTCTCACACAACGGTCCAACCATCACCCATCACCACCACCGTCATCACGCACTCTACCCCACTTCACTCCACCACTTCACCTACACACTCTCTCATGACCAATCTGCCGTTCTCAAGAAAAGGGGTCAACTCAGCCCAACCTCTCCATGTAAACCAGGCATCCCCATGTCGGCACACGGCAACATCGTAACCTCCCCTAACGAATGTGGCCAGTATCATCCTTGGACAAAAAGACCAGAAAGGAAAAAGGAATGAGGGCTACACTACTCGCGAATGACGAGGGCAAAAAATATCAATTAAACCCCCAGTCAAAACTCTCAACCTCGTCAATGCCTAATAATAGGACCCCTCTCCACATTCTCCATCCAGACTTCATCAATGCCATGAAAAACTGACTCCCCTTATTTAGACTCTAGTCCGGTCCTTCTAGAAAAGCTCACGGAACGACGATGTCCCATTCTTCAATCATTCTTTACGCGACTCGTCCGGTCCATCATCTTCAGCGTGACATCCTCTCACAAAGTCTCAATCTACTACACTGTTGCACCCCTCCATGACCTACATCGTGGGGACATGCACTCATCTGGAGACTCACTACAGATGGGAAACTTTCCCTTTTAGACCCCGACGCATCAAACTATTGGTCATCACATCACATTTGGCTTCATCAGGAACCAGGGGGGTCCGTTTTACAGAAAACTGACATGTTGCCGCATTCATTCAAAGCGAGCGAGCGACATTGCTGATCCCCCACCTCGCCAAGCAAGGCCCTCCCCGCACCCTGGACTCTCCCCTACTCTCGTTTTCTGTGCTCTGTATTTCGTAAAAAAATGTGTTGCCTCTGATCCAACAATGTGTGTGCTCCCACATCCCGTGCCCTTATGCTCGGTGCCGTTATCGCTGCACTACTGTCGCATTCAACCATATTGTGAGTCTGTTGAAAGCCACCAATATCGTAGAAGCGAAACGACAAGAACCAAGCTCGACGCGGCTCGTGCGAAGAGCGAGAAAATCACCCAGTTCTTCCCCAACACCGTTTTGTTGTCTACCTGTTCTTGTTCCTCTATCTTCCAGCCACTGATGGGTACTCGTATTCGGAGCCAATGGCAAAACGCACATGGCGCTCGAAGCGCTCACACGCAACGCGAAGACGGCGACTCTACATGGCTGACGCAGCGTGCGTGGTGATGCCAGCGCTTGCATTCGGAGTCTCTTCACCGCTGGATGACTCTTCACTTCCGAGACTGCCTCCAATACGGCGTTTGGCGTCCTTCTTCTCGGCATCGGTGACGTCCTTTGCGTCCTTCCGCATGTCGGGACCCCACTGAGGCTGGTCAGGAGCGTGTCCGACAGACATACCTACGCGAACCTATAAATAATGTCAGCAGCTACTCTCAACGGGGGGCCCTTGAATATAACTTACCAAAGTCTCGAGAGCTCCGTTGGAGTTGTCAGTCAGGTCGTCGTCGAACTTCATCTTGCCCGGCTCGAATAGCAATACGATAGTGCTGCCACCAAATTTGAAGTAGCCAAGTTCGTCGGCACGATTGACTTGCGCACCCTCTTTTTGGGTAATCACGGTACTGCCAACCATCATGGCACCAACACAGATGACCATGACGCGGCCGTGGGTTGGGCTATCGATGGGGCAGAGGACTCGGACGTTCTCGCCGTAGACATCGAGAGCGGAGCGGATGGCCATGGGGTTCACCGTATAGTACTCTCCCGCAATCGTCTTCGGCTTGCCCAAAACACCGTCAACAGGGATGTGGAAACGATGGTAGTCCTGGGGCGCCAAACGGAAGATACCAAGAGCACCATTCTCAAACCGCTTCACATCTTCGGGATAAGCATCACCAAGCAAGCGCTTGATGGAGAACTCGCGGCCCTTGATCCAAACCTGGGTCGCCTGGTTCACACTGTTGAAGACAACGCTGCGACAATCCGCGGGAGAGACGACAACGTCAGGACGATCAGGAGCGGAGCATGGGCGAGCTTCGGGTTTCAGAGCTCTGTAGAAAAACTCATTGAAGTTTTTGAACTCTTCCGTCGGAAGCAGCACCTCAGACATGTCAAGGCGGTGGAATTCGATGAACTTAGGAATCTCGGCCTTCGAAGCCGGGTCATCAAATTTCTTGCCCTGCTTGACACTCATGCTCTTCAGCATCTTGCGGACTAACATAGTATTGTCAGTTGGGTTTCTTGTGAACTGTATGCAGCAGAAACTTACTTCGCTTGGTCTCCATATTGCTTGACTTCAATCCCTTGTACAACAGGCGAATGCCCAGTCTAACGTAGACGCTCATTTTCTCCTCGTTAATTTGGCCAGTGATGCGATCTTGGACAAGGATATTTGCAGAGTTGGCTCCCAGCTTGTAACCACCGTATGAGATCTTTGTGATGACCTTGGAGTACCACTTGCGCTGGGCCTGGCTAGCAGTGACAAAGCCGCCCATGACAAGGTTGTTGACTTGTCTCCAGTCCTGGCTTGCGCATGTTGCAATGTGAGTGATGATGTCAGTATCCTTGCGCTTGTTCAAGCGCGGCTGGTGGCAGATGGGGCATTCTCTGATTTCGACCACATGCTCCTCGCCGGCACGATCCTCGGCCAGGTCGTCCCTGTCGAGCAGTTCGCCTTCCTCGCCAGGAGTGCTGAGCTCTGGAACGTCGAGAGTTCCTTCGGACGAGCTAGATCCTTCTGCTGGTGGACCACTGGGGACGTTGCTGGTGCCTTGAGTAGAAAGCAAATTCTTGACCTTATCAGCATCCGGCAGCATGCCCTTCATTCTGTCTGTGACGCTGAGCTGTGGGCGGCTCTTAGCTTCCAACTGATCTTCCAAGCATATCACAGCTTCGTCGAATGTCAGGTCCGAAATGTCATCGCCTTGGGCTCTGTGGGGGAATCGCTGGAAGAAGCTGTCGATGGTCGACTCGCGCAATGTCGATCCGAGAGTGTCGAGCATCGTAGTCAGCTCAATCTTGCTGATGCGGCCGCTCTCGTCGGTGTCATACTGCTTGAGCATCGATCTCCAGAATTGCTGTCGCAAAGCCGGGTAAGGGACGTATTTGGCGCGGATGTAGAGGACCGGGTTGTGCTTGGCCTCCCATTTCTTGGCATCCTTCATCTTCAGGGCGACGCTGAAGTCGTGGAATTCCGCATCGTCTGCTTCAAGTTCGGCAGTCTGCGCACCGGCGCCTGCAAGAGCTTGCTCGGGAGACAGAAACTCTGGGTTCAGCGTCGAGCCCTGGGCAGGAGGCGTAGGGGTAGTCGTTCCGGTCTGGGTTGTTGTGGATGCACTGCTTGCATTCTTCGACAACCCAGGTCGCACCTTGCTCAAGCTTTGGGAAGATGACGTACGGGACATTCCCAGCTTCTTGAAGCGGCGCTGCTGAGGGGCGACATACTCATGGGGCTCGGGTACGTCGTACAGACCAGTTTCGGGATCTGCCTTGGGGGCCTTGTCGATGAGGTCCCTGATAGACAATGAGCAGTCGGCGATGAAATCGTTTCCTGAGTACTTGTCATGGTCCATCACGGTAAAGGAGAACGAGTATGTCTGCTCGTGGCCCTGTACTTGGAAAATCATCTTTTCATTGAAGACCGGGTTGAGGTTGTGCCGCACTCGCTTGGTCCGGTACGTCTTCTTGCCGAGTGACGCAACGACGAAAGGATCCATGTCAAATGTGGTCCGGGTTGAGTTGGGCTCGGGAGGCAGGTCCGTAATGTTCAGGACTTCAAGATAGATGACTCCCACAACGTCGCTTCCACTATTATTGAACTCGTATGTTTGATCTCTTCTCTTCTTCTTGAGGCCCTTAATCCTCAGGCGGCGCTTGCGTTTCTCGGCGACTTCGGGCTTGCTGGGATCATCGTCTTCGGGGGTATCATCTTCGATATCGAGATCATCGTCGTCGTCATCTTCTTGATAGGCATCGGTTTGATTGCGCGACAATGGAGGTGACGGGTTGGTTCCGCTGACCCTTATATTCTGGACGGGCTGGATGAGGGGGGTCATGGTCGGTGTGATCTGTCGGGAGCCCGCAGGCAACTGATTGAGCAAGGTATTGAGCTTCTCGAATATTTGTTCGTGGGAGGCGGCTGTGTTAGACTGGTCGAAGAGGGTGAACTGAAGCATGACCTCGCCAGAGACCACGCTGGTCTTCTTGCCGGGTCTCTTGCTCTTGAGAGGGTACCATTTCGGGGCTTGCTCGATTTGCTCATTGGCGAAGATCTCCTCCAAAGCAAGGTCGAACTCGCCAAGGTAGTCCTTGCCGAAGCGGTCCTTGTCCCAACATATAACATCGAGAAGGAGGCTCTGGGTCGAATTGACCGGTAGTTCTTCGATGACGTTCCATTCTGGATTGAGAGTCTTGGGCACCTCGTGGGTGGTCACCTTGGCGTCACCGAGGGTCAAAACCAGGTACTAGAAGGGTTCATGTTAGACAATTGATAACGGAAGCAGGCGCGGGTTGGATTCGAATTCGTACTGGGTCGGACGTGCCGCGTCTGTCTTTTGCGGCAAGATTTCGAGCCTAATATGCATCAAGCGTCAGCAATCGTGTGTCTTGTCTTGGCTACCCAGCTTGGACCCGCGCATTGGCGCTGCAATGACATGGTATTTTTTTACCTTCATAACGACGACCTTCAAGGTCAAGCCATTCTCCTTTGGACTCAACTCCATCTTGCTGTTGGTGCTGCCGGTGCTGTTGTTTCTCGTAGGACTGCTGCTGCGGCTGTTACGGAGGGAGGAGCTGGACTTGAGTCGTCCAGGGATGATGCGGACCATAGTGGACGACGGCGGGTCGGGGAGCGGCCCCTAAAAAGAGTTGCGGCAAGCCAAGGAGAGGGTTTGGAGGGCGCAGGGCACACGACGTGTGTGCGTGAGGGCGACAGGCCAAGAGCAGACACCACTCACGGGCAGAGCGGCCAGATTGAGGGGGCGAGGTGACGTAGGAGACGCACTGCGGAGCGCTGGGAAGCCTTAGGTCGCGTCAGGTACTTGCGGTACCTTACGTATTTGGCTCCAGCGGCTATCCAATTGTCATGACCCGACAGGCGAAATGGCCGACTTGTTTCTGGGGTGGGCGTACACAGCAAGGCAACCCTTCCTTTTCGACCTCTCACACACCTCGGATTGTTGTTGCTGTTGCTTGTTGCCGCGCTCGAATTGTTGTTGGCAGGGCCCAAGGCGTAGGTGGTGAGTGGAGCGGTGGTGCTGCTGGTGTGGGCAGAGGCGCGCGCGCTCAGGAGATGAGGTAGCGCAGCTGCAAGTGGTGACAGGGTTTCGGTAGCAGTAGCTTGCTGGTTGCTGATCCGCGCTTCTCAGTGAGTGCGACGCTGTGTTTGTCCGTTGCGATATGTGCTTCCCTGCCAGCTGGACTGCTCGACGACGCAAGACAGCGAAAGGTGGCGTTTACTCGAGATAGCTCTGGACGAATTGGCGATGACTGGCGAGCCACACGTAACAATTGCTGTCGGATGTGGTTGGGGGAGGCCTTTTGGTAGCGTGTCGAGCAGGGGCCTTTGGTTGCCTCGACGTACAGCTGAAGAGCAAATCAGGTTCAGGTTTGACCTCGCAGGTTTGGAACCGTCAATGACCTTGAGATGAAGCCAATGTCAGTATTGGTTGGTGATGGATCTCACGGAGGGAAGAAATGTCTAGTAAGTAGGTGAGAAAAAGGGGAAGGGCTAGAAGCAGAGAGCAACGAAGAGAAGAAGAAGAAGAAGGGAGAAGAGAGATGAGGTAGGAGCTTGGGGCCCCTTGAGGGCTGATGTCTGAATAATAAGAGGCCCGGGGTCGAGAATGGAAAGTTGAGTGAACAAATGTACAGATTTAATTATGTGGCTTCGATGCACATCCAACCTGGCGCCACCGCCATGTGCAACTGGAACGAAGGAGTAAGCTAGGGAGAATGGCCAGACAGGAGGAAGCGAAAAAGGTAGGATATTAGGATGATTCAGACGGCTTTTTGGTTTCCTGCGAGCAAAATCTTGAGGGAAAACAGGAAGAAGGCAGAAGAGAGGGTAAGAGACGGGGGAAGAGAGAGAGAGAGAGAGAATGAGAAAGAGGCAGAAGCAGAGACGTCGCAGAACTCCACGGCTCAATGCAAGCGGAGGTCAAGGTCGGAGAGAGAGCGAGAGCAACTCTGGAGCCTGGCTAGGGAGACAGAGAGAGGAGCGGTTGCCCATCTTACCTAGGAAAAAGGATATGGATATGGACATGTACTTCTGGTTGAATTGCAAGAGACGTGGTGTTGGAGGTACCTTTTTTTTCTTGTTGTTTTTACGTCCGATGTGGCCGTGTATAGACACAAGACAAAACGTATAGCGAGGGTATTCAGGCCGGGCGGGTACTTTGAGATTTGGTGAGATTTTGGTGGTGGAGCAAAGTACCGTCTCGTCTTGTCGTATGTTCCAGCGTATTTCGTCCCAGATACGACGACTTCTGGTGGCCGTTGGCTGGAAAGGTCCGCGGGTGCTTCGGCTCGTGGTGCAGTCCCCTAGCGGGCAAAGTGGCCACTGTTTGGGGTGATGTGGGTGCGGTTGGGTGGGTTCACTTGAGGCGTTTGGCGTGGTTTGGGGTGGGAGGCGGGATCCTGAGCAGGGAATAGAGCTGGAGACGGACGGAGCTGGAGAGAGCTGGAGCTGGAGCTGAAGCTGAAGAGGCGTCCAAAGATGAGTGAAAACTCGACTTGAAAACAGCCAGAAATAGGAATCTCTGGGAGACGAACTCTAAAAGAGAAAACGCTTTGGGGCACCTTGCGCCTGGAAGGTAATGGAGGTAAGTTAAAACCTATGGAGGTATGTATTGCTTGGTACCTTGGTCGCTCGCAGCTACCTTAGGCGTTGAGCACGTCTTCGCAAGCACTGGCACGCTCATGGAAGTCCAAAGATTCAAAAGTGAAGAAGAAGGATACCTAGCTAGATCATAGAAGAGCCCAAGTAGAGTTCGGGAACGAGAACAGACGACACCAAGGGGGGGAGGTCTGGGCCATGTTTTTGTCTTTCGTCTTCTTCTCTTACCACTTCTCACAAGGCAAGGTTGTTTAATACTCCAAACGTCTGGTAAGGTAGGTAATGTATGGTATTTCCCTCACCCAAGTACACACCGACCGCACTGGTTGGAGAAGGTGGCCTGTCGTCTTCAAGTGATGCATAAGTACAAAAGCTAAGATATGGTAGGCGAAAGCGAGTTCTATCTGCTGTCTCTGCTTCATACTACCTAGGTACGCCCCCCAAGAGAGACATGCACCTCGAGTCCCCTAGCATTGAGGTCTTCTCTACAGTTCGCAACAATGCGTGAGCGCGGATGTGAGTGAGGGACTCCCAATCTGCGGCCCGCCAGAGTAGTACATTTCGAGGGTGGTTAATTTCTGCAGTACGTACCCGCCCAGTCTGACATTGGTGTCAGCTCGTGTACTTCCTTCTGGGGTCCATCTTCCGCAAAGCGAGTCCATAAAAGTACTTCAATAAGCAGAAAGGTAAGGTACCGCCGCACCAAAATGGAAACACCCAAGGAACGACATCCTCCCGTCTACGGAGTACAAAAGTAACAAAAGTATTTAATACCTGAGGTACCTGAGGCAAGACGAAATGTGTTTTTAGACGCTCCTTCCCAATCCTTCCTCAATTCCAATGGCAACTGCAACCACCTCGGTTTCCTTGAAGTTGAGACACGAACAATTCACTCGCAAGTTCAACATGAGATAGAGCAGGCACGCAAGTCCAATCATGCCCAAATTCATAGACAGCAAGATAAGGTAAGGCAGGCAGGAATGAGCCGGAACGCCAGAATGCTTGGCCCCCACGCTGTGGACAGACATCGACAAGACAGGCACGGAAAATGAAGGGCGAGTGCGAGCGCGAGCCTAGGTACGAGTGAGAAACAGCGCAAATTCAACTTGCTTTTCTGCACTTGCTTTTGTTGTATTTTTCATGTGCTTCGGGCTTGAGGTAACCGTAACCAACCTTCTCGCTGTTTCTCAACTTCGTCGCATCGCCTTTCCACCGCCTCTTCACCCGCTGCTTTCACCAAAGGTACCCATGGACGGGCGAGGTTTTCTCATCAATCTGTCTGTCCCATCACTCCCCTTCATTATCAGCAGCAGCTACCTCAGACACAGTATGTCGGACTCGCACAAGAACCCGTGCCTGACCATCACTGCCCACCTTATTTGTCCATCCTATCAGACTGTCTCCCCAATTAGATGCACCTCCCTGTTCTAACCCCATCTCGCCCCAATACCCCATCCACAGTGGTCATTATGCCATCCCGAATCCCGTCTGTCGCTTGTCCTTTTCCCTCATGTTCGTTCGCTTCCTTGTCAATCCTATCCCCTGCTGTCTTGCACTCCTCTTCCGCCCCGTCGGTCGCGTGCCTATCCCCTCGGTCGCTTGTCGCCGTATTAGCGACACCCGCGTCTCGTCAACATATCGCGCATCACGATAGACCTCCCAAGTCGAGTTAGCCGGTCCAACACTACCCCAAGCATTGCCCAACAGCCTGGATAGCCCCTCTTGAATATTCACCAATTCATCCTCATGTCCGGTTTCCCGCGTCAATCAGTTCCGAATCTCTACCCAGACGCAGCAGGCCACGAATCTTCAGCCGGGACTAAGACAGGCCCAAGTCCTTGTCCATGTCCATAGCCCCAGACGATGCCCCTCCCCTCCCCAGAATCTCCTCACCCTACGGATATATACACGCTTCACCCGACATCTGCCAAACCAAGCCGAATTCCATCTCGCCGAGCCGGACTGAGGACTCTCACTCCAGACCTTTCCCGTCCCCCTGAATTGCCGCTCGATCCCAACGGCTATCACCCGATGCTCCCTTGCTTCCAGCCAATGTAGCCCGACCTTCAAGTTTCACAAGGTGTGCAGATCTGTTAAATCACTCACTGTCACGACTGTGTTACTTTACTGCCATTAGATTTTCCATACATGCCATTCCAAGTTCTATCCTTTGAACCAGGCCTAGATGCCTCGTTGCCGACCTGTCTTTGGTCGTTCAATTCATCCTTCTCGCTACACAGAAACCCCCTCATCAAAAGTCCCGCCGCCTCCGGTAATTCATACGAACCCCATACGGTCTCTCGATGTGGTGTAGTTCGTCGATTGCGCGGCCCCCTCTTCCCCTCCACCTCCACGAATCCAGTCTGTCGGCTTGCGCCCCTCGTCGGTTGCAACAACACCTGCAGCACCGCACCGTGGCCCGTACAACATGGCTGCCCAGAACCCTACAGACGGGTTTCCCTTCTTTCTTTTCTGCCGCGCTTCCGTCGTTCCATCTTTTCTACCCTATCCGTACGACCCAAATCGGGCATGGGTTGCCGGACAGCAGACTTGAGAGTAAGAATTGATGAATAAAGGACTGGCCTCCCTTCGTCTTCATTCCCTCCAAGTGCAACACATCGAGAGGCTCTCCGCGCCAAGACTTGATGATGCGTATTTACTGCATAGAGAAGACTTCCAATGTGCCGCCCAAGAGTCTTGGAGAGTCTTGGTCGATCTGTCTCCAGCCAAGTGCCAGCGCGGGCCAAGAGAAGCGGCTCGTGCCATCTGAACGTCACCTCAACCTTACAAGAGTAGTGCACCTTAGGCTCAAGGTTGCATAGACACTAAGAAACGATGAACTGCCAACCGTTCCCATCTTGGCATGGGCAAGCCTCGTCATCAAAACACCCTCCATCTTTGCCCAGCTCTGGCTTGCTAGTTTCTGAGCTCCCAATCATACGCACCTGTGATGGAATTTTCCCCAGACTCAAGTTCAGCTTCAAGAGTCGGCAGTAGCAGATAAAGATGTTTGATGATCTTGGGATAGTCTGCCAGGAACAGAACATGCTCAATAATTCAAGGTTGGCGGCGCCTCCGATGCTGAGGTAATCAAGCAAGTCGCCAAGTACCTCGCCTAAGTACTAGGTACTCTAGACTTCCTTTGATGAGGAACTATCTTCACCTCTGCCTTCATAGCTGAACTTAGTACACTTGCTATACCTCACTCGTTATACATGCACAATTTGGATGATGGGCCTGAATGAAGAGCATACTGGTCCCGGTGTACAGATGAGTTTTCCTATTTCTTAGCCTCCTGTGTTCTGGGCCCTATACGGCAAAGACCTACTGCATACTCCGTAGGTACTACGTAGGTAGTGACCTAAAAATTGCATGGCGCTAGAACATGGTGAGCAAAAGTCTGGCGGGGCACGGGCCGTCTGGACGCCCCAGCGATCCAAGCTTCAGGCTCCAGCTCCTATGGCCTACCGTCGTCAATCCCACTTAGACGGGGCGGCCACGACCAAGTTTCTCGACACTCTTTTCTGAGCTCACTTCCGTCGGGCCCAACTCAATTCAGCCGAAATCACTCAGTCGAATCATACCAAGGCCAATAAACGACGATAGGGTGAGACAGGCAAGCTGACACTGAAGTAGCGGCTCACTCAAAAGGAACATGTGCGTAGACGGTTGAGGCCAGCAGGACACCCAACGATCGGCCGGTTTCTGCAATGCCGCTCGTCAGCTCACGCCCATCTTCGTCAGAATGACTCTCGCGTCTCTTTCACACCCTCTTCCTATTCGACTTGCTTCTACGGAGTAGTTTTCTACTCCGTATACCATGGCCCCCTTTTTGCAGTTCGCTGACGTCCAAGGCAAACGAGAAGCAAATAAAAGCCAAGTCAAATTTCGGCTTCGATCCGTCTGCAGCGCTGCACAACATCGGTTCCAAGACCCGGAGCCTGCAAGCCAAGCCCAAGCATTCGAGGCCTCCGTCAACGAGAAAGCAAATGATAATAGTCCGTCCTCACCTAATTAACGACCCCTTATGACCCCAATCCTTCCTGGATCTCCAAGACTTCTCAGCCATGCCAGCAAACGTAACCGCCCACCCATTCGTCAACTCTCCTTCAACTCAAGACCCGTCGTGGCCTTCATCTTTCGGTGGCTGCCCCCGGCTTAGCCCTGGGGCGGAGAGGGGCGGGGGGGCTCCAGTTATGACGCAGGGCTCAGCGCTCGCTCACCACCCACTGCGCCAGAGTGAAAGGAGCAACCACGGCCTCTTGTGCTTCGATCGAGGCGTGCCCCAGCGATGGCAGGGCCAAGCGGCAAGCCTCGAGCTTTTCATTTCGGCCGGATACCCGTCCGCGTGGAGCTAAACTGGGCGCTCCCGACTCCCGAGGGCCCCGAGTCGGACGACGTTGATTCCTTTTTTGAATACCTCCTTTGCTTCCATGTCCTTGGTGGCATCCTCCCCCATCGTTAGACTAGATACCTACCTAATTGGAGTTCCCACCCTATTTTGTCATCCCAAGTGTTTTTGACGTTTTCTACGGATACTTTGCAAGCTACGCACGTGCTCGGCTCGCAGTCGATACTAATCACCGATCGATGGCCCGTCTAGCCGCCTCCGGTGTGGCGCATCTTTTGCGCTCGAGTTGTGAGGTCAGGCTGCTTTAGTTCGCTCGCTGCGACTTGTGACGAGTGGCGCCGTAGACTTTGAGTTGAGGCTGATTGTCTGATTGTCACTACCTACTGAGCCAGGCGTTTCTCAGCTCCTACTGAAGCTGTCCCGATGTTGTTAACAATCATCCCTTTCTCATCTTGTCTTTTTAAGGCGTAGTATGCCGCGACATATAAAACAACTAGTTTTGTTTCTGTGCTTGAAGCACTTTGTATAATACTCCTCGGAACCTTTTCAGACCATTCGAATATACTGCTGGACACATTGCGTTGTTCGAGTCTGAACGACGTCATGCTCACTATGGTTATCACGTCGAGGTCAAAGTAGACAACGTTTTGATCAAGTATATCGATCATAGCCATGGGACATTGTCAGGTACATATCACGCCCATCTCCAAGAACAAGCATAGCCATTACGCAGAAACACAATGCGGTAAACTGCCAGCGCAGGATGGCTTGAACTTGAACCATTACTCCAACGACGTCCGTCTCCTCTGAACATCAATTCTTACTTCGTTTCTCAACTCAAGAGACCCTGTGGAGACAAGCGGAAGTTATAGAAGATTCACTACAATGTACAGAGGCATCCATGTGAAAGCAGGCCTTGAAGTCGATTCCCATGTGCTTATATATCAACTTTGGGGATGGATCTCGCATGAGAAAGACACTTCGATATTGACATTGACGGTTGGTCGGGTATTCGATACTGAGGACTGTCTTGGTACTCATTTTGCTATTCCGACGGCTGGCCGCTCCGGATAAAGCAACTCTGTCTTGATCTCGTAGCAACGCAACCCATTCCGGAGTTGCAACATATCCATCACCAGGAGCCCGGCCATTCGTTCATCTTCAGTCCAAGCACAACATGCTCTGGTCTTCATATCCAACCTTCACAATCCCATCCTCCTCACCGGACCACTCCTCCTCCTCCTCCTCCTCTTCCCAGCCCCCATCATCTTCACACTCTCCGCCCAATCCCCCGTCCCATTCCCCGGATCCGCGTCCGTCGCCTTCGTCTTACAAACGCTCCCCGCCCTAGCCTTCCCATTCGGCCCATCCACCGCCTCAAACTCCCTCTTACTCTTCAACCCGGTCACCATGGTCTTGGCCGCCTCCTCCAGCCACCCATTCACAAAGTCCCCGTGGAAACACCGGCTCCCGCCGCACGCGAGCTCGATCGGCGGGTCCCCGCCCTTCCATCCTTCGGGTATCGCTTTCTTGGTGTCGTAGCGTATACTAAACCGCAGCTGCGGCATCCTCTTCATCCCACCCGCACACGCTCCAGTCTTTTTAGCAGAGTAGGCAGATTTGAGTGTGGTTTCGTCAACGCAGTCCGGGAACCAGAGGACCGCCTGTAACGAAGTCGAGCACGTGCTCTGCGGGAACTGAGCGTGGTCTTTCCCGCCTGCGTCGAACGCCTGGTTCTGGCAGAGCCAGGTCACGTCGGAACCGGGAATCAGGTCCGCTTCCGTCGAGGCCTTTGAGTTGCCCGCCACGACGGAGAAGTTGGGCGGGATGGGCACCTCGGCCGGGTCCTTGTCAAAGTTGTAGTAGGCTACGAAGGAGACTGGTTCGATGGGCGTTCGGGTCTCGCCTTGGACATGGTAGAGCGTGGGGATCCCTGGCGGAAGGGTGTAAGTTGAGGTCTTTTCGCTGCAAGACCAGAGAAGATAGTCTTTTTCCACAGTCGTACCATGCCAGAAAGAAGAGGGGGAGAGGAAAAAAGAGCAACTTACAGTAAACAGAAAAATCATTCGGGTTCTGCGCCGTAGAACACCCCTTTTGCAACTCGGCCGTCGAGCTCATGTTCACCCTCACCGCGTCGCTGCCGAAGAAGCTGTGCATGTGGCTCTTGTACTGGCCCGGGATGACGATGGGATCGATGTTCTTGCGCATGAAGAAGTCGACTTTGGTGTTTGTAAAGGCTGCCGCCGGACCTGCTGCTGCTGCAAAGAGCAGCGCGAGTCTGTCTGATGACTTCATCTTTTCTTCCTCTCTGTGCGTTGTGATGCAAGCGAATGTGTATGTAAAGTGGAAAAGACAAGAGAGGGCCGAAAGAGACCGATCAAATGAGATGATGGAAAGCGAGTGTAAGTTTGAAGAATCGTCCCTCTCCAACTCCTTCTGGGTATAGAAAAGGTTCCTGGCCGAGTAAGAAGAGGAAGACCGGTGGGCGGAACTGCTAGTTGTCTTTCTTCTCTCGAAAAAATGAGCAGATTAGACGAACTGCGAAGGTCTACTCCTTTAAGCCTCGACCCTTAATCACTCATCTACCCGTTTAGCTTTGGGTTCCCATGTATGAGTTTAACAACAAAGGTTCTGACAAACCTAAGTGACTACGATAGCCATCCCGGTCCTGGCAGGAAACACACCGAGAAGCTGGATGGATGGATGGATGGATCGGTATATTACCGGCGGCCTTGGCATTGTTTGAACCATATCCCCGGGCCCCCTCCCCACGAAGTAAAGTTTAATGTACATCAGATGCGCTCCCGTCGCCGTTATAGTTAAATATTTCTTGGCCTTTATTCTGTGGGAACAAAGTCTGGCAGTGTGACCAACTTATTACGTGCGGACACTCAAAGCAGCGAGAGTCCGATCAAGACTCTATCCCATCCTACGGAAAAGCCCCTGAAACTCTGTTGTCGATCTGTCCCTTGGCGCATAGATCAGATGAAAGTCTAGAAATTCGCCGGATGGCAATGAGAATGTGGCATTTTCAGACTCGAACATACCAGCTAGAGAGAGACACATCGGATTCGGTTGCGCTAGTCCATCGACTCGAATAATGGTTCATGTTGTCGACGGTGGATCAACAGCGTTAGAGTCGATGGTATGTGTGTATGTTCTTGATCATCATGCGCTCGGAGTGCTCTCTTCCGTGCATATAAGGGTGTGGGTAGAGTTGGAATCCCATCAGCATATCAGCTAGATAGCTTTACCTTGTGGCCTTCACCATATTGTCCTCCAGATAATTCGAGGCCGTCTAGCTCTGGCGCCAAATACCCTGCCATTCGAAAAGCGCAAACACCACTTGAAGTGTACTGCAGTGGTGGCAGCCTTGAAGCTTCACTTGAACACGATTCATAGTATGCATTATACCGAACTGCAAAGACAATTTGACACGTCAGACCCAGCGGCCTTCTCGCCCTAAAGAGGGCGAGGAATGGGGTCAATTCTTTAGAATGCTGTTGTACACTAGTACAGGTTTCAGTAGCGACTGTTCGTTTTGACTGCTTCCCTCCACGACTTTGACGGACTCCTGTGTTCCAGTCGCTAGGGATGAATTCATCCACATCCCGAAATATGAACGTTTCAAGTGAACCCGAATGCCTTGGTGTCTTTGAAGACGCCCAAAGGAAAGTTTGTTTTTGTGAATGACGGACTCCCTCCTCGCGTTACGCCTTTGCTTGCTTCTCATCGTTTCAGAAAGTCCCCAATCCAACATTTCATGTCGAGCAAATTACGAGTACAAAAGGCGACGAATAAGCCGCCGTATTATGCAAATGTGGCCAGGCATGGGTGACCAAAGGCTCAGTCCTCAATGGCGTTCTCATCGACGGGCTTCGCTGGGCTGGTCATGCTTGCCTTGACATTGCCACGGGCCTTCTCCTGACTCTCGACGAACCGATCCCAGTGCATGGGATCAAGTGCTCGAAGTCCCTCACGGACCTGATCGCGGTCCTCGTTGAAAACGCGCATGATGCCCTTTTGTTCAACCTTTTGGATCAAATCAGGGTCATCAATCTCTTCAATCATCTGGTGAAGCATGGCTGTGTGCTTGGGGTCGAGGCCGACTTCAAGTACGCCGCTCAGCAGACCATAGTACTCGGGCTTGATGATTCCAGACCGAATCTTGTGACCGGCCCTATGCATTCTACCCTCCTCTTCGGCAAGTGCTTTCGAGGTATGCGACAACGTCGAATTCGTGCGCGGCAGACCAGGCCGGACCGATAAGCCGGTCTCGTCCTCGGCATCGGACGGAATGCTGTGCTGATCAGGATCCTCCGTTGAGGAAAGCGAAGTACCGAGTTGGTCACTCTGGCTGGGCAAGGTGGTCTCCGATGCCTCGTCTGTGGACACACGAGTTTCAGGAAACTCATCTTCGAACCGCTTGATGATGTTGGCAAGTGTGACGTCGAGGAACATCAGCTTGCGCAGGTTGTGTTCATCTTCCTGCGGGTTGACTCTAGCCTTAGACAGTGCTGGTTGCAGCCGCTGACGAATCTTGCGGGCGCTGGCCAGTAGATGCTTCGACATATCCTTGGCCTTTCCTGGAGGCAGCTTCGGTCGCGGGCTCGCAGGCACTGGTACGCCATCTTCGAAATCCCGGATGAACTCGCCAGATTGCCTTCTCGATTCATCTCCCCTGTTCTTGAGACAGCAAGTGAGAGCCTTGACAACACCAGTGCCTCCAATGACGTAGTCATCGTCTGGCGCGGACTCGTTGTCCGAGTCTTCTCTGAGAACGTCGTGGCCGACGAGATGTGCGAGTACATCGGGATATGGTGGGATTGGGCCGCCTGGCAACGAGTCCTGGGATTCGGCTAGGACTGTTGAAATGACCGCGCTTATGTCGCCAATGGGGAATCGCTCCATGTTCCGCAAGCAATAAGCGACCACTTGCTTGGCCAAAGCCTTCACAACCTCGCCGGAATTGTCGCTCGGGACATCAATGTCAACACACACAATCGTCTTGGAGACACGTGTAGCAGCCAGGAAGGATGCATAGAGCGCACAAGCTTCCTCCTGAGCATCCTCGGTCTTGGCATCTGCAAGTCTGACGAGTTCTGGATTCTCCAGGAAACTGATGTGGGCGAGCATTTTTGCCTCAGGGAGAATCTCAGCAAGCGCAATAGCTTGCTCAGATGTCATAGCGACGTCAGCAAGGTGAACACGCCGCAGTCCCTGCAGCTTTGGTAGATACCTAAATGTGGTCAGCTTCACAGTCTCATTGAGTGAATCGGTGTGACTTACTTGCGCAAGAGACCAATGGCACTGGGGTCTGACTTGCACAGATCCCGGTTGTGAGAAAGGTCGATGAAGCGGAAGTCTTTGAGCTGAGCAAGTGCAGGGAAAATTTTGCAGAGAGAGCCAGGCTTCAAGTTGCACTCAGCCAAACTCAGCGCCCACAAAGAGTCCTTTTCTGAAATTGCATTGGCAATAATGTCAGTTTGATCCCTCAGATCGTTGCCGCCCAAGTCTAGGCCTTCGCATCCGCTTGTAGAAAGGTATCTGGCAACATGCCTGAGTCCCTTTTCATCAATATTGTTGTGAGCAAGACCAAGTCGCTTTACGCCACACTGAATGATACCGTCTATTACCACACCGAGGTCATTCGAGTTGAGATTAGTCTCTCCGAGGTTGAGCAGTTCCAACGTAGCGCCGCCCAGTCGTTCGCCAATGGCCTTGGCAAACAGGGTTGCGCATATGTTTTGAGGTTGCTCGTCATTGGAATTGTGTCTGAGCAAGTGGTGGCCGTGCCCATTTCCGTTTTGTGCAGTTTGAGGAGGTCGGGGGAAGGATATCGTCGAAACGTCGAGGAATTTGAGCGTTCGGCAGAGGTAGATAAAGAGGAACATGTGCTTCCAACCCTCAGGCCCAATCTTGTTGTTCTTGAGGACGAGTCGTTCGACGAAGCCGCCCTGTGTAGTGAGACCGTCTGCCTTGGCTTGCTTGCGCCTCTTTGAATCAGGCTTCTTTGCAGCCAGCAGACCGGCCAATATCACCCTGACGCCCTCATCTGTGAGGCCGCAATTCTCCAAGATAACCTCCTTAACCGGCACAACCGCCAAGTAATCGCCTAGAGTGACCAAGTCAGGGAGCTGCATCCAGTAGCCCGTCAAATCCAGCTTCTGCACCATTCCTATGTCGGAAGAGCAATTTGAAGGGCTGTTCAGTTGTTCGGTGATCTTCTTGAGAATGGGTGTCTCTCTCAACTGGCAACAACGGCGGTATATCCTGACTGGGTTTGTTGTGGGAGACGCTGTCGTCTTGGGCGTCGCGGCTGGGGTGCCGTCGCTAGAAGAGTCGCTGTCGTCGACGTGGATTTCCATGGGAATCGTGCCGTTAGCCTCAGCTTGTTTCCGCTTCTTCTCCTTCCTAGCTTTCCTCTCCTCTTCGCTCTTCTTCTTCTTTTCCTTCTTCTTGGTGTCTTTCTCCTTATCCGCGGATGCAGCGCTTACGCCATTCGTGTCATCCTCCTTGGCCTTGGCCGAGTCCACTCCCTCTGTTTCTGGTTCCTTTGGCACGGTTTCACCAGTTGTGTGGATGATACCATCGCGCTCCTTTTGCTGTTCCAGACTTTTCGGGTTCTTAAGTGCCTCGCCCTCACCCTTCTCCGTCATCTTCTTCGTTTTTGACTTCTCGAGTGGCTTCTTAACGGGCAGGTCTGTGTCGACATACTTGGGCATTGGGGCAATTTCAACATCAACGCTGAATGCAACCCTCCGAAGTTTCGCCTGATGCAAGTCCGAGATCTTACAACGTTCGCGGTTGCGGTCAACGTTCAGAATCTTCCGCTCTACCAGCCCATGTGTTCCTCTTGTTCCTTGTCCTAGGACACCGCCAGACGAAGACAGTCGGCGGAAGACCCCCAGAAAGCCGGCCTGGCCGCGCCCGGGAGGTGCCGGGGTGTACGGCTGGTCGCCATCGTTTTTGGCGGCGTGTGCGAGAACGGCGTTCTTTGCAGGGGTTACTTTCGGTGCTACCGGGCCAGAGTCCTTTGGCGATGTGCTTTGAGCTTGCTGGTTTGCTTGGGCAGTCTTGCTGTCTGGTGAAGAGGAAAACTTGAAAGAGATGTTGGAAAACCACGAGTTCCGGCGGGTTGGCGGCGTACCGTTGGGCCCTGGTGATTTTTCGTTCGACGGACTTCTACCCAAAGGCGGTCTCGAGACTGGGATAGGTTTTGAACCTTCTGTTGTCGCTTTCGTAGTGTCTGTTGTGCCGTTGGTGTTCCCGTTGCCGGCGGTTTGGCCGGTGGTCGGAGTGGGGATCGGTGATGACTCTTTGGGTGCGGACGTTGAGGATCGCCGTATGGGTAATGATTTCGGTGGCCTGTCTGTGAGGCGCATCTTGGATTAGCAGGGGAAGGATTTGGGGACTTGAGTAATTGAAGATGATGCGTGATAGAGAGGCAGAAGAGGAGGTGAGGGAAGTGACGGGCTCTTGGATATATCCACAGGCCAGGCACGAGAGACCCAGAGATGCGGTCGACAGTGGCAAGCGCTCGTAGGTCGAACCCGAGCTGCTTATCTGGGTCGACTTGGCTTGGGATGCGGGTGCAGGCAGGGCAGCGTTGGCGAGCGCGATATGAGTGGTGAGTGGGTGACTGGGGGTCCAGCGCAATAGCCAACTAGCTGCCCTGGAGAATGAGGTCAGATGGGACGTTTTTGCATACCTTTCGGAGAGCCGCCGTGGGTCATCCAGCTAACATCAACTCCATGAACCTGCTCCATAACGATTGTCGCAGAGATGCTGTGTAAGGGTAGAATACAGGTCAAGGACCAAAGGAGCCGCAAAAGGGCCCCAAAAAAGAGGCACGAAGTCGTCCGGGCAGGTGAAGAGGGGGCGACGACGAGAGAAATGCTTGGCGGAGGAGAAGAAGAAAGTGGTGGCTGTCACTTCTTCTTTTTTGGCGCAACAGAAAGGAATGGAATTATTGCGCGCGCGCGCAGACCGGGGAGAGGGTGACTTTTGGGTTGATTTCTAAGAGGAGGCGGAAGCGGGAGGTGGAGGGTACTTCGTAGTGTACTCGGAGGTTCGTTGATTATTAGCCCCGGTTCCTTGGACACCACCTTGGATCCTTCCGGTAAGTCGATTCGGAGCAAGAGCGGACAGAAGCTGCCTCGCTTTCCAATCGATGGTCCAGCTCTGGAAAGGGTGTGGTAGGGCGAGCGTGGGATGTTGGTCGAGGACCGGAGAGAAGGTACGAATAATAAGTCGTGGGCTCGCGGTGGTCTTGGGCGAAGGCAGGGACCAAGTACTTGGGGGGGAACTCGCAGGTTCGGATACCTCACGTCAGGGTCCGGGTCCGGATGGGGAGGGGAGGAGGAGGAGGAGTAGGAGGGGGGACGGCAAGTATTCGTAGCTACTGCCGCTGCGGTAATGCCTTCCTAAGTTCCTACCCTTGGTACCTTACCTTCCTTCAGGTTAGCAATAAAAACAGTGAGCGCAATTAGGAAGCAGCCAGAGAGTCCGTACCTTGCCGTAAGGTTCCTTGAAGGAAAGGCCGGACGTGGCAGCTTTAGCGGGGGGTTCATTAACCTTTTTAGAGGCGAAGCATCTCGTCATTGGCAGGAGATGAGCGGCGCCATGGCCCAGGCTGGTTGGTTTCTGGAGACTTCACTCGACCCAAGGGCCACCCGGTCTTGGCTGGCCAGAGGTACCTACCTACCTACCTACCTACCTAAGCACCTGGGCTACATTGTAAAGTACAGGAAGTCACCAATGTCGTGCTTTCCTCCGCTGTTGCTGACTGTTGCCAACTTGTCACCAATTGTTCATCACCAATGGAACAAGATGCAATGATTTCCCGCCGTGGACTACCTATCTTCGCCATTCGTAGTATAGACCCACGGAAAGCAAGAAGGCAAAAAAAAACAAGAGAAAAAGGCTTTAACGGCATCCAAACGCAAATCCAACCATCCCTGGCGACATATACCGTTCCTCACCTGCCGTCCTCCAAGTATGTATCCTGGCCCGATGGGAAGTCCCGCGTCTACAACCTTCAGACGGACGGACATCTTATGCCGCAATCTTCCCCGGTATGTTTTTTTCATGCAGCACTGACGGCCCTTGTTTTTTCTGTTTTGTGTCTTTAACCACCAATGTTCCTAAGGTAGACTTCTTGCGTACCTTACTTAGTAGTCCCGTCTTCCGCGGCTCGCTCCATCTCGGCCACAAACTCCCCTCTCGTGGGCACTGCCAACCTGGGAGATCAGATCCTCGGGTAAGGACCTCGGCCCGCCATGTTGAGACGACCAGCACCGCAGCTGGGCTTGAGATAGGACATCTGTGGTGGAAACATCACACACGCACACTCAACTGTTACTGCGTACGGATACTGCGCCTGTCCGTGCCTCCTCACCGCACGCAGCAGGACCTGACACGGCCAGCCGCCAGAGGCACCGGTATCGCGGTTTTCGTCCTCCGTGGATGGCACATAGCTTGGCTTCAGGACCCATGTACTTTACTACTGACTCCGTACTTGTAGGGGACCTCCGCCGCCCTACAGTCAGCAGGTGGCCAGTGGATTGCTTCAACTCTCCTCTGGTTGGATGCCACTGCCGGCCCTCTCCACTCGTCGGCGGGGATCATGAACGTCAGGAAAGCGAGAGAGCAACCTGGAACTCTCTCAGACTCTCACTCAGTCTCTCGAGACTCGCCGGTCCCCCCTCCGTGTGCTGCTAACCCGCCCCAGCTGAGTTGCCTTCATTTCGGCGCCAATAGCCTGGCATCCACGACATGGCGACACTGACACGACTGGTCACCACTCACAGTCACACACAGCCTTCGCTCTCCATTCGCAAGCGGACGAACAGCCCTGCATCTTTCTGCAACCCGCCACTAGAACCGCACACTACTGCAGAGTCACAGAAGACGTGGGCTGGACGCAGATGGGTGCTCTTATTAATCGCGCGCCTCTCTAGCACCGCCAGACTGACCACACAGCTCACCCTTGGGGCGGCGGGCCCTGCCAAGTCGTCGACATTTGGACACTGGACTCTGCGACTGGGCTCGCTCAAGCATCCTGCAGGCTGTCAAGACAAGCCGTCAAACGCCCGTGGACAAGTCAGACAAAGTTTACACTTGCCATTTGCAGCCATAACCTTCACATCTGGGTGCACTACCTACCCATTGTACACCACCACGTACGGCGGTGTCTTTTCAGGGTCCAGATACTCTCCTTGATCTTGCATTGATTCGGAAGAAAATGGGCCACCAGTCCACGGGCACAATTACGGATACACAAGACGGGCCACTGTCGACCATGGAGTGACCGGCTGACCGCCCCATGAGCATCGCGAGATCACGGGGCCCTCACTTAACGGAGCTGCCGTTGGGGGACTCCCCTGCCTTAACATTCAGCGGTGTCCCCTCGCCTAAAAGGGGCAGACAAACGGACACCGCTACAATACCAGGGACTCTCACTCATCCACTCTCGAACGGAACCTTGCGTGGCGGCACATCAGAGCGGTTGTGGGCTCTTATCTCCTTCTGCAGCAGTGTGCTGTGTTCCCCAGCGTACCATTCCTTTTTTTTTCAACTGGATGAAATGATGTGCTTCGGGTCTGGGACTCGGGGTGGGATTTCCGCCTCTCGCGACCCTCCCATTCCGCCGCTATGCCCTCCGTTCATCCCGTAATTCCCGCGCGCGACGTGACGAAATGCGACTCTCGGCTCATGTCTCTCTCATCGACGGCTCCCGAACCCAGGTCGACTTCCTCGAATTGATACACACCTGCAGTATCTCCTGCGCTGCTCTCAAGCCCCTTATTATTACCGTAGAGATCTAAATTGGAGCTCATGGTGTCTCCTCAATTTTACCTATGTCGCCATACAAAGTTTTCGGACGCTTTGTGGGACCAAACGGGAATCGACCCATCTCTGCCTTGCAGCAGTAGCGGCATGATTACCTGGTCAAGGGGGAAAGCGAGGAGGCTGTAATCCATCTCAGATTCAACATCTCTCACGATACTCTGTGCAGAGACCCATGCCGACATCATCGCCAGATGCATGAAGCCAATGGCTCTTTGCGCTATTTCGGAACCCTCCGGGACTCCAAAAGTTTTGCAGGTGCCATCATCTCTTGATTCTCGTAAGAGATCATCACATTTCCCCAATGCCGTCTCGCATGATCTGATATCATTGGGGCTCCTATGCGGGGTCTCGAGCCCTCCTGTTTTTGTTTTTGCCTCACCACCACAGTGACCATACACGATCTGCCAATCTGCGTCACCTTGCGGCCGACAGGTCCATCGCCTGTCGCGGAGCGCATCGAGTCCGACTAGCGAGCGATCGAGCATTTTCAATCGTACCGCCGAGACGCGAGACGGCACCGCGTTACAGTAGCGCCTTCCCTCACACACGTCTTCGTTTTGACGTAGACCTGTATCACTGTTATTGCAAGGAGACGTACAGTTACCTACGCTTAGTAGAGGATAGCCCCTGCTGTCACTTCTCACGCTCCCTTCACTTAGATGAAACATTTCAATGGATGGTCAATAGCTTTTGACGTCTGGCATTTGGGATATTCTTATTGAATTCTCGAGGAGTCGTTTTTTGACTCCTCCCGTGACCATCATAATCCTCCTTCCGGATTTTTGTTTGCCTGATTAACGCCCGAAGAAGACTGAAGAAAAGTTGTCATGCCATAACGTCAAATGCCTTGCCCAGATGCCAAACCCCACCACGAATGAATTAAACCGCTGTGCTACTACAGAAGAGGAAGAATTTACTCGGCACGGTAAGCAGCGATGCGCTCCTTGACCTTCTGCTCCTTCTCCTCCTTTGTGAGGCGCTTGGTCTTGTACTTCTTGGACTCGGCCTTCCACTCCTCCTTGGTCTTCTTGTTCTCAGACTCCTCCTTCTTCCAGGGGTCCTCGCGGATAGCGGCGTGGGCCTCGGTGTAGAGCTCCTCGAGGCCGTCAGCCTCGACGTCGTCGTCAATGTACTGCTGGAACTGGGACTTGTAGCGCTCCTCGTCGTCGTCGGCGAGGGTCTCCATGTACTCGGCGACGTGCTGGCCGAAGATGTAGTTCTTGAGGGTCTCGGCGTCGAGCTCCTTGGACTCGATGTCGTAACCGGGGAAGCGCTTCTCGGAGTGGGGGACGAGGATGCCACCGTCAGAGGCACCCTTCATGGCGCCGAAGACACGGGCACCGGTGGAGGTGCGGTGAAGACCGACGTCGAGGTTGGCCTTGAAGGGGCGGCGCTCGCCGTCGTCGGTCTCTGCGGCCTCGGTGAGGGTGAACTCACCATCGGCCTCCTCGACACCGGTGAAGGTCTTGTCGAGGCCGAGCTTGGAGAGGGCACGGCGGGCGATCAGGAGACCGGTGGCGTAGGCGGCGGCCCAGTTGGTGAGGCCGTGGGTGATGCCGTAGGCGGGGAGCTCGTGAGCGTAGGCGGCGACGAAGACCTTGTCGCCGGTGAGCTCAGAGGTGACGATTTGCATGATGATGTCCCGGTTGGTGAAGCGGACCACAAGACGGTACTTGGGGGCACCGTACTTGTTCTTGGCCTGGGTGATCAGGCGCTTGCGGGCATAGTAGTCGGTCTTGCCGGATCTTCTACGCTTGTACTTGGTCTGGAAGCGACTGGAGTGAAAAGGTCAGCCAACTCTGATCTCGAATGGAGCCTGTCGATGGGGAATCTCGAAAGTGATTTAGACTTACCTGTAGTACGCGCTGTTCTTCACCAACTTGTGGAAAGCCTGTATGCGAAATATCCCGAGTCAGCAATTTGCGCTTCAGATTGGCCTGTTGACCCGAAGCATCTTGCGTTGACTCTCAATCCCATGAGACATTTCTGTCTGCTATTGGGGGCCATTTCTTTTTGTGCCATTGCTGGCTAAAAGAAGAGTGTTTTTTGTCGCAATTTGTCGTTCGGCCATTTTTCAGGCTTTTGACGAGCTGATGGTGATATATCAACTTACCATCTTGACGGTATATGAGCGGGCGGTTGGCTCAAATTTGTCGGTGTGGGTTGTTGTCAAAGGGGGTTGTCAAGAGAAAAAAAAGTTCCAAAGCACAACTTCGCGATAATATTCCTCTGTGGGTTTTGGGGCAGCCCTAGATTGTGTGGCCCCACCTCTCCCCTCTCGATTGTCACTCCCAAAGCAGGTCGGGGACGAGTCACGTGGAGATTGGACTTTGGCCGGGGACGACATGGTCTGTGCTGAGAGGCTTACCTCATCTCGAGTGACCTCTCAACTCCTTCAGTGTCATGGTGCTTTTGGGCCGAGGTCCACTGGTACAATCCGCACCGAGGTGGGGCTTTCCCCAGGTTTGGGCCCCCCAACCCATCGCTGCTCTCTACGACTTTCAACGCTGGCCCGAGTTGTGGATTTACTACAAGTACTCCTTAAGAATATAGATTTGCTGTTTCACAGAGCCATGCAGTCTTTGGAAGAGTCCGATAATTTTCTGATTGATCACGTTCTCGAGGCTGTAGACGATATGACAGACTCCAAGCAGCCCAAGGTGCTTTTATTCGACATTGGTGGTGTTTGTGTAAGTAGCTCCCGTTGATTCCTGTTACTATTTGCTGCTCATTGGCCTCCAATCCATCCATGTGTGATGATACATCATGCGTCCCATATCATATACCAATGCCGGCCATTGTTCTAACTTGACAAGGTCGTATCACCATTTCAATCCATCCTAGATTATGAGCTTAGTCTCGGTATCCCGCCAGGGTGGGTAAACTACTCCATCTCCAAGACAAGTCCTAAGGGCTTTTGGCATCGCCTTGAGACGGGCTCAATACCCATGAACCAGGCCTTCTTTGAGGGCTTCACCAAGGACCTTCACGACCAAGTCCGTTGGGAGGCATTCTACGCCGCCCAAACAGCAAAGAACCCATCTCTCCCCAAGGAAACGCCGCCCCTCCCCACCGTCGACGCCAAGTACCTCTTTAACACCATGATGGTCAACTCGATTCCCCCAGACCCGTGGATGTACCCAGCGCTGAAGAAGCTCAAGGCCAGTGGGAAGTATATCCTCGCCGCGCTGAGCAACACCGTCATATTCCCCGAGGGTCACAAGCTGCATAGGAAAGACTTCATGGACGACCCTGTTCGCAGCTTGTTCGACGTGTTTGTCTCTTCAGCACATGCTGGTCTAAGGAAGCCGGATCCGAGAATGTACCACCTCGCGCTGGAAAGGCTGAACGAGTACGCTGCCCAGAATGCGAGCTCTGAGAGAGGCCAGGCGCTCAAGTGGAGCGAGGGCATTAAACCACAGGATATCGTGTTCCTGGACGACATTGGCGAGAACCTAAAGGAGGCGAGGAAGCAAGGATTCAACACTATAAAAGTCCATCTAGGAAGGGCCTACGAGGCTGTAGAGGAACTAGAGAAGGTTACTGGACTGGTATTGGAGGGCGACCATCCAAAGGTCCCGGTGAAGCCGAACCTCAAGGGTAGTGGTAAAGCGAAATTGTAGAGTCAGGCGCACGAAGAAATGTTCTTATTAGAAGGTCGTTTCTAGGTTCTGCGAGCTACATAGATATAAAGAGCGTCCACATTGACGACTTGGCCGTCAACGGCAGCCTTTTCCCACTCCTCGTGAAATGGAGCCCTAGCCTGCTCCCTGAACTCATCCGTCGGGAGACTTGTGACCAACGACGTGCTCGTGACATGTTCAAATTGCTCGTCAATCTGGTCCATGCCGTAATATGTGTCTCCCTGTCCAGAAATATCATGCATTAGTTCGATCCTGTCCACCACGTACCCTGCGCTCTCGAGAATCTTTGTGAAGGAGTTCTTGTCTGTGATCCAGGACCTATTGCTGGGAAATCGTGACCGCAGGCGCTTGGCCGCCTTCTCCAGTATGAGTCCGATCTTGAAGTTATCCTCGTGCGTGATATCGATGACCACCCTGCCTCCCGGTCTTAGGAAGTTGCGCCACCTCGCAACGACACCTTCGGGATCGTCAAAGAGAACAAAAGCGCTGGAGCACAGGATGGCGTCAAAACTTTGGCCCTCTAGCTCCGGTAATGTCTCCAATTCGGTGGCATCGTGAAGGAAAAGACGAATGCTCGCACTCGGCTTGAGGCGCTCTTGCTTGTCCCTCGCCTTATTGAGCATAGCTTCGGTGACGTCGAGGCCGACGATCTCGCCCGTTTTGCCCACTTGGTCGGCAGCGGTGAAGATCTCGAGGCCGGTACCGCAAGCTAGGATCAATACGCGTTCACCGGCTTGGATGTCGGCTATGGCCATGAAGCGCTTGGTCCAGTCGGGGTGGAATGAGTTCTCATAGTTGTCTGCTCGCGCGGTGTACATGCGCTGAGACGAGGTTGCTTGTGTCTCAGAATCGAAGTCCATTTTATTTGATTGTGCTCATTCAATGTATTCGATGGTGCAGTAATACAAATTTCAAGAGTATCATGATGAGTGCAGGATTGAGGTCTTAGATGATATAACGTCGGTGGCCAATTGTCTAGAGTTAAGTCCTTAAAGTCCGGGCTTACCTACTCCGTCGGCAACACGATCCGAGGATCTGCAAGCGGCGCAAACGCTTGTATCCTCTACGATGCACGAATATGCTGATCAAGGTGAATCAGCAAAACCAACCTGCTCAACTACAACTGGTGCCCAAAGTCGGAAACTCTCAGTCGTATACCAACTTCCGACTAGCTTCTCATCAAACCCCAAGGAAGCAGATCTTACAGATTCCTGTATCCAACTCCAAGATATCACGATCCACTGATTGTCTAAGGTAGCAACCCGAGTAGAGAATCTGAAGCAGTGGGAGCACCAAGAGCACGGTTCATCGATCGTGTAAGGTGGCGGGTGATATCAATACGATGCACCGCATAATTGGGGATGTGGAAGAAGGTACTTGGGTCTCATCTTCTTTCTTCCTATCATAAAAGGCGTAACGGGTTAGGTGGTCGAGCGGGATATGGAGGGATTCCAGGGTGCGATTTCAGTCCTTCGGCCACCCCACACCGACGTTTTTTGTTCGACTCCCTGATGGTGACCCTGTTTTGAATTCACCTTCCCTTAAAACACCTTACTTACTCTTCAGCAAAGAAGGGAAAGAACAGCTCTAGAACACCATCGTTGTTACCTTATTGAACAAGCTCCCCCAGCTATAGTAGTCCTTCCAAAGCACAAGACCATCTAGTCTTTTCCGTTTCAAAGTACAGAGGACTGGCAATCCCATGATTTTTGTAAGCGACAAGAAGCCATATGCGCAAAAAACTTCCAGCTATTGGGAAGAGAGTGCACGAACTTGGTGGTGAGACGAACCATCTAACATCAAGCGTTTGCGCAAATTGGGTCTCTTGATGATGCAGCATGCCACTCCACATGAACAGCGTATAGCTGCACGAACAACCCTAGGATACCCCAGAGCATATGGAAGAGTTCAGGTTCCAGCCACGCTTGGAAATTCTCTTTTTTTCCGACTTACAGAAAGCAGATATCGCGATGTATGTCCAAAGAAGCACCGTCGATTTCATCACACACGTTGTCAGCATGCATGTTTCATCCTTTCTAGCTTGCAAGGCTATGGCGTGGGAGATAATTCCTCAAGTCGATTTAATCAGTCATAAAACCTTTTCTTAGGAGAAAATCCGTTTCCAAATCTGGCGGTGAGCATTCGGTAACAACGTAGCCACCCGAACCCCCCCCAGCTCGACTGCTACCGCTTGCTCGGTGGCTGCCAATACTAGGTAGTCTACCCAGATGTAGCATCTTGACACATTTAAAAGGGCATGTGCTCCTATACCCCTTGGCTGTGAGATTACTGAAAGTTCCAGTTCCATTCAAGTCGTCGGATGGAAGGCCGTCATCTGTTCGTCCCTCTCTTACACTCACATATCTTACCCGCAAGGTCTGAGGCTACATCAGACCGGACTTTTTGAGCTTGTCTCTACTCTGGCATGAAAGCCTTTCAATCCACATTCTTGTTCATTCCTTATTTTTCAGGCGCGCTTGTTCCAACAATTATCAAACGTGGCCGTTGGAGGATGAACTTCGAAACCGAGAGTGCAAAACACATGCGGCTGCGTGCTTGCGCCAAAACTCCAGTCTCGACCAATCAACAAGGTGTCCGCTCTTCATATCTTGTGTTCCGGTCAGAGAGTCTTCTCATCCACAAACATGCTGTAGGAAATAGAGACAATATAGGACTGAAGCTGTCTTACGTCTCGGAAAATAGTGTAAGTGATAGGGTTCATACCATGCTATGTTCTTTGTCGAAGCCACCTCACCGCCGTTGCGGATATTTGCCAAACTGCAGGAAAATGCTGCAGCAGCCTCTGAGGTCCGGATTCGAATCAACTCTAGACGGCTCCATTGGCCTTTGAACTCTTTCTCTGGCACTCTCCATGATCTTCTCCATCATGGCTTCCCATGCCCGAGAGGATTGCTATTAGTCTGACGTAGTCGCCGTGCAAACGGTCAGCACGATGTGTATTTCAGGGAGCCGTAACCCATCTCAATGAGAGACAAGAGCTTCTCTTCATATCCCTTCGTTAGTCAATCAAGACCATTATCAGTTCCCGTCTCACCTTCGTATAAGTATACCTCATCTCGCAAGCAACCATGGTCGTCGCCGTCAAAGCTAAATGGCTGAAAACCACAACCGAGCTCCAGACCTGCCTCGGGGTCAACATCAAATCCTGCTTCAACTGCCAGGGCCACTCCGCCACAAAGTCGTCTTGCGGCAACGCAATCAGCCAAGCCTCGCGATCCGAAATGGCGTTTGTCATGCTCGACATTATCAACTGCGGTAGTCTGGCGTCTGCATCTGCCCACCTCGAGCGACTCGCCAGTCTCACCTTGTGCAAGAGATCGCACCAGGCCCAGGCCGGTGAGAAGGCGACGCATTGGAAGGCTCGGATTCAGATATACCTTGAAGCCGGGACCGGCGATGGCGTCACTGACGAGAAGGAGGTAAAGGCTCCTCGTGTCAGACCACAGCGTACCACCATGATCACGCCCCCTTCCACTCCCGTCGCCAACAAAAGGGACGTGCGGCAGCCAGTATCTACGCGATCATCACAGCGCACTGCGGCGCCGCCTCCTCCAGTCACACCGAGACGAGCCACGCGAGCCCCGAGAGGCTCCGCCTCGTCCATCGCCGTCCTCATTGAAGAGGATCTTGGAGATAATTCCGAAGAAGACGATTCCGAAGGAGAATATTCTGAAGAGGACTCTGAAGAGGACTCTGAAGAGGGGGAGAAATATTATGAGCCCGAACCGGTCCGCAGCCAAACCAGACGTGCCCCGGCCCCGGCCCCATCGGTCAAGTGGGAACCCAACGGCAAGGCTGGCTTCCCTTACCCGTACCCAAGCCAGACAAAGGATCGAGAGAACCTCGAGTATAAGCTGGCCAAGGCCCAGGCGGAATTGGCGGTGTATGAAGCGTGGGTCAAACTTCGAAAGTTCGAGTAGGCAGGGAGGGGGTATTACATTACAGTAATTGAAAGTTGGATGAGTTGGATCGGAATTGGGATTTACTTCTTATTGTTTGGGGGCTATCTATTCACATGGGAACCAGATAATGAGCAAAGGTGTTGATAGATTTATGAGGGCATGTTACGTCTCCTTTCATGAGGTTCAGGGGGGAGGATTCGAACACAGCAGCGCAGATACAGACATGCCCACTAAACAGAAATTGTATCAATTTCCACGTTAACTACAATCACGGCCACATTATTCCCATTACTCCAGCGCCTGGTTCCAGGGCTCCCACGTCTGCTTATCGTAGCTGGCCATACACTTCACCTTCTCAGGCGGATCAGCCTTCCAATCCACCCTGAAATCCTGCACCTCATCCTCGCCTCCCACCCACTGACTGGTATACCCCTTTGCCGCCTTAATCTTCCTCCCGGCCTCGTCGCTGTACTCCAGATTGACGCTCGGCACCACCGCAATCTTGCCGAACCCGGCGCTCCACAGATCCTTGCAGAAAAGCTGCGGCTCGCCCTGGAAACACTCTCCCGGCCCGGGCGCCCGAAAAGTGACAAGCCGATCGAGCAACGGCCTCGCCGTCATCGCCACGGCCCCGTTCCAGCACGAGAAGACCTGCAGCGGCTTGTGGTCGAAGAAGCGCCGGCGCGAAGTATCCTCGTTCCAGAAGATGTTCCACGCGGAGTTCCAGTTGCCGTCGGCCGGGATCTCGAAGAAGGAGTCGCCCGCGATGGTGCGGCTAATCCACACGTCGTAAAAGGTCGGGTCGGGGCCGACGTAGGTCCAGTCGAAGCCGCACGTCATGTCGGCGCCCAGGTATAAACGTTGGTGCGCGAGTTCGAGAATGTCTTCTAGGCAAATGGCCACGTCGTTGAGGAAGAGGACGACGGCGTCGGCGGCGTACTTGCCTGGCCCGCCGGAGACGAGGGGCGCGATGGCCATGTTGCGCAGCTCGGCGAGTTTGGGGATGCGGTCTCCCACGCCGGGGTCGAGGTCGCTGCGGGAGAAGTGATATTCGGTGCCGAGCTTCTCGATTTCAGGGCGGAGGAGGTGGAGGATCTCGTAGGTGCCGTCGCCCGAGTTGCCTTCCACTATCGAGAGAACGCAGTTCTCTGGGCCCAAGAAGTGGAGGGCCTCGACGATGGAGCCTAGGAGTCGCGGGAGGAGGTCCGCCTTCTCTCGTATGTTGAGGGCGATGAAGAATTTGGGTTTCTTGAGCATGATACCGGGCTTGAGGTACTGGTAGCGTGAGATGTCGGGGCGGGGACAGTCCAGCCTAGGCAAAGATTTGTCGTCTGGGTCAAGGATCGAGGTGATGTAGCGCGGTGCGTGTTTGAGGTGCTCCGGGTTGGCGTCCGGCACTGTGGAGCTGGCTCCGCCGCCATCGTCTGGGGATGGCACCGGCGGTGGCGTCGGTATCGGGGGAAGTGGCGTCTGCGACGGCGCGATCGCCGGCGGTGTTACGGCGGTGTTCGTCTGATTAGCCTCATTGTGTGGGGATGTTCCGTGCGCTTTCTCTGTTGGTCCTGCCCCCCCTGAGTCAAGCGTATTAGTTTAGTTTTGGACCATTTTTCGACGTCCTGTTTGGATGAGGGGCAGGTGAGTTTTGTGTATGTGTGGTGACAAGAAACCTACGGAATGGCTTGTACGCGATGTCAAGGTATTCACGCCCCGAAAACAGGTCATATGCGACCATCAGGCTCAACAACAGTAAACATAGTACGCTTGCCCGAGCGATGACGGTGGTCTTCCGTTTCGCCGCCATGGTGTTGTTATGAGGGATCGAGCATCAGCATCGTGGTATCAAAAGAAGAGCAGAGGTTTGACGGCATACGATGTCGGGAGGGGGAAGGAAAGAGAAGGAAAAGGTGAAATTCAGCTTCGAGTAGGACAGTTACCAAGGAAGGCAAGCACGTCTTCTTGAATGCAGACGGGTGTGACCGGGGGTCTGGTGCTTTTGGGGGCCGGTGACCAACACGGCATGAGTGGATTTCATCATTTTTCTTTGATTGCTGTCTACTGGTTTTTTCCCTTTCCCTATCTTGGTCTCTGTTCTTTCTTCTTTGCTCGACTTGTCGGACCATCCCACCCTCATGAAGTCCGTCGGCTGGGGGCGAAGCAGAGCCGAGCGGCACAGAGAGAGATCCCATGCAAGCAGGCATCTCTCACCCGCCCGCAACCTCATGTCAGGAACAAGGGCTGCAGGCGCTTAAAGCACCCGATTCGTACGATTTTTGGCCGCCCGGTTGGCCCGCGGCACCAAGATGGGTCCTGCTCCCGCAATCAAGGCTGTTTTCCCATGCATCCTACTGTTCGTCGTGTTGGTTCTGAAATGTTCGTCTTGAACCCCCATCTCCTGACTCAGTGTAATGTCGCACCTGTTTGCCTCTTCTCTTCCTTGTCAATGGCAATTCACCGGCGCGGCGCGCAGAGGGGATCCGCCCCCTTACGCTGCATATTAGATCACTTGGGACTAGATCACCTGGTGCGTAGTTTGCTGTGAAGGATTAAGAAATTAGTAACAGGTAAGGAGGTTGCTAGGGTAGGGGGTGAAGGTGATAGTATTATCTGTAGATTGACATCACTTGTATGCTGCGGCATATCTTCACTGGGTCGCAACAGATCCAGGTAAAATCTTCGGAGGTCGAGCGCTCCCAACAACGACAATGACGACGCATCTACTTTGTAAACGATTTTTGTGTATTCTTAGGTGCTGGACGACAACACGTAGCCATGCTATGAGTAGACGAGGTTTTCGCTGATTCATGATCATATCCTTTTTGAGATCTCAACCAATCCATCCTCTCCTAGAGGAAGGGCCGAGTTCGCCGACACAGAAACGCCGAACATTGGTAACGCTTATTGTAACGCTTATTTGTTTCCTTCCTTCCATATCCTTTCGACCATACATATATGTCCTGCACCCTGGCTCCTCTTTCTATGTTCCGTGCAGCTTCTGGTTGAGGCCCAGCAGGAGCTGCTTCACCGAGTTCATCAAGTGCGACTCGATCCCGTCAAAGCCCGCTGCGGGCGACCCCGAAGCGCTGGCTTCCGCAGGCGGGGGTACTATGCTCGCGTCTGCCAAGCCCAGCACTCGATCAATGGCGGATAGCGTGACTGCCTCGGCCTTGGCCTCGCCAATCCTGCTCTTAAGGGCATTCGACGAAACGTTCTTGAACCCAAGGAGAGAGTTGAAGACCTTGGAATCAAAGACGTTTGTCGGCCCAGTGGGAGTGGGCGTGCCCCCTGATCCGGGGGTGTTGCTTCGGGTCGAGAAACCGTCTAGGAGCTTCTGTATTCCCTTCATACAGATATCTTCCATGGTCTGATTTTCTGTGGCGGCACTCTTGAGTCCCAGACAGCGGTTGAGGGCAGACATGACGATGGCCTCTGCCTTTGGATTCTTGGCTTTCTTCAGGTTCTCAATGAGACCGTTCTTGAGGCCATTAACAGCTGAGAGTAACCTGGGCTGAATGACGGGACGTGGTTCGGCTTGCGCTGGTGGTGTAGGTGTAGGTCGAGCTTGCTGCGGCGGGGCAGCAGCGGGTATCTGTGGCGGGGGTGGTTGCGCTCCAGGGATGGCGGCTGGAGCAGGTTGTGTGATGGGCGGTGCTGAGGTTGCGGCGGCGCCTTCTTCGGTCTTGACGGCGGGATGAGCTGGAGGTGGTCTTGAAGCATACGGTGAACTGTATGTAGAAGGCTGCCCCGCGACACCTTGAGGTCGTGCAATCGCAGCAGCGGCCCCGTATCCAGGGAGTGTCACTGGCGCCACTGGTTGAGACGTCACTGGCGGTGCAGGCTGGCCAGGGTTCGGCGCCACGCCCGGGGGGGAGTATTGTGGAGTCCTGGCTGCTGTCTGCGCTTGCTGCCCAGCATAGGCTTGCGCGTGGTAGTTATGAGGAAGATGCTGGTAGCCAGGAGGCATATGACTCTGCTGCTGCTGGGCGTACTGAGTGTACATTGGGTGGTTGTAGTGACCATAGCCCGCACTCATAGAACGGTCCGGTGACGTAGCTTTGCGCTTCTTGCCGGCATCGAGTTCGACACCGGGCACCCTGGACCACAAGCCTGTGGTATCGTCCTTCTTAAAAGCTTCGTTCCCGATAAGGTTATGTCGTACACTGGACTCCCAGCCCTTTGTCTCCGTGTGGAAGTAGAACCACGGGTATCTCTGGGTAATTCGCTTGTAAATCTGTTTGAGGGTGAGACCGTCAGGCCCTGCCGCAGTGAGGGTCTCGTCGATAAGCACTCCGTAGTTCTTGTTCGGCTTCTGCAGCTGCTCCTCCGTGTAGTCCTCGATCTTGAGTTCGAGCGGGGGCGACTTGGGACGAGCCTTCTTTTCCTTCTTCTCTCTGGCGCGTCTTTCGGCATCTGATCCTTCAAGGCCGTCTTCGCCCTTTGGTTTCCGGGGTTTGTACTTGCGCTTTTCTGGTCGATCTCCTCCTTCGTCTGGTAGTGGGTGTTTCCTAGGACGGCCGACCTTCCGCTTGATAGGGGGCTCTCCAGGAGGAGGTTGTGGTATCGTTTTCTTAGCCATCTCCTGCTGAGCCTTCTTAAGAAGCCGCTGCTCTCGCTTGGACATGATTCCGTTCTTCGGTGGCCGGCCAGGTCCTCTCTTCTTGTTCAGATAGCCTAATGGAGCACCTCCCATAAGAAGATGCACCATTTCTTGGTCCTCTGGCTTGACCTCTGTGGTAGGTTGGATATCGTCTGCTTCCTCTCCATAATCCAGTGACATCTCTCCCTCGGCATCAGCCTCGGCATCGGCATCAGCGTCAACATCGACTTCTGCATCAGCTTCAGCATCGGCCTCATCGTCTGCCTCTGTTTGTGTTTGCGCTGCTTCTGCAACGTCGGCTGCTGCCTCTGCTGTGGCCTTTTCTGCGGCGGCCACTGCTTCTGCTTTTGCTTCCGCTTCCGCCTCTGCCTTGGAGCTACTTTCGGCCTCGACTTCTTCCTCCTCTTCTGGTTCGACATCGGACATTTCTACGTCTGATGGCGCTGGTGAGCTAAGGGAAGAATCGCTTGTGTCGTCAAGACCGTTGCCATGAGAGGCTTCAAACTCGAAGCTCATCTCCTTTCCACCGGTCGCCTTCTTCTTGAGTTTCTCCTCCTCTTCTGCATACTCCTCAGCACCTGTCCGGCCTTCTGGGACACCGTTGATGACGAAGCGAAAATCAACGTCCTTGATTTGTAGGTGATCACCACTCCGGAGCACGGCGACGCCTTCCTTGTGGTGCACTTCATCGATGAAGAAACCATTCTTGTGGAGTGGGATAGCCTCAAAGACCCCTTCTCTCTTATTGAACTGGATCTTGAGATGCTCTCTTGAAATGGCCTTGGTCTTGCTTGCGATATCAGGTCCGGGCGAGTGAATGCCGACAAAAGGAACGTGGTGAGGAGAGGGTCGTAATGAAGCTAGATCCACGGCTGCAGCACCCGGTGTATGTGAGACATACTGCCGATTTGAGATGAGCTTCTCCTGTGACTCGTCCTCTTCCTGCTTCTGTGATGATCCGGTGCTGGTCGTCTTGCGCCGCTTGGCTGGCCGCCCCTCCCCTTCGCTGTCGGACTCAGGTCCCAGCATGCCTCCCTCTTCACTGACGTATGACTTGCTGAATTTCCCCGGCCCATGTCTGACAGGAGAAGGAGGCGGAAGGCCCTCGCGTTCATACTCTTCCGCTTTCTTGCGATAGGCATCATCGCGCTTCTGGTCTCTCCGCGCCTGGTTCAGAGCCTTCTGGTCGCGACCGATAATGACGGCGTACGTGGTCATCTGGAAGACACTGTCGGCGAATTCTATACGCGCAAATGATTCGAGACCCTGTGTCGCCGCGGCGAGGTTATGTGTGCTTGCGACGAGCGGATCGTTGCCGTTGCCCATTGTGCTCGGGAGGGTGACCTGGGCTGGCGTGACGGTCGGAGGCGGTGATATTTGATTGGACATTTGGTTGCCGGCCATATGCGCCAGAGCCATCATCATGTAGGCATGGTCCATGTTCGGCATCGGGGTGTGTGGGAAGGACGAGGCGAAAGGGTCGGCGTCAACCTGCACGGCTGAAGCCGGCTGCGACATTGTCGCGGGTGGAGCGCTGCCGGCGTCGGCATCGACCATGAATGTGTCGACGGCTAATGAGGTGCTCTGCTCTTTGGTCGACGCGTCTTCGATAGATGGATGTACGGTTGTAGATGCGTCGGTGCGCGATGGTTGCTGCTGGTCGGCAGCGTTCGTGGCGATGTGATTGTTGTTGTCGTTGTCGTCGGGGTGGTCAGTTCGGCCTGGTGTCGTCGACTTGTGCTTGGGCGGCGGCGTGGTCGGAAGGGGCGCCAGGCCATTTTGGCCGGCGTTGGACGAAGTCATCGCTGCTCTGTAGTCGGACAGATCAGCTCCTTCGCCGTCGGCAAGCCAAGAGAGGCGATTTGGTCAGGCGCGACGAGGTATTGACCTGAGAAAGGCTGCGATCGAGACGGGCGAATGCCAAAAAAATCGGCGTTGAACAATTCAGTCCTGGCTGCGATTGACAGGGTCGACGGAAGCGTCTCTGATTGGCTGTCGGTGAGATTCACCGTGGACACTGAACACACCAGCCTTCTTCCCCGCGCTGTTCAAGTACCCAAGTACCTTTTTTTCTTCCAATAGGAGGAAAGAGCCTCCAGTTCAGCCCGTCCCTGCCCAGCCAGGTCCTTTCCTTTCCAGCGTCTCCGTCGCCGCCTTCCTTTCCGTCGCACGCTCCTTCCATCCCTGTCATATTCGTGGACTGCAGCTTCTTACCACAATTCAATGGAAGGAACAACTGCACCCCAATCCCATTGAAGGTCCGGGTAACCGTGACTCATCCTGCTACCTCACCATGAACCTTTAATGCGGGCAATTGCATTTATGTACGTGCTTCAATGCCTTAGCCTTCCATTGGACCCAGCGCTTTGGTTCGGCCCAGGTCTTGCGGTGAGCAGCAAGGCTGTTCACGATGCATCTCTTCGGTCAGGGTCCGAGAAAAAGCCTCACCCGATTCCTTGCAGTCTTGCAGAGGCAAGGCCGCAAAGGCAGCACCACCCTGCGTAGATCGCCCACTTCTTCCGACCTCGGTGCCCACTTTGTCTCGGTCAAGCCCCAATAGCAGATCGTCTCGGTGAAGGAGACTGGATTCTTCTTGGTATTCGTGATCCTTGGAAGTACTCTGCGAATATCAAGTCTGAGGTGCGAAATACAGACCACATATCGTATATGCCAGTATACAGTACCAAAAGGTAATTATGTACAGAGACATTCGCAAAGGGTGAGATTTTCTACGTACTTAGGTACTTAGAATAAGAAGAACAACAAAACAGACTATATATCAAGCCAGTGTGATTGAGGAGCATGTCTGTTTCGGATATCGGATTTCATTCCTTCTTGCTCTTTCAGGGACCTTCTGTCAATCACCAGGCGTCTGCAGGCTACAGTAAGATCAATGAACTGTCGATACCCAATATTATATGCAGAACTTGACCAAGGCCAACATTATCACTCCTGAAAATGAGATTCCAGTGCATAAGGAGCCGTTATAAATGGGCCAAACGGACGAAATTCACCTAGATCCTATTCACATTTATACATGCCGGCAGACGTCAAAAGAACGCCCATATTACAGTCATACAAGAAGCCACACAGCGCTTCAAACAACTAACTCAGAAGCGGCGCTCGCTCGCCAAACAGAGACCGCCCACGTCTGGACTCCCACCACTTCTGCGTCCTCTCCGAGACCCGATACGCCCAAAAGCACAGCATCCCCGCAATGAAACCAATAGCATCGTTCCTAAACGCAAGGAGCCCAGCCGTGGTCATGAGCATGACAGTCCACCTCTCAGCCCTCTCATCATCAGAAAGCGAGCGATGCTGCCTGACAAGCCCGCCAACGCCGCCGCCCTCGTTGCCAGCAGAACTCTCCCACAGATCAGAAGCCCCGTGATTCAAGCTGTGCCCGACCTTGGCGAGCTCGAGTCCCGCGGCGATGACCATGACGCCCAGCAGGCTCTTTGGGTAGTGCGTGAGCAGGCCGATGAGGGAGTTGCCGAACACGAGGCCCAGCACGATCTTGAAGAGACCCAGCACGATGACGCTCGCGCCGCTGCGCGCTCCGAAGCGGTACTGCGCCGCGAGCCCGCCAGCTCCGTGGCACACGGGCATGGCGCCCCACCACGTGCCGACTAGGTTCATCACGCCGACGCTGATGCCCATGGCGGTCACAGACGGCGTGGGCATGTCCGGCAGCAGGTCCGCTGCAAGGGCGCTCACTGCGATGACAGAGTTCAAAGTTGTGAGCGGGAGCTGGCCGATGGCCATCGACAGCGGCTTGTACTTGAACCAGTTGAACTCCCAGTGCACAAAGTGCGGGGTCCAGAGGCTGGGCTCCGGCAGGTAGGTGTGCGGGTTCTCGTGCGAGGTCATGATGGAGATGAAGGCGAAGACGAGCGACAGAAGAAAAATGTGCAGCGCGTAGGGGAAACGCGGCAGGCCCTGGGTGAAGATGAGCACCAGAAAGGCGGCCAGGGCCCATAGCCTGTTGTCGAGGACGGGATGGGTCCAGTGAAGGTCTCGGAGGAGGCCGGAGCCGGCGGCCATGACGAGCGAGAGACCGGCGCCAAGCTGGATGCCCTTGACGACGGGGACGGGTACGTTCCGCGTGACCCAGCGCAGCAGGCCGGTGAGGCTCATGACTAGGACGGCCAGACTGACCCACTGGCCCGCGGCCATGACGGTTCTGATGCCGCCATATTCGGACCGGGAGATGGCTGTCGCGGCGATTGCCTAGACGCAGTGGTCAGTAATGAATTCACCATCACAATCTCTTGTCTACATCTGAACACTCACCTTCATCGGCTGGACTGGAAGCGGGATGCCAAAAACTGCGCCAGTGACAACGTTGAAGATGCCTGAAAACACTAGCGTGCTATCGAGATAAATGGAGTGCTGGACCGCAAGGGCGATCATCAAAGGAAGAAGAGTCCCCAAGTCACCGAGGGCGCCAGAGACCTCTGCGGCGGGAGAGCCGCGCAGAGTTGCGACATTGTGTCGATGGACTCGTTTTAGATGACTGAGAACCGTCATGATGCGGGGAACTAGGCAGGTTTCCTGCTTGTGAAATAAACGGGGAGTGTCAAGATGTGATTCAAAGAGATGCTGGCGAAATACAATAGCAGCAGAGCGTCAAAGAGTTTTGACTCTGATCTTTGAAAAGATGGCCGAAATGTAACTGATTCACCGTTCTGCTGGCCTCGTTGGTGGCTGACGACGCCTTCAACTCTCAGGATGATTGATACTGAACGCAATTCATCTCAGCGTACGTACCCGCACCCCGGCTGCGACGCGGCAGCTTCCGACTGTGCTGTTCGGAGCAAGCAACTCCTCGGCCGGACGTTGTAGTTGACGGTGATTGGTCACTTGACCACCGATGCTAGGCGTCTCCGCCCATGGCCTGTTGTAATCTGCAGCGCGCATGACCTCCTCAGCTCCTCGCTTCAGTTCTCCATTCCCTTACCTAAGGTAAGATAGACACCTTCAGTCTTCAGACGCTGAGGACGCGACCTGCTTGGGTAAATATTTCGTCATGGGCCGAATGAGCGGGTCAGCATATGATCTGACCCGTTGTCGCTGGACTGGACGAGATTACATAAGATAACCCAAGCCAGCCCAACAGCGGGAGTGACGGCAGTGGAGAGAAATGTAAATGGATGACTGAGCTGGCTGGCGACCGAACAAGGAGCCGACGGGAGTTACCATCTAGCGGCCAGGGACGGGCGCATGCCGAACATAAATGCTAGTCCCTGAACGAGAGCCTGCTCTTTCTCGATAAGCAGCAAGCGTCGGATTGGATCCATCCGTTAAAAAGAAATAAACGAAAGAATGAGGGAAGAAACTCGTGCTGGGGCGGCGGAAGGGGCGGCGGGTGAGATTCGGGCTGGACGGATGCTAAGGTTACCCATGTGTCTCATTGCGCGCAGAGACCCGGCCGGTGAATGAATGAATGAATGAATGGGGCCTTGTCACCTTGGAGCTCCGTGGCAAAAGATTGTTAACCTGCCCGAGCTTCGCTTTGATTATCTTACGATGGAGATGCAGTCTGGCAGTACGCTGCGGGCTTGCTATGAGGTTTTTGTTATCAAATCAGGATATTGACAGTGGGCTCGCTGTGACGCTGCAAGGAAACGGTCGCTTCATCTTCGAACGGAATCAAAGGGATTGAGAAGGTCCCAAGACGGGAAAGATGGGTGCTGGATGACTGATCAGGTGAGTGTTTTTCGACGGGACGATGCAGCGGCGGATCGAGAGGTGGCTGGGCCGCGGAACGAGCAGCCATCGGCCCTGACTAGGCGCGACGCCCGATCCGATGGTGGTGGTGGATTGGTGCTACTTTTGCCGTGTAAGGATTGAGATGTGATGTTACGGACAGAGGGACAATGGGGGTCCATCATCTGCAACCCTCTGCTTGCCTCCTGCTGATGAGTGATGAGTGATGGATCATGTTTGTTGTTGTTTCTCGGTGCTGGATTAAGGTGCCGTCCCACTCCAGCGGTCCAGCCTATATTGAACCATCCCCGCATGGGCGCTCAGTGCTGTGATGATCGTCTTTGCTTGGCCGAGGCTCAGCCAAATGACCGATTCGGGCAATCTCTTGGCCCAACTCAAAAAGTGTCATGGACTTCCATTGGGCCAAGTCGCCAACACCTTTGCCAACTTGTCCGCAGCAGCTTGGCCGGGCGCAGTCTGGTAAGCCTGAGAAAGGAAGCCCCGTCTAGCGGATATGCCTCACCCATTCAAGAGTCTTGGAGTTGAAGCCATTCTCAGGTGCCGATACTGCCAAGGCTTGTCATTGTCGAGGCGAGGTGATTTGCCAAGGTGTGCGCAAATTTCGAGCTTTTAGTACTCCGTATTGCAGTCGACACTACTCTGTAGCCGTACTCTCTATCCGTAAGGCAGACAATAACAAGAAAGAAAAATGGGACGTGCTAGCGGTTACTAAGTGCTTGAGCGGTCGACAGAAGCGAGCATGACAAGGGAATCCTTTGGTCGGTCAGGTACGGCGGTTCATCTGCTGTGGCATTCCCGAGAAATCTCCCAGTTGCCCCAATGGAACCTGGAAACGTCGGTGAGGGCGGAAGACCAGTGCCAAACCAACACTACAGTATGGATGAAATTGCCTTAGTACGCAACTGATATGAACGTCATGAAGGGACGGCGGCGGCGGCGACTAACCTAAGCAGCAGAGCCAGATGGGCCCAGGTGGTGATGACGGAGAGCCATGAGCTCGAAAGAGTCAAGAGTCTGCCTGGCTGATGTTGCTGCCACAAGGTATGCCAATAGCGTAAGGGTGCGGAATCGGTGGGAAAACAGACGCAGCCCACAACCCGGCGGAGGTCGGCGAACCGGTGGCCCTGCGAACCCACCGGAACTTGAAAGTTGAAGGGTGTGCTAGGGCCTCATCCCGGCTCCGGCCCCATGAGATGATCCATGTCATCCAATTGTCCGCCCAGTCTGGCAGACTCTGTGCGCAACAGCACTAGGCTCGGGACTATTGTTTAGTCGTGAATCTCTGGAATAGTGTTGTGACTTGTGAATGCCTTAGCATATTTCAGAGGTGAATGGTAAGCAGCAAGAGTGCTTGATGCTGGTGAGAGAGGGGGGAATTCCCGCAGCAACAGAGACAGACGTACAACAGAAAGGGGCCAACAGATTCAGAGACGGGCTGCAAGTGTTGCGCGACGGAAACACACAACACAAACTTCCCTGTGTCGGGCGAGGAGTGTAAGTGGTGATGACAGGGGACCTCGAGCGATCAGGCGTGGATTCCCCACACCGGATGCCTGTGATGACCCTGCCGTGTTCCCGGCATCCATGGAGACAAGCTTTTTCTGTTGCTCGCTTGGCGCCGTTCTCTCTGCCACTAGCAGAGCAACCGCGACCGCCGATGCCACCTCACGAGTACTCCTTACACACTAAGCCGCTACACAGTGATGTACGGATCGCGACATGCCAATGGTGGCAGTTCACCACCAGAGAGTGCCCAGACGCGATGACACCGCCAAGTACCATGACCTGTGAAGATACTTTCTCCTCGCCTTTCATCGTCGAGCTCCTAGCTGTAATTACCTCAAGTACTTACCGTACCACCTTGCGTTGATGAGGTACGCACACCTGACTAAGATCCAATGGGAAATACCTTCCCATCACCATTGGATCTTCCTTCTTATTGCTTGCTCGCCTTGCCAATCAGCCGACTATTTGAGCAGCTATTTCCTTCCTCGCCCGCCCTCCTCGATAACCCCTCCCTTCCTGACTTACCTTGCCTTACCTTCCTCTTCACCCTCTTGCTTCTCTCATCCCTCCTCCTCCAACAACTCAATCACTCGACGATCCCACAATCAGTCAATTCCTCCCCCAATTGATTCCCCCCTCATAAAGGTAAACACTCTCGTGCTTCTTGACCTCTTCATGAGCTCCAGCTTCATAAATCAAGCTTCGTTCTGTTGACGCTGACAAACTGCGCTTCTAGCCGGCCTCCCCTAGTCGCTGCGATCGAGCCACCAGGTCCTTTTTCCCCACCTCACTCTCATCGTCCAACGTTGAGCTGTCTCTCATCTTCGCCAAAGGTAAAGTAACCTTCTCTCAATGCGCAATCTTCCCAAGTCTCCATTCTGCCGCAAAAAAACTGCTCTGGAATGCCAATTGGTCTTTTGCGACAAATTGTCCGAGCTTCGCGCTCGCGCCCAGGATGCGACAACCACATCATGAAGAAAAACAACATGTGGATATCTTCCCTTGACGCCAACGCCGGATACCCCGGGAATGACGATGGGCACATCCAAGTTCACAGGGCTCTAAAAAAGAAAGACAGACGGCCGTCTCCATAAAATGCCTCAATTGGGCAAGCTTCCTCACCTCTAGCTCTGGTGTTTTTTCTACGGATCCCGACCGCATTGGGCGAGCATCACTCATCGCAAACAGTCGCCACGAGCTTTACTCTCACACTTATTAACTCACTCACCCGTCATCATTGCTTTCTGTTTGACTTTGCAATTCTTGTCACTCTTCTTCGCCTTTTCAATCCTCTTACTCTCATCCGCTGACAAAGTTTTTCTTCTTCACACAGCCGACTCTCCAATTACCTCACCTCATCTCATCTCCCGTCAAAATGCCTGCCATCAACACCCTCGTCGCCCGCGACGCTGTCCACCAGCTCGCCAAGCGCCAGAACTGGGCCCAGAAGGAAGCTGGCGTCGTCGTCGTCTTCTGCATCATTTTTATCGTCGCCCTTGGTGTCTCTGGTCTCATGATCTCCAAGTGCCTCGCCAGGCGCAAGGCAGAGAGACAAGCCAAGGAGTCTCAGGCCGCATAAGCAAGACCTCGTCACCTCTCATAGAGGCCAGAAGAAGGGAGCGGAGTTGGGATAGTAATGAGTCAAGCTTCAAGTTGGACGCGCTTTGAAGCCGGTAGCAGGACGACTCTCTTAGTCACTCACACACAAACCATATGGTTACGTTCGAGGAGACAGTTGCGCCTAGCTATATACGAAGGAGCCAGCACCATCTGTCGACAGCAATTATGTTCACATTCCATACACCACACGGATCACTCACTACCAACCGATCGTCGGTTTCGATTCTCGACACTTCGTCATAGTCTGCAGGATTGGGGTCTCACGAAAGGCGTGTACTGAAGGAAAGACATCCGGGCTGTACATGGCAGTATCACGACTACACGGGAGTTAATGCGCCAGGAGGCGGCTGTATGTCAATCGCGACGCCGCAGATACCTATTTCACACAAATTTTAATGATACCTATTTCACGTTGCGCAAAGCGATTCAATCGTCTCTCGATCATTGTTGACAATTCGTATGTTTACCGGATTGTGTATTACAAGTCTTACCTTCACTAACACAAGCCTTCCTTGCCTTCTGTTAGTAAGTGCCACAGAAAATCGAGTCTGGTTGCTATCCACCCTTCTCTTTATCTCCATTTTTTGTTTGGAAAAAACGGTCCCAACTCCGTTTATTTCAGCTTTACTGGCGCAAGGTAGCGATGAATTTGGGCATCAGATGGCATGATTTTAGCAGGCGACTGGCTAACCTTTTTTCTCAATTCAGGGAACAGGCACCCCCGTCGCAAGAAATCAGACCGAAAAAGGACTTGGCATCGATCGCGCCACGTCCCTGATGCATGCAGCCGCACGTGGGACTTTTGAGACAGGACGCCTCTTTGCGCCTTGGTGCTCATTGCTTACCTACTAGGAAGTATGGAGACATTCCAGAGGCGCATTCATGGTAAGGCAGTATTAGGTATTAGGTGCTATATCTTTGGGACTTGCGTCGCGCTTACACGCCCTCCCACCCGAAAGGATCGCTTACCTGGGCCAGGTCGCCGGGTTTTAATCTGCTAGTGCTGAGGCGTAGGCATCCACCATTTGCCTAGCACCCACAAACCCGAGATACCAAATCCTTATCCCGGACCGGGTTAACGAACCTGGAGTTCATCCGTGATGACGACCTCACTTTGTAGTCGAAGCCTCAGCTCTGTTGCTATCGGACACATGTTCGAGTCGTATATAGGGTCATGCGCTGTGCTCTTATCTGACCCGGGCCGTCTACTGTTTAATGAATTTACAATCACTTATTGCGTGGTTTCGAGTAGAAGTGCAGTCTGCAAACGTCCGCAAAATATTCATCAAATAAGGCGAGCCAAGGGGTTTAGACCGCAACCTCAAGTTATCTTATATACAGAACTCGAAAACTGAAACGCACGACACTCTCGCAATGAATCCACAATCACCACCCCCGAGACCCGACAGCCCCCCGCGCCGCCTCCGCGCCTGCGCGCCGTGTACGCGGGCCAAGGCCCGCTGTAACTTCCGCGAGGAGAATGCCCGTCGGCACCTCTGCGACCGGTACGTGCTTCAACTGGCTGGAGAAGGCGTGGCTACACCATAGAGCTTCCTTCTTTGTGCTATTGAAAACTCATGAACATTGGGACTGACGTGATGTGACGGGGGTTTAGATGTGAGCGGCTCAAGATTGACTGCTCGGCCAAGACGAGGGGTATCAGGAGGACGCGGCAGATCAAACCTCTGGTCAAGTAAGTGTTGTTCCTCATGGGTCACTCGTCTCGTTCGCCAAACCTTTTGATGATGTGTTGGGTGTGAACGCACCTTTGGGAATAGTGGCATCTCGAGACAACAACGGCCCTAGCTTCAGAACTCCACTAACATGAACACGACAGTCGCGTCGCAACACTAGAGCAACAAATAGCCCATCTCGTAACACCAGAAAAGTCCCCAGCAGCCTCGACACCCTCGGCAGAGACCTCAACCTCAACCCCCTCAACCTCCTCGCCTCCCTCTCACTCACACTCACACCCAGCACCCCTAATCCAAGGACACCAACAAGGCCCCGTAAACGTAACCCACAGCGTCGTCCCCTCCTACTACCACCACTCCTCCTCTTCCTCCTCCCCCTCCTCCTCATCCTTAATTGTAACAACGTCAACGACAACAAAGCCGCCCCTAGGCCTAACCTGGTCCCAAGCATCCAACGTCCTCGCCGACTTCCGCGCAAACTTTATCCCCAACTTCCCCTTCATCCAGGTCGACGGGCCCTCGGTCGAACCGGGATCGGGGTCTCCGCAGCGGCTCGCGCGCGAGAAACCGTTCCTATTCCGCGCCGTCATGCTCGCCGCCGCGCCGGCGGGGAAGACGAGGGCCGAGGCGATGCACCGCGAGTTGTTGGCTGAGATGGGGGCGCGGATGATGCTCGAGGAGGAAGGCGGGTTGGATTTGTTACAGGGGATGTTGGTTATCATCTTGTGGTCAGTACACGGCCCCCTTACCTTTACCGACTTATGTGACGTTCCTCACCGGCGTCTACTGGGGTCTTTTGAAGATAAACCCCTAAAAGAAGAAATCCCACTGACATTGTACGTCATAAAAACAGGGCAGAATGTAGATACTGGTTCGACAAGCAAATCACCCGCCTAGTCTACACGGCTCTAGGCTACGCCCACAGTCTAGGCATCACCAAACCCCCGCGCTCCCTCCTCCAGCCCTCCCCCTGCCGCCCCGGAGGTTCTCAACAACAACACCCATACCAGCAGCAACAGCGGCAGCAGTGGCGGCAGCAGCAGCAACAGCGACAAGAACCAGAAGACTGCTTCACCAACAAGGCAGCCCTCAGCGCGACGGAACACCACACCCTCGAGGAACAGCGCACCTTTCTCGGCCTCTTCTGCATCGTCACGTCCAACTGCGCGCAGTTTGCCCGCAAGCAGAATCCGCTCCTGCACTGCCTTGGTACGAATGGAAGCAAGTCGTCTCAGGGGCTCGGGTACCTAGATATCTGCTACGAGAACCTGGCCGCGTCAGGGAGCCTGGAGGACCGGATGGCGGCGAGGATGTTCAAGATGGCTGCCGTCTCTGCGCGCCTCGTCGACGGGTTCGGTCCCGTGTTCGATTGCGAGGGAGGGAGGGGCATGGGGATGGGAGATGGGTTCGAGGAGGAGGTGGGGAGGATCAGGGCAGATGTGGACGATGTCTTGGAGGGACTTGATCCACGGGATCCGTATTATGGTAAGCCACTCCCTCCCCCCCCCCCTTCCCCTTTTCTTCCAAAGTTCATGATGATTTCTTTGGAGCTCCTCCCACAAATGGAAGAAATCAGAGCTGACATGCAATCTCAGCATACCTCAACCTCCAGCACAAAGCCCTCCTAGTCCAACTCTACGAACCAGCAACAAAACACCCCTTTCCCTCATCACCACTATCTCCACACCTCGCAGCCTTCCAAAACACCGCCGCCGCCACCACCGTCAACCGTACAACCTACTTTCAAGCAGCCCTCTCCGAAGCCAAAGCCTACTTCGCCGCAACCCTCGCCCTCCCACCAGAAGCCTACATCTACCGCACCTCCGTCGGCATGGGCCTAGCCCAAGGCGTCCTCGCCGTCACCACGCGCCTGCTGATCCTCCACGGCGTCCCGGGGTGGGACCTCCCCCGCGCCCGCGCAGACGTCAAGTTTGCCGAAATCTGCGAGAAATTGGTCGCGTTTCTGGGACGGGTGCTGCAGGTGGGTAGGGAGCGGATGGGCCGGCTGAGGGAGGAGACGTGGGTTCGCGGTGTAGGCGGCGGTGGTAGTGGTTGTGGCAGGGCGTACAATACCCTCGAATTCGACTGGGATGATATCAATGGAGGGAGCGAGATCGATGCGAGGGGCTCCATGTGCGAGGACTTGATTGGGAAGATGAAGTGGATCAAGGATTGGTATGAGAGTCGCGTTCGAGCGGGGGACGGCGGCTTGACTACTACTACTTCTCCTGCTGCTGCTGGCGGCGGCGTCGGGAGTGCAGAAGCGGCAAATAAAGAGTTGATGGAGGAGATTGCGAGGATCTGGCACTGGCCTGCGGACGCGACGAGTATGCCCATGTTTGGGGGGTTGATTAATCCCTTTGACATCTGTTACGATAGTATCTGACGAGACATGATGTTCTTTCACGATTCCCAGCTAGAAGAATAATGTTTTTCGAGCACAGATGTGTATTCACTGCGCTATGTCGATGCAGAGAAATGTAGAAATACAAAATCTGGGTATGCCCCGGGTTTCATCCGTTCGCTTGTCGTTGCACCATGGTATAAACAAAGTCAGTCGGTACAGTCTATCGTAACATACGGTCTACCACCCCCGTTACTTGAATCCAGGCCGTCTTTGCGGGCCCTCTTGAGGTCATCTGTCGCAGACGCACACACAACCAAGCGTGCGTCGATTATTTCCTCATTTGAATACACAACCACTCGCTCAGAGGAAATCCCATGCAATTAGCATGGGTAGTGCCACCAACAGGAATAAGCAAGCAATGAGCGCCGGAATGACGGGCGGTACAGACTCAGCTGCTTCCTCGAGGAACCAGAATAAGTCGGCCAGCGGAACGAGAACGACTCTACGGAGCAGATCGATGGCGCTCCGTGAACGACGGCAGCAGCGGCAGCGGGTCCAGAAGCTGTGGCGGTAGTTGACGTCGTCGTGCTTTGGTGCTGAGAGAGCATTCCGCACATCGGCACTAAGGTCTGGTAATGAACGGGAAGATGGCCGGCCTTTGGTCCCTTGTCAGCATGGTAGTTCGCGAGAGCCCTAGAGAGATAAAAGAGATACATGCTGGTGCATGCAAGAAAGGTTGTGTGGTGAACTGATTCAGTGAGTGAGATATGGTGGGTACACCAACGGGAGCGGTGGGTGCAGGTGGACGAAATAAGTGGAGGGCCGGGATGAAGAGAATATGCCAAAAAGATAGGATTAGGCAAGTGGGTAGGGTTGAACGCCGGAGACTCACCGAGAGGTGTCCGGGGTGGCAGCGGCGACCGGGCGCCGGACGCCGGAAGGGGAGACCGGCTGCCGTCGGGTGGGATTTCCTGGGTCCGGCCCTTGGTTCTGGCGTAATAAGCTAGCCGGCTGTTAGAATAGGTACTGGGAGAAGCGCGTGATAGAGAACCCCAAAAAGAGATGGCGGTGAAGATACGTACGCATTTCTCTGAAACAAGCGGTATTGGAGCTTGTCCTACTCTCTCGGGCTCGGAAATACTGGAGGGCGAGCGAAGCTCTTCGGGTATCGATGTTGGACACTCTTGGTGGCCCCGGTCGGCTTGTTTTCTCAATCGCAAGAGCCGGGACGCAGATGTTGATGATGCCAAAGCTGAAGGGCTGGCATTCCTCAATAAAGGGAGAGAGATTGGGCGGGGAAAGGAATGTTGCAAGCGGAATTGCTTTGGTGGCGGTCCGGTTTAGCTTGGCCCCCCTTTGCCTCCCCCTCGTTGTTCTGTTTCTCGTAGGTATCCGTACAAGATGGGGTCAGGGAATCGCGTTGTACAGGTGATTCAATTGAACAGGGCTCTTGGACCTCCTTTGTTGTTTGGGCGTGGGCGAGATGCCGTGCCGACTGGTATAAATCTGAAATGAAAAGACTGCAACGTCGGGCTGATTGAGTGTGATGGGATGCCAATGTCGCTTTGCGGGTGCCAAGGCCAAGGGCCTGGGTGTTGTGACTGATGGGAAGATGCGGTGGGCGGTGCATGAGATGCAACCAAGTCTCCTCTGTGTGTGTGTGAAGTAAGGACGAATATTCGCAGATAGCAGAAAGAACGGATGAGGTAGGTGATGCAACTGATGCAGGAGAGATCTACAGCCAGCTGCAGGGTGAGATATCCGTACTTGGCGGCGACGAAATAATTGTGGATAGGGAAGGGAAGCGAGGCGAGGCGAGGCGTGGAGGCAAATTGGTGGATAACCTCAGATACCTTTAATATCCGTACATGTATCCGTACATGTATCCGTACCTTACTCCGTACTTGCTGACCACGTAAATGCCAAGGTGAAGATTGAAAAGAGAGAAGCCACGGGCGATGCTTGATGCCAAGAAATCAAAACAAAAGGCAACTCAACCCCACGTGGTGACTGCTGCTGCTGCTGCTGCTCGATTCGCACAGATGCCGCTGCAAGCGTCGAAGGATTATTTGTTCGATATGTTCCTTCTTCGTTGCCCTGGGTTTCTCTGTACGAAGTACCGTGCCCTGTGTGCTCAGTGCTGTGCTTGCTGTACAATCCTTTTTAGAGTTTGGCGCGTCCCCCAGGCATTGCTGTGTACTTCGTTAGCTTCCTCCTCCCCCGTTGATGTCCGTGGTTTTGATTGATCGAGAATGCTTGGCGTGGAGATGAAGAGGTGAGGATAAGCCACAGTCACTAGTCCCGCGTGAGCAACAGGATGGGCGGCGAGGCTGCTAGTGATCATCACAGAACCAAGGAATCTCTGAGAGTTTTCTACGCTAACTATCCGTACTCCGTAGACTCTGCATAGCAAACGAAAAAGGGGGGGGGGGAAGGACGGGTGGTAAGGCATTTCTTCTTGGCTGAGAAATGCCAGTTGGCCAACTCATGACTGGTGGAGGGAAACCTTCACTTCGAGTTTGGGAGGACGTTTTGCACAGCCTCCTTTTTCTCGAACGCCGTCGATTGCCGGGAACCACCTTGTCGGCCCCGGCGGGCGCGTGCGATTAATGCCGCCCAAATTTGCGCTTCATGCCGGGAGGTGACAGCTCTAGTCCAAGACTCCAACAACTGAGACTCTAAAACTCCAAAGTGAGTACGGAGTATTATGTGGAGGGGCGATGAGCACAGACCCTGAAGGTAAATACTAAACAACCGCCAAGACTGACTGAACATAACAAGTTGTGACGACTGAGTTGCAGAGTACTATTTCGGTACAGAGTATACACCTCGATGGATGAGAGATGATATTGCCGTACGGATACTCAGGTGGCGATTATCTGAAGCAGAGCTGCTCCTCTCAATCATTTGAAACTCCCATAGCAAAAAAAGAATTGCCCGTCTAGGCTGCCACTCTCCAAACTAAGGTATCCTACATGAAAACACATTACCTCCAGCCCTTTACTTTACTCGTATTTAAGAGACCATATGCCAAGACAAATCATTAGAGCCAGCACAGCCAGCAAACCTCCGCTCAGAACCATGTATTCCTTGTGCTCAGCCTCTTGTAACTACTCCGCTCTTGTCCATTGTACCCCGTGTCAGCAGACAAGTCCTGCTTGGAATACTTGCCGCGCCACGGCCTGTGGTTAGCCTCTTCGAAAAAGTAGTGATTCGCACCACTTGTATACCCAACACGCCACGGCACAACCAGATCCCTCTTCACCGGCCCGCCACCGCAGCTGCCCTTGAGCTGCTCGCTCGGCGGCGAGTTGACGGCCAGCGCAAACAGGTTCTGCGGCTCAGTAAAGTCCGTCACCAGGCCGGACCGGGAGAGGAGGTAGGCGAGGCAGACAACGTTGATGACGAAGACGAGGGCGAGAACGAGGTAGAAGCACTTTTGCCACTCGGCGCTGTGGCCCGACGTGTACTCCTGCGTGCGGATCGAGGCGTTGAAGGGGTCTAGGCTGCCCGGCGCGCCGAGCTGCATCTTCTCGTGGCGCCAGTAGTGTTCAAAGGGGGTGTTGAGTCCGCCGATGATGAGGGTTGACGAGGCGTAGACGGCGAGGGCTTCGGCTATCGAGGGGAGGAGGGGGTTGAGCTGCGGCTCTTGGAGGACGAATTGGGTAAGGATGCGGGCGTTGGAGGCGTTGTTGTTTTGGGCTCCGCCGTTGATGTCCATTGACAGACGCCATTGATCCGCAATATTCTACACAGAGACAAACGTAAGTAAATGACGATGGAAAGGGGGTCTTGGTGGTTCCTTACCCTCCAGTCCGTCACGGGTGTGGATTCCGTGACTTCGGTGTGGACGTTGGTGTAGCTGTCTGTATCATCGGGGTCATCGCAGTGTGCTTGCATATGCGCTCCTGCTGTGCCCGAGATGTTGAAGTGGGTTGAGCAATTGGGTGACACCCACGATCTCATCTCACAAAGAGTATAATCTGTGATGGACGCCGACTTTGTGAGGATGTAAATGGCGTCGCTCTCTACCGACGTGTTGGTTATCATGTTGTAGTCCGCAGGGTACTGTCGGTTGCTGTCAGCCCTTTCTTCTTTTATATGCTCACCAGGATCACTTACCAGCGGGAACACCGGCGGCCGTCGCCCATAGTCTTGGCCCCAGCGAAAGATCTCATCCACCGACGTTCGATTTAGCCACTCCGTTTCCGAAGCGCCGGGAACATATTTCTCCCAGTCCGATTTCCCGGTTCTCTGTCCTGGAACTGTCGTGTCGTCGTACAAAACCTTCCCTATGGGCCACTCTGTATAGACCAATGGCTCCAGTTCCTCTGGAGACATGTTGACACACATGACGTTCAGTGCGGGCGAGACCACACTCGCTCTGATGCCGTACTCTCCTACACCCGACAAGTCATTCGGCTGAAGAATCTTGTTGACTGGATTTGTTGCTGCATCGTAGACACTCGGATGGGGAATTGCGAGCGTCACATTGTTGATTATCCTATTGAAGCGCATGTGTTGCTCAGTCGTGTTGCTATAGGTGGTCTCAATCCAAGCAGAGGTGAGCGTTGTGTTGTCGTACAACAAAGCCGTTCCTACAGGGCGGTGTTGAACATCAACGGCATCACTTGTTCCGTTGCGATTGATGGATTCCCAATCACCTAGGAACGAGACCAAGTTGCGATATGCTTCACACAGGCTGTCAGCATCACTCGAACAAAAAACTTTCTTTGGAAAGACCTGTACGTACATTGGCCGGCATATTGCACTTCCAGGCAAGCATTTCCAGCAACATCAACACCCAATGGGTCACTATCTCGTAGTGGTGTCGGGCAGGCTTCACGCGCAAAGGGCGGGTTCATGTAGGACGCCAGAACATAGCCGCTCAATGTCTTCGTCTCCCAGTCGCCAAATTTAAGCTTTGGAGTGATCATGGCGTCTGACGCAGTCGTATAAAACGTCGAAGCAACGGTTGCAACGAGAGACACTACTCCGAGAATGGTCATACCGGCGTACGGCAGCGTCTCCCAATGGGTGATCAGGAATCCAGGTTGCTACGAAATATTAGACTCATCCGGCAACACAACACAACCTCAACTCACAATAACCCAGTTTCTCATCGTCATCTCAGCCAAGGTCATGCCCTCTGACCTCCTCACAAATGCGCGACGTGTCAATACCTGGCCGATAAAGGTGACAAATACGGTCACGAAAGATATTTCAATCGTCTTGGCAAACATTGCGCATACCAAAGATGCTGTTGACGGGAGGATGCCACCGCTTGACGAGATTTGAGGACCCCAACGTGGCTGTACAATAGCCACAACGAGCCAGAGGCAGCTGAGTCCTGTGGAGTAGAATGACAGAATCAAGATAGACATCGAGAGCCAGTTATGCTGCTTCCTGTGCACATCGTTCCGCGAGTCACAGTAAGTTGGAGGACGGCCTCGAGTGCCTATTAGTAGTCACTCGACATGGGTCAGATGTACGGGGCTCGGCTTACTGAATCTCTTATATAAGGCCTCCTCGTCATCCACTGGATCAGTCTCCTCGAGAGAATTCTCATCCCGTCTGGTCGAACTTCGAACGGACGTCGGTTGAGGCGGCCTGACCTTTTGCTGACTCTCATCTTTGCCTGGAGTCGCTTGACCTAAGTCTCCCATTTCCTCCGCCTCTATGAGAGGCCATGGCTTCGAAGATTTTGGCGGATCGTCCCACGCCATTGATATTTTGCCCTTTGAAGTTGCTCTACGTTTCCCGTCTGGTGACGACCAAGGTGACTGCAGAGGCGAGATGGTGTCCTGTTCTGACTCGGGTGACAACGGTGCAGCGCGGTGTTCTGTTGTTCGTGGTGATGTAGGTTCAGGCTTTGGTGTGCCCAAAAGGCCTTTGTTGGAACGAAGTGTGGCGGGTGAGCTGCTTTTTGAACCGACAGGGACACGTGCGAAGGAGACTTGGTTGATAGATCCTTCCACTGAGATGCCAAAGGGGTCTCTTCCGTAGAAGCTTGACTTGTCAGGTTGAGATGGGGCGGTGCTCTGGTTATGTGCGGCACTGTTGAGGGTCGAAAGGTCCATGTCGACACTAGGTGTCATTGGCTCGTAGCTATTCTTTCGGGGAGTTGAGGATGAAAGAAAGTTGTCTGGAGATGAAGACGAAGAGCTGCCATCCTGCCTGTCCGAGCCGAGCAGGTGAGTCTCCTCCGCCTCTGGGATGGGGTCTATGGAGAGAGGGACGCGACTACGATCGGTCTCTCCCATGATGGGCGGGTACCAAGGAATATCAAGGGCTTGGTGTCACTACAGGGCAAACATTAAAGACTGATGATGACCCAATGAGACATGGAAAAAGGGCGGTGTTTCCGCCTCTGAAAAGATCGGCGGAGCCGTCTGATTTCTGATGACGAAATCTTTGAATAATACGGAGGAATAATACGGAGGATGGATTCTTGGCCCGTGTGGTAAAGGGCCGGTTCCAATTGAGTGTACTTCGTCTTTGCCGATAGTGAAGCGCGTAATTCTTCTCGAAAGCCAAGTGGTGAAGGTGATCGTCCGGGCGTCTGGAGGCGTGATGGACGCTGGCTTCCGTCGAAGCCGTAATTGTATCGCGTATGGTATCCGTGCTGGGTAGCACAAGACGTGGCACGACGCCAACAAATCAGAGTGTGCTATATGAGACTCGCAAGGAGGTGTATTGGAAATATCGTTGGCTAGGCGTTGGAACCGTTTGTCGTCTAGTTACGTTTCCTGCGACAGGAGCTCGGAGTAGTTCAAAGGGGGATCCTTCCGGGACGCGGACCGCAAACGGGTGCACAGGGAGACTAGAATTGGCACGCAAAAAAAGGAATAGAACGGTGCGTATGAGACCTTGTGGTGTATGTGAGACAGTAGGCGGAAACAGGGAGAGATATAAGGAAGCAGTTGAAACTTGAAACAAGATGTATTAGTTGGAAGGGGGAAGAGAGGCTCTCTGAAGTTGGTTCCTTGTGAGATTAAACCAACCTCAGTTTGCGGCCTCGGTAGGAGAGCCGGTTCCGTCGAGGAGGCAGAAGACTTCTTCATATGTGAGAGCCTCGACTGCTAATTGCTGTCAACTCCCCCAACCCCCCAACCCCGGCCCACCACGCCTGTCGTGTCGAAGATCACTGCTTCAGACTCGCAGGGAATCAAGATAGGAGATGCAAGAAGCCGGCGCGGATCTTCGGAGACGTATGATGAACCTCTATGGTAAAGGTTATTCTCGCTCTCACCTAACAAGACGGACTTCGATCAAGGGTTGTTTGCTGAGCAAAAAAGAAGGCTAGCTTTCTCAAGCAACGGTGCATGAGCTGACGGAGAGAAGGGGGGTTGGAGTGGGCTACAAGCGGAGGAAGCGAGGGTCACCGCCGCCCAAACCTGCATAATGTCCGGGAGGTGGTGCAAGTCTGGGTCGCGGCGCGGATGAGGCCAACAATGGACAATCTGTTGGTTAGGTCGCCCAGGGTGGCCGCATCCCGGAATCAAGGCTTGGCTTTGTTGGTTGGAGTCGTGGAACCTTGTCAGACTCTTCTTTTTCAGACGAGGCCGATGCAAGGGAGACGAACATGACGCACGTGATTCGAGTGTAACCATGTGTCCAAAGAACATGCCCCCCACATCCATCCAGCTTGGGCTCATCAAACGGTTTGAGCTCATGTAGCGTACGATGCAGGAGATGCTCGATGGAGGGTGATAGAGCGAGGCTGTGTGGCTGCGGCTTGCCGTTCGTGATCCAACCTCCGAGTTGTGCACCACACATTCTCGTCACCTGCATGATGCCGCATACTCCTTCATGTCGTTTCTAATTAGGACCATCCCACCGCGGCGGAATCGACCTAATCAAGTTAATTCGCCTACCGCTTGCTGTGGCACACCTTTCGATCGAGGTTCTTAGTATATTCCTCTTGTCACCGCTCCGAGATAGTTACCAAATGACAGACGATCAACGATTTGCTGCCTTCTTCTACCAGATCGAGCAGCGCAGTGCCTACATGTGGAATTCTTTTCAACTCGTTTTGTTTTTCATTACTCCGTGACCGTGAAAGAAAGAAGCCGCTGCTTACAATATCCTGATATCATCTATCAAACACCCTCCCGAGGATACATGCGCTTCGCCTCTGCGCCGATCGCCGCCAGCCTGCCTTGCCAGTATACGTAAAGGTTCGCCCATGGTGATTAAATGCACAACATCATAGTTCTCAAAATAGAATAAGCAGCTTAGGCTCGGACTGCACCAGCTCGTCTCGATGCCTGACTTCCAGCGCCAGCCCTCCTTTGGGAACCCGGCTTGTTCAATGTGTACTTGGCGAAGGCGCGTGCCAGTGCCTTCTTGCAGCTGACCTTCTGGCTTCCAACGAAACTTTCGACAGTGACGGCAATGGCCCTGTCAATGTCTTCCGCCTTGCAGTACTCCGAGAGTCTCATCTTTGCGAAGGCCTCGCTAATACGGATAATAGCTTCGAGATGACGCACCTGTAGTGACATTAGTTCACTTGTTGTTTCGGGTCACCGATTGGAAAAAAAAACTTACTGTGATGGGATACGCGCCAGTCGCTAAGGATTCTCTTCTCATATCGGCAAACAGACGCGCGACCTTGTCTTCGTCCATATTGTACAGCTTGGGACTCACGCGATCGCGCGCATATAGAATGTACTTGCGGAGAAGTTCCTGAGGGATCTCACCCTCCTTCTTCGGCGATTCTGCTTGCGTTTCCTGGTTCTCTGACTCGTGCTCAACCTCCATCGAATCCTCACCGGGCTGTGATGTCGATGGATGACTGCGGCTGTGAGAGCCAACAATGAACCGCGCAAGGCGCTCATCCTCTTCAGGCTCAACTGTATCCCGGACGACGCAAAGAATATCGAAACGAGACAAGATGGGCTCCGTGAGTTCGACGTTGGCGGAGAAGGGGATCGTTGAGTTGTACCGCCCACCAATAGGGTTGGCTGCAGCTATGATACCGCAGCGCGCCTGAAGAGTCGTGACGATACCGGCCTTGGAGATGGAAATAGTCTGTTGCTCCATGGCTTCATGGATGGACGTCCTGTCCTGGTCATTCATCTTGTCAAATTCGTCAATCAGGCAGGTGCCCTTGTCGGCAAGCACCAAAGCGCCACCTTCGAGAGTCCACTCGCTCGTCAAAGGATCTCTCCGAACACTGGCTGTCAAACCGACTGCACTGGCTCCCTGTCCCGTTGCGAAAACGGCTCGATGGGCCGTCTTTTCCACATACTTGAGAACTTGGGACTTCGCCGTACCGGGATCACCCAGCAACAGAACGTTAATGTCTCCACGGACCTGGTGAGAGCCTCGTCCTACTTTAGCAACGCCTCCAAACAAGGACAGCGCCACAGCAGTCTTGATATCATTATGGCCGTAGATGCTCGGCGCCATGGAGTTGATGATCTTCTCGATAATGCCGGGTTCGCGAGACAACTTGCGAATCTCGTTCTCATCTTCCTCGGTCATGCGGAAGCCTGCCAGCTGGTCGTGGGACTTGACAACATTGTTTGCTTCAAGGATAGTGGCGAAAACAGGGAATCCGTTCCTGTTGTTCAACTGAGCGTCGTAGTTGTTTCTGTATACACCGGTCACCTCGATCTCTTCACCAGGCTTGGCCTTGTCGATGAGATCCCAGAGAAGGATGACATCTCGGTGGCGAGGCAAGCGACCAGCGGGGACAGTGCCGGGCGACTCCTGAAGGGTCAGCTTCTGGTAGTTGCGGTAGACCGTCTTCTCAGAGTTCAGGGTGAACGGGCCTCGGGACTGGCAGGCTTGGCAGTACGAGACTTTGACCTCGGTGTTGGCTTCTTGCTGGAATGGGCCGAGTGTGACACCGCACTTGGTGCAGTCAAATTTGACATACTTGAGCTGAGGGAAGACGCCGGTTCTCTTCGTGACGACTCCACTGACACGCACCAAACAGTTCAGGTGAGACTGACGAAGCTGTCTCAGGGTATAGTGAACGGGAAGGTCGAAAATGCGGACGTGGATCTCGGAGTGGATACGCTCGTAGTCGGGGTAGTGAAGGAGCACGACGTCCATGGCAACCTCATCAAAGAGCTTGAGCATCTCGGAGGGTGCATTGGCCAAGAAGTAGGCAAGAATCGCCTTGGATGTGGAGAGTTCTTCGTAAGAGACTTCGAGAGACTCAGCGTTGATCTCACCAAGGGTACGAATGCGGTTTCCGTAAACAGAGGAGCCGTGGTCGTCGGTGTACTCCGTCAAGAAAGCTTTGAACTCTCTCTTGATGGTGCGTTGCACAAAAGGTTGGGACACCCATTCCGTCAGACTAGCTGCCTTGACATCTTGTAGGGCCTCAAGGGAAAGCTCTTCGTCCATAATGTCCGCATCCATGTCTTCATCGGGGTCCTCATCGTAGCGATGGCGCCGACGTCGAGGCTGGGCCGAGAGGTCAATATCGCCTTCGTCGTCTTCCCCAGGCAGGAAAGCAGCAGGCACTCGTTGGCGTCGAGCGACTTCTCGGTCTCTGCGGTTGAGCGTGGCCTCGAGCCGTCTTCTGGCAGCTAGGTCCATGTCTCCATATTCGCCTTCGTCGTCGATGTCGATACCTTCATATCCATCATCGTCCCTAGCTCTGTAGTCTACTTCGAACCCCTCTCGGAAAAGGTCAACTTCATCTTCGGCCATTTCATCAAGCTCGTCCAAGTCATCCTGAATTTCTGCCTCATCCTCAATGTCCTCA